GTACATCACCTGGCTGTTAGAGCGATCACCTTGAAGCTCAATTCGCAATGCCAGATTGGAAAGTCGCTTGAGCCCCAAACTCACAGCATTAGTCGGTTCAACCAGTCTTCTGTTGAATCAATAAATCAGCTTCGATCACCGGTAAAATCCAGGGAACTTACGCGCGCAGTATATACTCGTCTTCAAGAGACTCGTCGTTTTCTTGGCCAGCTAATGACCACGAATATGTCTGTACTAACGATCTAGCTGAGTTCAGATGTGGTAGCGTTGGCGGAAATTGGGATTGGTGAGTTTGAAATAGGCAATACAGATTCTAAGTCCGATTAGTCTTTGTTGGTGTCTTGACAGGAAGTGACGTACAAAATAAATTCTCATCATGAAGTCTTGGATTGAGACGTCTTTCTTTCTCATTGTCTTAGCGACGTCTGTGTCTTGTCTTACGGCTGGCCACGATTCGAGTCGGAGAAGCAACCGAATGCATGTGAGGAGTCGCACCCATGCTATAGCTTTGCAATCCGCTGAGAAATCCGTCAAGCCGGACGAGAACCAGTCAGCGTGACACACAAGTGCGTTAACGCTGTTCAAGTAGGCGGACGTAGCAGTAGAGTTGATACCGTCAAGAACAGTGCCCTTGAATGCTTTCTTAACATACTGCGCACCAGGCAGTGCGTCCCAGATTGGCTGCGCGTCGGAATCTTGTCTCCGGAGCGCAACTTCTAAGTATTCATCAATGAAGTTTCGTTCTTGACTAGAACCAGTGAGTTTTATGTTAGCCCCTTGGATGATGAAGAGCCAGACTTGAATGGTCCTGATGAATACCTGGTCGGGGATACGTCGGGTTTCGGAGGAGGAAGGAGCAGTTTGAGTTTCGCATTGTGCAACGCAAGTCGTTCAACCACCTTGAGCAACTTCGCTTCTTCAAAACTTGATCCGCGCAGCATTCTATCACAATCTCCCAGAGTTTTCGAGAAATTACCGACTATTGCGAGCGGCAACTGGTCCATGACGTCGGTAGTCAAGATCATGTCGCAGGCATGGGCGAGCTGCACCAGACTTCCGAGATGTGTTCTTAAGCGATCAAGCTGCTGTTCTAAAATCGAGGCGAACGTGAAGGCTTTACGAAGTATTGGTGGTTAGCGAAACGAGTGAAGCAGCCTTTCTCTTACTGACCGTGATATCTTTTGACGTTGGCCCTCATCCCTTCCACTTTCACCAGGCCTGCGGCCACGACGTCGCCCATGGACGCGTGTGTTGGAAAGACACCTGGAAAGAGGCTGCATGAGTTGCACCTGGTTAACCTTGAGGCGTAGGTTATCTTAACATGCCGGAAGGATCGAATCGATCAACATGTGTCGAATCACACGCGCGCGCAGCCGGGTCATGCAGCCTTGTCGGCCCCCAAGCCCCAGCCACAAATCTGCCTGATATGCCCTTGGAGCTGCACAATATTCGTCGAATTCTTTCGAACTTCGATTTTCGGTCTTTTTCAGCTCTGTGTTTCGACATTATTCTGGAGCCCGGACCACGCATCATGTCGAGCTCTCAAGTTCGGGGCACAGGCTATACTGAAGAAGATCGGCAGCGCATCGCAGAGGCTTATGCTCAAGCGGATCATGATGGAGATCAGGTCCTCGAGAATCCCGTCGCCAGTCCACGAAGTCGTCTCACCACGATCTCTGTCGCTTGCATCATTGCCAATAGAATGATAGGTGAGCCTCTACCTACTCGCCGATGGCATGCCTGTTTTGACAAAACGCAGGCACTGGTATCTTCGATGCACCTACAAGTGTCTTGCGCGACGATCGCAACGTTGGCAGTTCCCTTATGCTTTGGCTTGCCGGCTGTTTCGCTACGCTGGCGGGAACACTCATTTACATCGAATTTGGAACAACCATCCCGCGCTACAAATTTGACAATATTGCACAACCTCGATTTGTTCCCCGCAACGGCGGAGAACTGGTTTATGTTAGCCACACCTCATGTCGCTGATATCTATATGCTGACCTGGACAGATGAACTGGATATGGACTTATCCCAGGTTCTTCGCTGCTTGCTTGTTTGGCATCCCTTTCTGTTTGATTGGCAATTCTGCTGCGAATGCGATCTCTTTCGCTTATCATCTGCTGCTTGCTGTTGGATTCAGCAGTGACCGGTTGGGATGGGCTGTGACCGGCATCGCTATATCTGCAGCTGTTCTGGTCTGCACCATTCATGTCACTAATAGGCGCTATGGCGTTATCCTGAACAACACTTTCGCTACCATCAAGGTTCTGGTCTTGTGCATGATTGTCGTATTGGGCTGTGTGGTCTGGGGAGGCAACCTTCTACATGGCAGATCACCGGATCCTTCCAATATGTCCTGTAGTGTTGCATCGACAAACAGCACATGGCGGGACAACTTGCGCTCTCATACTATTCTCGATGACGTTCAGAGCCTGGGAAGCGAGACCCGGCCGCACAGGTATGGACCTGCCTACTTGCAGATTATCTTCGCTTTCGGTGGTTTCAACCAGGCAAACTATGTACGTGAGCTACCGCCTCCACATACGGCATTAACTGATCCCGTTGCAGGTATTAGGCGAGATTTACAAGCCTCATATCTACTTCCGGCGCACATCGATATCCACGGTGGCGATTATTTGTCTTCTCACATGCTGGTAAATGTCATGTTTGTATGTGACTCGTATCTCAATCCGTCGATTCTAGTGTAACTGACGGAAGCAGCTCGTGGTAGTACCAGTGAGAGGAAATACGAATCGTCTCGACCAAGAAGCTTGCCAATACTGGAACATCGCAAGCGAGTTTTTCCTTCTCACCTGTGGATCGCGTAAGCCATACCACGCGTTCTTGGCATTTTCGAGCATCGGAAACATAATCGTGAATACCTTCACTGCCGCAAGAGGTAATCACCGATCGGCGTTCTCTTGGGCCTCGCTAATGCCATTTCAGTAAAGCAGGAAGTCGCCAAAGAAGGCATCTTACCATGGCATCGATACATCGCCAGGAGTTACCATGTGACGCAAGCGATTTCAAACAAGCTCTTTCCATCTTCCAGGAAAGTAGCTAGGAGAGATGACTCCAACTCGGCACCTACACCCGCCGTTGCGCTGTTTGTGCATTTGTTCTTCGCCACGGTACTAATTCTGGCCGTCTCTGGTGTCAACGACCCTCATGACCGTTATGTCTTCCTTTCGAACCTTTACAGTTATGTTATCAACGCCTTCTTCGCAGTATGCTTGGCCGTTGGTATACTTCTGATGCGAATAACGCCTACCATTAAGAAGCTCTTATCTTGGCACGAACCAGAGAAAGAAACCTGGAAAAACATATCGTCAACAAATGCGCGGGTGAGCGTGACAGCAGCATTGCTGATGGCCACCTCCAATGCCTTTCCTCTAGTGGCGTCTTGGACGAACAAGGGCTTAAGCGGCAATAACACTCATCCACGATTGGTGCCCGCTATAGGCGTGAGCCTCCTCGGTTTTGGAGCAATATGGTGGCTATGCTTCTACAGGATTCTCGCACGGGGAAGAACTCGCGAAGTCACACGCAAACCAATGTTCACCGAGAGCCCGCGGGACCCAGATCATCCCGAGATGATTTGCGAGACCATAACGTCCCGCTGGGTGACGCCGAATACCGCAAGACAAAGAACTGAGCAGGGTGAGTCCGAGTATGACCTGGTTCAAATCTCGACAAAGTAATCGGCATCATCACATATATTTAACATAAATCCGGCAAAACCGCGTGTTGTCATTTGCGAGATGTATCGCTATCGAGAGAACATGTGGTTAACTCCTGTCTTCTGCCTCTTTTCCACCTAGCGTTCTTCTTCTTATACCGCGTAAGTTTCTAGTATAGCATACAAATGCATAATACGTTTTAGTTCATAGTGATGCCCAGGAGGGATATCATCTTAGGGTTATCTCTATGGTCTCTTGTCTGATTTGGTAAGCAACTATGCATTCTTATAGTATATCGTAGCACCAGTTGTCAGTGTGGGAGAGAGATTGTGACTGTGCTTTCGGAGTTGACCACATGCTTTCTAGCAATTCAACACACGTTCTGGAAGCGCTTGTGGGATTATGGGGTATCCATGTTTGTGTTTGCTCTTCTACGACTGATTTCTCCTCTCACTATCAATATTGAACAGGTTGTTTGACCAATACCCCTATAGAAGGTACTGCTTCAACGCCATGCCGCACATTGAGACACATGCTCCACGCTGGAGTCCATCTCAGATACAGTCTCGTAAGGACTCGACAAGTGCGGTTGCAGACCTTTGTCTGAAGGAGGAATAGCCGAAACTTGAAACTGCATAAGCCTCGCTCTGGATCCCTGGTTGTTACAGATCTGAAAAAGCAACTGGATCTCGTCGACTGCACTGCATGATACCGCCCTGGTACAAGTGTTTATGCAACCCCCCCCCCCCCCCCCCCCCGGGTAACTTTGAGCCACTTGTATCCATCGAGGAGAGTCAAATTCGTCTCCGAAATCGATAGAGTGTGGTGAAAAAAGACCAACCTGGTAACCATGCACACTCGCTTTAGCATAGAGCTATCGTGCCTCTCAGAGCCTGGTGAATCATGTTGTTGATGAGATGTGGAGAAGAGAAGACATGGAAGCGGACGAGTCAAATTCTTGAGCTGCAGCACAATCAGCCAGCCACTTTTAGCTGCCAAGCCAAACATTAACACCATGAACAACAGGTACATACGAACCTTCCAAGGACGAGCCATTACCATTATGATAGTATAAAGTATGATTGAAGTGTGAGCTGTTTTGAGGCCGAGAGAAGTGTCCTCTGCAAATGGCATAGTTATGGAGCAACAGGATGGAAAGTCTGAACATTGATCTGATCAATGCTTTTTCTGACCACCCACGCGTTCCATTGCTCGGCATCTCTCGTTTGTGCTGCGCCCCTCGAATTCTGACAACGTCCCTGTTCAACAACCATGCTCCTGAGGACATCGCAGCTTCCAAACGAATTTTTCGTTTTATGAGCCAAGCATTCGCATGACAGCCAGTGTCACTACAGGATTGCCCATGATCACGTCATGCAGGCCATACTTCAGTATCTCTTCTCTGATGATGCCATGATCAGTTTTCCATTCCACAACACTGCCTGCAGGACCATTGTCGAGCCTCGACCCTGCCTTCATTAGCTCAAGCTCTTCAAAGCTGATGCCCACCGATTTTGTCCCATTGATGGCATGCCAGAACAATTGAGGAGTGTGCGTCCATGGAATATCATAGTCGTCCTCAGCATGGATCATGGTGATGCGATATTTGACGCCGTTGTCCTCGTTGGCTCTGACATATGAGGCAACTCGATCTTTGGTTGACCATTTGTCGTTAATGTATCTTCGCAGATGATTGAACAGCATTGGAACTTTTGCTATAGGTCCGAGGATAGGAACAATTCCCGCTACACTGTATGTGGAGACCAATGTGATTACGTCGACAAAAGGTGCAGTCAAAATATGTCCAGCGAAGACGATCGGAGGTTCTTGCAAGGCAAAGTGCTCGGCAACGGCCATGTTCACGGCAGTTCCCAGAGATTGGCTGTAGATGAGAATACGAGCTGGTGCGATTTCTGCCACTTCCATGGCCCATTCGACGACAGACAAAGCATCGACGATGAGACCGCTCTCATTAGGTGTGCCAGAACTTCGTCCAAAACCACGATAGTCGAATGTCAGAACATGAATTTTGTCAGGCCGACCAGCCGACAGTGCTCTATAGTTCAGACAGCGATAACCTGATCCCACGGTACCGCCAGCGCCATGAAAGTGGATGATGAGTACAGCCTCAGGATCGTCGCGAAGCAATTGGAAGGAATGGAGGGATGTGACATCCAGCAAGAAACCAGATGGCTGTGTCAGAAGCTTCTGTTCGTGTTGCCGATATAACTCTACGGGCAAGATATGCCATGCGTACAAGTTCTCACCGCTCGCAGACTTAATATCGAANGGAGTGACCTGATTGTGGAGGAATCCGAAGACCTCCGGGACATCAAGATCTTTCCCCCAAGTCATCTGTATGGCGTGTAGATAAACCACGTGTGCCTGGAACCATGATGTAGTTAGAAGACCAAGAAGCATACAATAAAGGGCGCCGATTGATCCGATTGCGAGTGATCCATACTTCAGCACCTGGAAGAACATGTCGCGGTTGGCAAAGGTGTCAAGAAAAGAAGGCGACCACGGAACCAAGGGTTGATCTTGAGCGTTCCAGCAGTCGTAAATGAGAATCCACGGAGCTTCGGCGTGGAAAGGAAGCGTCTACGCATCTTGGGCTCCAAGAATCACATAGATTATCATCAAGCTTGTAGTATGCAGGGCATCTGCAAGTTGGGCGCTTAGAAAAAGGTCAAGACACAAGCTGGTCTGTGCAACCGCCAAGACAGGTTCGGTTGATCGATGCTCCGATATTGCGCGTGTTCAGTATTCTCAGAAAACATCATGTTGCTTCACGTTCCTTGTAGATATAAGCGATCTGACTTGAATCTACCTGAAGTAGCGATGGCTAGGGTACGTAAGTGGGCGTCTACCTATGTCTTCGCTAGTGTGTAGCCTCACAATTGCATACAGCCGCTTCTCGCTCTGTTTGTGAGAGAACCTCGCACTCTGGAAGACCTTTGGTTAGGAACACCACGCTTTAAGCCCTGTCCCCTCTTGACAGTTCCAAGTGTTAGGCGCTTTTTGTTCTCTTCTTAACGCCTATCATGCATACAACACACTCCTCAAGCGCCATGCTTACTTCAGGCGCTTCGTCTCATTGCCGAGCATGCATCACTCATGCACTTCAATGAAGATCAGACATGCTTTTGCTAGATACCTGATCTTTGTTATCCCTATATATTCTGATGCTCTGCCATCAGTCTATGTTGCCATCTGAAGTTTTCCAGCAAGCGGACGCTGAGAAATATTTCTTACAATGACTACCAGAAATCAAAACCTGACCGAATCTGGAATTTCTTCCCAACTCGTGGGCTGGAAACCTGAGACAGCGGGTCGCGGCACACTGACACTGCTCACCAGTTGTCTGGCCACAATAATGCTCTGCACATGGATTGTAATCCATCCACGTATCTGCAAACGCAAGAAACACCGTCTCTTACACAAACTGGTATTATGGTTGAAAACAATTGTCGCACCCGAGTTCATTGCCGTCGAGGCCGCCCAGGAATGGACTCAAGCTCGGAGAGTGGCCAAGGAAGCTTCTGTGGCAACCAATGGAGAACTCGATTTGGTCCAGGCCTTCTACATCGGCATGTTTGGACTACAATATCGGACATTGAGCGGGACAAAGATCATATGGCCTAATCAATTTGTCTGGCTGATGGAACAAGGACTGCTCAGCTGGAAGGACCACGAGCAGTGGGGACTATCTGTTGATGCTATCAAAGACAAAGGCAATTCGGACACGACTGCGAAACTCTTTGCTGCTTCCCAAGTTATTTGGTTTGTGGCACAGTCGGTCATGCGAGTCGTCCACGATCTACCACTTTCACCACTGGAGGCAATGACCTTAAGCTATGTTCCACTCTTCGCTGTGGCATACTTCTACTGGTGGACCAAGCCACGAGATATTGAGACGCCTTCAGAAATCGACTTGCCTAAGATGACACCAGAACAAGATACCGTCTTCAATTCTCTAGCGCTTGATGACCAGTTTGACAGCGAAGGAACAGACGAGCAGGAATCGATCTGGAGCATATGGGCTCTGACACCTCGATTGTTTGAAAAAGAAGCTTTGGACAGAGCCTATGAGAAAAGGAAGCAAGAACAATATTCTCAGGAGCCGCGTATGGACCAGAACATCCTGCCGCTCTCTACTACGAAATATGCTTGTTTGGAACCCTCCGATATACACCAAGAGCAAGAAACTGTACTCGCTCATTGGGATCCCGAACTATACCACTCAAGGTTCCTGTGGCCACTTTGTTGCCTCGCCGGCATCTCCTTTCCAGCTCTACACCTGATTTCATGGAATTCTGCTTTTCCGACGCTGATCGAGACTTGGCTCTGGCGTACAGCAACAATCGCTTCAATGGTTTCTATGCTGTTGTTCATGCAATTTGAGAGGCTTGTCGTTAGGTGGTGTGACCCATGGACCATTGTAAAGATCCTCTTACCATCCACGTATATGGTCGGAAGGATGGTTTTGCTTGTAGGCACTTTTGCGGCCCTCAGAGCCACTGATCCGGGTGTTTATGACACATATCCTGCGTCGACATACTGGCTTCATATTATGTAGTATTGTGCAGAAAAACATAGATTGTCCCCTTGATAGACTGATTGCTGTAATCCATCATAACGCTAATGCATACTTGTGGACCTCCAGCCTACAGACTTCTACTTGAGATCTGTGTTCTGACCCTCGACCACAAACCACTCTGTAATATTGGCATAGCCGGTGGGCTTCTCAAGCTCGGAGCCAGAAAGCCAGAGAGCATATTCGNNCTAGCACACGGCATCAGTCCCACGGCTCGGATATATTCTATACATAATAGAGACAACTTACCGGTTGGCTTCCACACGAGGGACAATGACAGTAATATTGCCCTCGCCAGCTTTTGCGACACGGTCGTCAAAGAAGGCTTCGGCTACAGACCAGCCAAAATCTTCCTTCTTGACAAAGTTGAATTCGAGNACTCTGTGTTGCCGGTAGATTAGTATTTGCACTTTTACCGCTGTGGGCATGAGTGTTGGACGAACATAGGTGCGATCAGTCATCCATTCGACCAAAAGATGGTCGCCAAAGCGAACGTCCTCAACGGAAGAAACAATGGTAAGGTTGACCAATGCCTGTCCGAGAGTGGAGAAGGTGGTGGCCACGAGGCCGGCGTAGACTGCTGCGTTTCTCATAATGGTGAATTGATAGATAGAGTCTCGAGTGATTTTGATGTGAATGGTCTATGGCAGGTAAACAAAGTGATTACCCCACCCCGACTTGATTTATGTCCAGAATCTATCCTGCTGCCTGCATCTGCCTGAAGCCAAGGGGAAGCAGTGCTCTTCTCTGTCGCAAAGCAATTTCATGACCGCATTGTTTTGGATCCTTCCGAGGGGAAGGCTATTAATAAACTATTCTTCTGCTGATCTTGACGTGCAAACCAAGGCGATGCTCGACCTCTTCGGAGTTGGAGCGGGCATCTGTCTTGGCATTGTTTCCCCCGGCCGAATAGCGGATAAACACAAACCCCAGGTTTCACTCAGCCCTAACAGCATCAAATTTCTGCAAAAATCATCACCGCCAATTTTTCTCTGCTTCCTCAACCTTTGACAGAGGTTCAAACAGCAAAAGAAGGAACTGGGTCTCGCCGGGAATCGAACCCGGGACCACTCGCAATTGGCTTAGAGTTTTCAAGGTGCAGAAGCACCTCCCTAAGCGAGTATCATACCGCTAGACCACGAGACCAGTGATCACTTTTAATGTGATTGATGGTAGTCGCCCAGCTTGATGAGTATATGTCTACGAGCAAATTTCAGATCTCAGACTGCATTGGTCATTGTGCTGCTTGATCTACGTCTACATACCGCTCAGTAACACACTGCGTCTTCTTCATCGACGTCCTCAAACCCAAATCTCGGTCTTGCCCGAGCCGTCGGCGATAGCAACGACTCTACCACCCGTCTCAAGCGGCGAGCCTTCGTAAACAACAAACTCGCTGCCAGCGTCCGGCATCTCCAATCCCAAAAATTCGTAGAAGTTTGTGCTGACAAGGTCCAAGGCTTGCTGCTCAGTCAACCTACCCTCGCTATTCTTGAGCGCGATACCAGCTGTAAGGCCCAGGTCGCGGGTCTCCCAAATCTCATCGACTCCAATGGCGACACGAACACCAGCGTCTAGAAGCACATCGATGGCGGTGCCGTTGTGGAGAGGCGCGCCCATGAGAGAGCGGCGTTGGTCCCAAGATTGTGCCCAAGATAGCAGAGGGGCTATGACGACTGCGACGTCTGCGGCTGCGAGTTCCTTTGCTACGAGGTGAGACTCTGCAGCTCCAAGGATGACGAGACGCAGAGAGGTCTTGCTGGCAGACTCTACAGTCGACTTCAGTCTGAGAAGAGCAGAGATGGCATCTGCGCTGTGCACACTCAGCACAAGAGGAAATTTGCCTTCTACAATCTTCTTCAGAGATGCAGCCTCTGAAAAGGGATCAGTGATGGTCTCGTTGTTGCGAACTGCCTCAAGAAACAAGTGACGCAAGTCATCTACTAAACTTGAGATCGATGGGCTTGCATCACTCTTTGCACCCAGAGTGAAGTCGTAGTGTGCTGCTGCTTCTTCAGCGAAGACGGCACCCTTGCTGAGAGGTGTTCTTGCGCCAGTCAGGAACCCAGTGGAGATACCACGAAGGGATATACCGGAACCACCTTTGGCGATCGGTGCCGAGATGGCCTTGGTAACACCATGACGGTAAGCCGCAAAGAGATTTTTACCATCGAGAAGAAGACCATCAACTGCTCTTGCCCAAACCTTTTCGTTGACGCGACCATCATAAGTTTGTGGCTGCTGCATGATTTCCTGCAGACCCAAACCAGAACCAAATGCAGTGAGTGGGCGAGTAAGGTGTCCGTTGTGCAGTGCCACAGTGCGAGCGTTCTTCTTGGTCGCAGTGTGAGCCTCTGCATCACAAGAGCCGGCGCAGATGATCTTTCCTCGAGAGACGACCACAGTGGCAGGGCTCTTGACTTCGGATGAAGAAGTCAACCCAGGAATATGGACGTTAGTGACACCAGTGAACACGACATCCTCGCTCGATTCAGCCTCATCATGGTCCTTTGCAAGTGCGAGATCAGGCTTGATTGGAGGAGTCAAAGGTTTCTTGAGCTCTACAGGGTCTTTGAATTGAGGAGCACCGTCAATCCAGACTTGAACCGGTGCAGCACCGAGAGACAACGGATCAGAATCCCAAACAACAACATCAGCATCGAAGCCGGCCTTGACCTTTCCGAGTCTTTCTCCCATACCTAAAAGCTCAGCGGGAGCAGAGGTCAATCCAGCTAGTGCGGCGTGATAAGGCAGACCATAGCCATAGGCTTTGGCAGCTTCATGCTTTACATGCTGAGAATTGATGACCGGGTTGTCACTCACATAGACTGGGGTGATGCCGTTCTCGTAGAGGATCTTGCCAGACTGTTCGGATGCTCTGTAGCTCTCGACCTTGTAGTACATGTTGTCTCCGAAGAGTGCAGCTGCAGGTGTGCCGCCGTAAGCTCTCTTCAGAACATCAGGGACAAGATAAGTTTGATGAGCGTGGTGGAAGGCGTAGACTCTGAATTTGAACTCGTTGGTGAGACGAACATACATCTCAAGATCGGGAATGGTGTAGCAGTGAGTGTTGACTCGTATCTGACCTCGGAGAACGGCTCCCAGATTTTCCCATTCAAGTTTCTGAGGAAGGTAGCTGTTCATGTTCTCAGCACCAACTGATTTGGCAGCAGCGCACCAGTCGTCCTGGGATCTGACATAATCTCTTGCTTGCTCAAATGCGTGTCTGAACTCCCAGCCTTCGCCCATGCGGCTGAAAGGACCTCTCTCGCCCAGCTTGCCGTAGACTCTCTTGGGATTCTCACCACAGGCATTCTTCATGTATCTCCAAGTGTGGTCAGGATCGGCCAACATGTCTTGCTGACTGAGTTCAGCACGGCCGCCTTCCTTGCCAACGGCAAGCTTGACAAGGAATGCTTCTCCACCTATGTTGTTTCCAGAGCCAGGAAGAAGTAGTGATGTCGTGACGCCACCAGACTTGATCCATTGGATCTCTGGATGCAGTGGGTCCAAGGAGTCCAAAGACTTGACATAGGGAGTTATGTCGCTCGAGAGCTCATTCTCGTCGCCTTGAAGACCTCCAAGACTACCGAGACCGGCGTGACTGTGCATGTCAACAATGCCGGCTGTGAGTTGACGTCCGTTGGCATTGAAAGTTTCATGATCTGATGGCAGGTCCGCAAGCGAGATAGATGGTGCAACTCTCTTGATAAGGCCGTGCTCGATAAAAACATCCGACTGAATCCACGCAAAGCCTTTTCCTTGACGAGCGTCTTCCACGCTTGTTCCAGATATGGGCTCGCCAGTCCAGACAGTAGCATTACGGATCAGCACGGGTTTGGTGCCATTCACGTAACGCTTGTTGTATTCACGTCCGCCAGAAAGAGCTTCCGGAACCTTTTGTAGGGCAGCACATGTGGCAAAGTCCTCTTGCAAGCGAGAAGCAGAGAGCAGACTGGCTGGCTTCTCAGTGTTTCCCGAGATCTTGTATGCGGAGTATGCAAAGTAGGAAAGACAGGTAGCTGCAACCAGTCGAAAGATGCGGCGTTTACGACGGCGGTCTGCCCACGGTCTGACGACCTCGGAGTATTGGGGTAGTCCTTCCTTTTCCATAATGGCTGCTCACTGGAAGAAAGAGAACCTTGAAGATGACCTTGTTAAATGGGAAGAATCACGTTATCGACAGCGGCTGATTAATGTATCCATATCAAGAGCTTGGAAGCCGAAAGAGGAAGGCGATAGGGAAGATCGGCGAACTGACTGCGGGGCACCGGCAGATCGCGACGTCCTTGTTGTCTGCTGCTTCACCAACAATCATCAGACTGCGTTGAGCAGAGAGCGACTTACTATCTAGGAAACGATGCTTGCTGTCCAGTCACGAACATGAGAGATTTGCGGTTATGGCAACAATTGGCACATAACCACACCATATGGAAGTTAAATGCCAACATCAAGTTACATCTACTTCGCCGAATTCCACTCCTCACGGAGGTCTTGAAGGATATCAGGGTACCAACGTTCGCCGACATCCTGGTGACTCTTGACCCGATTACGCAGCGTAGCCTCACCAAGTGTCTTTGCTTTGTTGCCCTTCTTGAACGTGAACTCGACATCGTCAATCCTGCCCCCATTCCTTTCAATCACACGTCGACGTTGCTCTTTGATAGCTTCCGGAACACTACCAACACCAATTGCATCCAGTTCATCAAATTCCGCATCATATCTCACTCCCTGGAAGAAGGGAATGGATAGTCTGGCACCTGAGCCGGCAGAGGGCGATAGGACGCGATGAGTTGTTGACACACAAACACCCTGCGTCAAGGCCTCAAGTCCCTGCCCAATAGCTACTACAAGTGTGCCAGGGATGGGCGGACAGTCGATCCATTCACCTTTTACGTTTTGCACCTGCAGACCGCGATGATCTGTGATTTGCAGCAGGTAGCTTGTGAGCATCGAATCCTTATGCGGACCGACACCTTGCACATCTGTCCCTCCTTCTTGCCCAAGAGTTGAGACGTCCGGGTATTTGACAATCTTTAGTTTGTGTTGTTGGTCTTTGTCAAAGTACTTGGAGAAAGCGTCTTGTGGCAGATGAATGGCCTGGGCGATCAATGAGGTAAATGCAACAGACATCTCGCCCATCCTGTTCATATACTCTGTGAATGTTGTTCGAAATCCTGGTAGCGACTCTTCAGGTGGCCATTGGTTCGGGGCTCGAAGGTTCTCGTAGCGTGGTGCTCCTGCCTTCGGGATAGGGTGCTCTGTCGAGAAGTCAAATTGTTCACGTTGGTCTATCTCTCCAGCAGTGATCTCTGCTGCCAGACGAGAATAGCCTAGGAAAGAAGAAGCATTCTTCATCTCTATTTTCAATNNCTGACTTCTTCTCAGATATGATGGCTCAGGGAAGAAGGCATCCAAAATGTTCACGACTTACTTTTCTTGCTCTGGAATATCGAAGATTGCCTTTCCAGCTGCTTTGACTTGTTCCAAAAGCTCATTTGAGATGGCAGTATTCTTGATGTACAGGAACCTAACTTCCATCAAAGCATGACGCAGCTCGTCTAACAGTTGAGGCTTGGTCTCTGGGCTGTTGGCTTTTGCGAGATCCAAGACTGGAACGGATGTAAAAGACATGGCTCGCTCGGATGATGTCTTTGAGCAGTATACCAAATAAATTTGTGAAGATAGAATGTGTTCATGGTTGCTCAGATGTATTGGGACTCCGCACACGTCTTCGGAACCGCCAAGATGTCACGGCAGATTGCGTGATCGACAATACTGTACCTGCATGGTCACATAGAGCATACTCGATATGAGGCTTCAAAGAAACGACCAACACGTAGTAGCAGAATTATCAGAGAAAACGGTTTCTCCAAACTCTGGTGACTCTTGTTTGCTGGACGATCAGGACAGATTTTGTCATACCGCTGCATGACTGACGTACCCTCAGCAAACTCCATCAACAAGTCGAATCCGCTTCTTGCTGCTTGCTGCGAGCCGCACAGCGGTTGAAGTAGTCAGCACTTCTCTCATCCTGTGAGCTTCAGGCATGGCCAAGGAGGAAGCCTCGCGACTGGCTGTTGTACGCAGCCGTGAGCAGGGGCCTTGCTTTCTTTTTGTATGCATCCCAATGCTCCAGCAAGTCACGGCTGGTGGTCGATGAGCTGCATATGTCGAGGTTGGTCCATGTTCGAATGATTGGTCTTGAGACTGAGAAGCGTTCGCCATGGATGAATATTCGCATCACATATTTCGGACCGCAAGGATATCTCAGCACGACTCGCATTTCCGTGTCGCGACAACACGACGACCATTCAGACAAGCTCATTAGATCCCAAGCCATCGAAGCAATGCAAAAGCTTTTTCTCAATGCTTGCCTGGAGCTTGTCGGAATTTGGCAGGTCGGTTACCGCGCCTCAGAGGACATGAGAAGGCGACGGCATGGAAGGGCTATCGATGCCGTCGGTACCGAGCACGTGCAACCGAGACAAACCAATCAGGCACTAACAAAGATAAGCATGCTCATTCTTCGATGTCGCGACCTGCATCTATCTAGCTGCACAATTGTTCCGTGGGTATAGTGGGATCCACATCTGCACGCCAAAATCTTTGGAGCGGAATATTGTGTGGCATCGGTGCCAATGGCCGGCCAGGCCCGACGAAAGATCAGACAACCATAGATATATAAGAAGGTAAGCCTTTGATGGATGTGTTCTGTGTACTTCCACTCGCTTTGTATCCGACAAGATGAAGAGCACTATCGGAGCCGTACTCTTTGGCACTGCCCTTGTCGCAGCAGCACCACCAGCTTCTCGCCGCGATGTTGACACTGCCTTCCCTTACACTGGACCTGCCATTCCAGTCGGTGACTGGGTTGACCCTACCGTCAATGGCAATGGTAAAGGCTTCCCTCGTCTGGTTGAGGCTCCAGCTGTGAAGCCCAGGATGTCCAACCCTACCAACAACGTCAATGTCATCTCCTTGGCCTACGTTCCCGGCGGTATGCACATTCATTACCAGACTCCATTCGGTCTCGGAGCTGCACCTCAAGTACAATGGGGTACCCAGCAAGACAACCTTAACCACGTTGCCGTCGGACAGTCCAACACCTACGCCCGCACTCCTCCTTGCTCTCTGGCTCCTGTTACTCAGTGCAGTGAACATTTCCACGAAGTTCAGATCACTGGTCTCAAGCCCAACACCAAGTACTGGTACCGCATTCCTGCCGCCAACGGCACTACCGAGTCTCAGACACTCAGTTTCCGCACTGCACATGCTGCTGGAGACCGTTCCGAGTTCACCGTCGCAGTCTTGAACGACATGGGTTACACAAACGCACATGGAACTCACAAGTACCTCGGCAACGCTGTCCAAGATGGTCTTGCTTTTGCCTGGCACGGAGGTGACATCTCTTACGCAGATGACTGGTATTCCGGTATCCTCCCATGTGAAACCTCCTGGCCTGTCTGCTACAACGGCAGTTCCACTAGACTTCCTGGTGGTCCTCCCTACCCCGCCGAGTACCTTGACGCACCAATTCCTGCTGGGGAGATTGCCAACCAGGGTGGTCCTCAGGGTGGTGACATGTCTGTCCTGTACGAGTCAAACTGGGATCTTTGGCAGCAGTGGATGAACGACATTACAACATCCGTCCCTTACATGGTCCTCCCAGGAAACCACGAGGCCGCTTGTGCAGAGTTCGACGGAGGCAACAACACTCTTACCGCGTACCTCAACAACGACAAGGCCAATTCTTCCGCACCCAAGTCGGCCCTCAACTACTACAGCTGTCCTGAATCTCAGAGGTGTGTCATTACGCTGCTATGTATCATTGCCTCAGTTTTACTAACAATGCTTTTGTNNAGAAACTTCACAACCTTCCAGCACCGTTTCCGCATGCCCGGAGTTGAGAGTGGTGGTGTTGGTAACTTCTGGTACTCTTTCGATTATGGTCTTGCCCACTTCATCAGTATTGACACCGAGACGGACTTTGCATACAGTCCCGAGTGGCCCTTCGTTCGTGATCTCACGGGCAACGGGACTCATCCTACCGAGTCTCAAACCTTCATCACAGACAGTGGTCCTTTCGGTCGCATTGACGGCAACAATTGGAAGGACAACAAGGCTTACGAGCAGTACCAGTGGTTGGCCAAGGATCTCGCCAGTGTTGACCGCACCAAGACTCCTTGGATCTTCATCAACGGTCACAGACCCATGTACAGCAGTCAAACTTCTTCCTACCAGGCGAACGTTCGCAACGCATTCGAGGCATTGATGCTCGAGCATGGCGTAGACGCATACTTCGCCGGTCACATCCACTGGTATGAGCGTCTGTTCNCCCTTGGCCGTAACGGTACAATCGACACTGCTTCGATCAAGGACAACAACACCTACTACACCAATGAGGGCAAGTCGATGGTCCACGTCATCAACGGCATGGCTGGCAATATTGAGTCGCACAGCACTCTGGATGCCGACCAGCCTGTCCTCAACATCACTGCAGTGCTGAACATGAGAGACTACGGTTTCAGCAAGCTGAAGATTACTTCTACTTCTGCCACTTGGTCGTTCACCAAGGGTGCTGATGGATCTATTGGTGATAAGCTCACCCTTCTTAAGAGAAACAAGTAAAGAAAAGATTCGGTGTAGGATAGTCACTGGACACTCATTATTGTATTACTCGCACATAAGATGGATGAATGCTACTGTTTTGCTCGATCCTTTTTTTTGCCTCTGTTGGAAGAAAACAGCCGTTTGACATGATCTTGCTTCGTGCTGCGCAGCGTATCGATAGAAAGTTTCTCGAACGTGTAAAGAAATGGTCTAGAGATAGACTCACGACTCAAAAGGTTGGTAACAAGTGTGAGAATTGTTCGGTGTTCATGCCGCGATGTTTAATTTGTGAAATGATATTATGTACGCCAATGCAGGAACGGAAATCGCCGAGGATGACGAGCGTCATGCCGATGTTGTCTATGAGCTTCGGACAATCGCCCAGCGGCGGGAGCTCCAACTCACCATCGCCTTCACTATCATCACGACGTATCGCCCTTCAAACAACAATCTTGACGACCTCTATCCCCTCATCGTCGCTCCCCTCTGGCCTGCCAAAGCCCTGGTGATTTCACGTGCTCCCATCTCCGAGCTGCGGCGCCACTCCTCGACACGCGCCTTTCTTACACGACCACAACTCATACCCTCGCATCACAATCATCATGGTCGGCGCTCCCTCTGCTGCCGCCAGTTTGGTCGGCTTCCTCTCCGAGCCCGACACAGCGCTGCAGGTCTTCGCTTTGGATGAGCTGAACAAGGACATGGACAACATCTGGACTGAGGTCTCTGGCTCCATCGGTCAAATGTGCGCACCATCAAGGAATTCACTATGAACACGGCTGACTGAATGACAGTNNGAGGCTCTCTACGAAGACGAATCATTCCCCGACCGTGAACTGGCAGCGCTTGTGGCGGCCAAGGTCTACTATCAGCTCCAGGAGTACAACGAGTCTATGGTCTTTGCCCTCGGCGCCGGCAAGCTCTTCCGTCTCGACCACCAGGGCGAGTTTGAAGAGACTATCGTTGGTATGTGCTTTCAACAGGCAAATAACCCTTCAAGCAGCTGACACCCCTNNGTAGCCAAGTGCATCGACACGTACGTCGCCCTCTCAGCGCTTCAGAACCCTCCCACTCCCTCAAGTTCCGTGCCATCGGCATCCCACAACGACTCATCGCTACCCGCTGCCAACGGCAGTGCCAACACCACGACCCCCTTCTCGCAATCATCCGCACCACCGAAGTCCCTTCTATCTCGCGAAGCCGATGGCGTTCAGATCGAAGGTGCAGCCGCCGGAGTCTCTGGCTCACACCCTTCTCCCAACTCACTCTCGCCCACTACGCAAAAGAGCCTCCACGGTGTCATTCAGCGCATCTTCGAGTCATGTTATCAGTCCGGCGCATACCGTCACGTTGTAGGCATTGCCATCGAAGCACGCAACCGTCAAGTTCTGAAGGATGCCATCCTGCGCTGTGGCAAGGACAAGCAAAGCACCGACGAATTGATGGAGTACGTGCTCGACATCTGCATGAACGTGGTACAAGAGCGTGGTCTAAGAGACGAAATCTTGCAGCTCATCCTCGAGCTGCTCAACGACATCCCCGACCCCGATTACTTTGCTATCGCTCGATGCGTTGTACATCTTGGTCAGCACTCTATGGCTAGCAACATGCTGCGCCAGCTCGTCCAGAAGGCCGACGCAAAGTCCCTCGCAATTGCATACCAGTTGTCTTTCGATCTGTATGAGAACGGTACCCAAGAATTTTTGATTCGCGTTATGGAGGAACTGCCTTCGAGCGACGACAAGTCGCCCGAGCCCACAAGTGAAGGCGCCGACGATGCTGATGAGTCTACCCAGCTCTTGTCTGAGTTGCGTAGGAGCACAGGACCTTCGGGAGCAAAGGCTAGCACAGCAGAGGAGAAGAAGGCATTCAACTCAATACGCGACATCCTCCGTGGCACCACTAGCATCGAGCTGAATCTTGAGTTCCTCTTCCGCAACAGCCACACGGACAAGCACATTCTCAACAAGGTCCGCGACAGCCTCGAGGCTCGCAACTCCATCTTCCACACCGCAGTCACCTTCTCCAACGCTTTCATGAACTCTGGTACTACCGTCGACACCTTCTTCCGCGACAATCTCGAGTGGCTGGGCAAGGCCGTGAACTGGTCAAAGTTCACCGCCACTGCTGCTCTTGGTGTCATCCACAGAGGAAACTTGGCAAACGGCCGCAAGCTTCTTGAGCCTTATCTTCCCAAGCGCAATGCTGTCCCCGGTTCAGGTTCCCCTTACAGCCAGGGTGGTTCTCTCTACGCTCTGGGTCTCATCTACTCCAACCACGGCACCAACGTGCTTGACTACCTCCTCGAGCAGTTCAAGGATACTCAAGAAGAGGTTGTTCAGCATGGTGGCGCTCTCGGTCTTGGTGTCGCTGGTATGGCCACTGGTTCCGAAGACATCTACGAGGCTCTCAAGGGCGTTCTCTACAGCGATTCGGCCATCAACGGTGAAGCTGTCGGTCTTGCCATGGGTCTTGTCATGCTCGGCACTGGCAACACCAGAGCTCTTGAGGATATGATCCAATATGCTCACGATACACAGCACGAGAAGATTGTGCGCGGTCTTGCTATGGGTATGGCTTTGATCATGTACAACCGCCAAGAAGGTGCCGACGAGCTCATTAATGGTCTGCTCGACGACGCTGACCCGACACTGAGATATGGTGGTATCTTCACTGTTGCCCTTGCCTACTGTGGTACCAGCAGCAACAAGGCCGTCAGAAAGCTGCTCCACGTTGCTGTCAGCGATGTCAGTGATGATGTTCGCCGTGCTGCAGTCATGTCATTAGGTTTCGTTCTCTTCCGCAAGCCTGGTGCCGTTCCTCGCATGGTCGAGCTCCTTTCCGAGTCCTACAACCCTCACGTCAGATATGGTGCCACCATGGCTCTTGGTATCGCATGTGCCGGAACTGGTCTGGATGAGGCCATCGATCTTCTCGAGCCCATGATGAAGGACTCTGTCGACTTCGTTCGTCAGGGTGCTCTTATCTCACTGTCGATGATCATGGTCCAGCAGAATGAAGCCATGAACCCCAAGGTTGGCACAATTCGCAAGACTCTGCAAAAGATTATCAGCGACAGACACGAGGATGCTATGTGCAAGTTTGGTTGCGCTCTTGCTCTCGGTATCATCGATGCTGGTGGTCGTAACTGCACCATTGGCCTGCAAACTCCTACCGGCAACCTCAACATGTCCGCCATTGTCGGTATGGCCGTCTTCACCCAGTACTGGTACTGGTTCCCTCTTACCCACTTCCTCACCCTTTCCTTCACACCTACCGCCATCATCGGTGTCGACTCGGACCTTGAGATCCCATCGTTCAAGTTCCACAGCAACACCCGTCCCAGTGTGTTCGACTACCCGCCTGAAGCTGAAGTCAAGACCGAGGAGGCTCCCGAGAAGGTCAAGACTGCCATCCTGTCAACAACAGCACATGCCAAGCGTAGAGAACAAGCAAAGAAGAGACAAGCTAGACGCGAGAGCATGGACATTGACATGACACCTACAACCCCCAAAGTCGAGTCCGGTGACAAGATGGATATGGACGACAACGTCATTGACACAGCCAAGCTTGCCGAGGAAAAGGGCGAGGCTGCTCCCACGGAAGGCAGCACAAAGAAGAAGGCCGAGCGTGAAAAGGTGGGCTACGACCTGGAAAACATGAGCCGCGTCCTTCCTGCACAGATCAAGTACATTTCGTTTGCACAGGATGGTCGCTACCAACCAGTGAAGAAGCCCACTGGTGGTGTCATCCTCTTACACGACACTCAGTCATCAGAGTCCAAGTCTCTGCTTGAGCTCAAGGCCAAGAAGAAGACCAACAACGCCGCTGCTGCACCTGTCGTTGGCGGATCATCACAACAGGAGACACCGTTCACTCCTGCCCGCCAGACCGGTGATGACGCTCTTGCGGCGTTGGGCTTCGGTGCCGCAGCAGGTGTCGGCGCAGCTGCCGCATCTGGTGTGCTCAATGCAGTGGATGAGGATGTGGAAGGAGGCGAGGAGGCAGAAGTTCCTGAGGAGTTCGAAGTCGAGGATGAGGACATGGTTGATGACGAATAGCGAAGCATTCCATAGAGATACTGGCCACTTGTCCATGTAATATATTTTCTTTCACGTTGATTGTATGTTTTGCCTGCTGATGTTTGTCCCGTGCTGCTCTACTGCACCCGTGGCGGATTGTCATCGTGTTTTGATCTTGGAAGACGATGGTGACGTGATAAATAAGTGGCTGGCAATTGAGGACTCGAGCCTCGGATGTGTATACGAGGGCGGTGAGATACTGCCATGTCAGTAGAATGGTGAGTCTACCTTAAGGTACTGCCCACAGAATGACTCTACACTGATAATGATACTGTTGAGCTTATTCTTGCCATCCTCTTGATGCTGTGCGCGAGTCTCGGACAGCTCAAATCCTTGCGGACGTGTTTTCGAGCTATCAATGTTTTATATGGTAGTTCGATAGAAGAGCGTGATATTGCATGGTCATTTTCTCAAAAATATTATTGTGTTCAGATTTTTCGAGTATATATCCACGAACAGAGGACAGATCGCTAAAGAAACTTATTAACAGACACCTCTGACCACCAGATATATCTCAAAGCTATACAGAGACTATAGGATGTACGTGGTGGTGCTGTAGGCACTCTTAAGGGGCCAAACAGGTTGCTTGGGGGATGACCCTGATGTTAAATTAGGCGTTGGCGTCTTCGTCATATCTGGAGGAGCAAGCGACAAGATTTCTATACACGCGACACGAGTTTACGACACAATCAACATGAATACCTGAGTACGATATACCTGTACGGCTAAAGCGGAGAATCGCGATCAACACACGAACGAGGATGGCGGAAAAGCGACGAGCCTCAGGACGGGCGCGAGACGCGAAACGACGAAGGACATCGACCAAAGTACCGACGCCAAAAGATGCGACACCTCAGGAGGCCACGCCAGTCGTTGAAGAGCCAGTACGAGAAGCGACACCATTACCGAACAAGGTCGTCGACTCGAAGCCTCTGCCCACCCTTTCGGAGCGCCAAAGCACCAACTTGTCCAACGACGAATACAAGACGATTGCGGAAAGTGGAGTGTTGCTAGCATCACTGGAAAGGTCACGGCAGAAGTGGATCTCTGGCACCTTCTTCGACAAGTACTGGACTAAGACGTCGGGGAGGAAAGATGCGCCTCCAGCGCCGCCGGGCAACCCACACAAGTCATGGATGAAGGAGATTGCGCCATGCACGTTGGTAGTAGAGCCGCTGATCTTCGACGCGACGGTGTACTACGTCAAGGAGCCAGGCCCAGCGCCCTCATCCTCGTCGTCACATCAAGCACCTCAGCAGCACTTTCAACAGCAACAATACCAGCATCAGTACCAACATGCTCCTCCCCAGCAGTACAACCAACAACAACCACGACCAAACCCTAACACTCCTGCTGGCAGTCCCTACGGAGCTCCATACTCATCACATCCTTCTACGCAGTACCAGGGTCGTCCCCACCCTCCACCAATCATGCCCGCTACCGCTCGAGCTCCACCACCCCCACCTGCAGCGCCTGCACCCGTCAAACAGTCGCCGGACCCCGTCATCCAGATGCTTGCCTCACGCGCAAGTAGCGATGCCGAGCTCAAAGCACTCATGAAGATTGTAGCCACGGGTAATGCGAATCAGGAGCAGTTGCGCATCTTCCAGAGACACATAGACGAGTTGACGGCCATGATCAACGCCAACAAGGCCCAGCCAAACAGTCAAACAAACTCTCCCGCTCCACCACATCAACACGCCAACTCACGTCCTCCGTCGGCCGCTCCTGCCATCAAACCACACCCTGCGACAGTACAGCCACATGCTCCAATATACCCTATGCCTCAACAGCATCCGCAATACCAACACCAACCACGTCCACCACCGAGCTATCCCAGCTATCCCATCGTACTCGAGTTCCAAGGTCCCGGCGCCTCGCCCGACCGCTTCCGCTTTCCCGAATATACCATTCTCGAGTTTCTCAATTCCTACAAGATGCTCGCATCATTCCTCGTCATTCGCAAAGGACGGGACATTAGTCCTCAACTCGACCCTGATACCGAGTACTACGAGCCTGTCACCATGACAATTAGCGTGTCCGAGGCTCGCTCGGCTGCAAGAGACGTTTTGCAATTCATCACTCGCTGTGTCAAGCCTGCCGACCAGGTCCGCAATTACATGACAGACAAGATCGAGAAATGCACACGTGCTCCGACAAGATATCTTGCCTTTAGGCTGCCACACAAGAGCGGCATAACTGAGGTAGAAGAAGAGATTCCTGTCGTGCAGGAAGTCAAGCCCAAGCCCAAGCCAGCGCCTAGAAAGAAGAAGGAAGACAAGGACAATGATCAGACAGGAGAGAAGGATCCAGCGAAGGCTGCCATGCCAGCTCCCAACGGTGCAGCAGATACTGTACAACAGGTTCTCACGCCGAGTGCGACACAAGAACCGCCCACAGCCTTTTCTGTCGATCCTTTGACAGATCCTCAAGCTGGCACAAAAGAGGTGCAGGCTCCTACTACTGCGCCTGCACCACCTACGGGCCCAGAGTCTACGCAACCAGCAGAAGCACCAGCGGCAGAAGGCACAACCGCAAAGCGCAAGAAGTCCGTCCGCATATCAGAAGTGCCTACAATCGCCAACGACGGCAACACAACTATCAGCGCAGTAACAGCCGCACCAGATGCTCCTACAACCACAACCTAGATACCCATGTTCAATCAATCCAGCTAGCAATTGCTTATGCTCAAACACACGAAACCAACACGAGGCAATGTTTCTCGAATCAAGATGTGAAATGTTGTGAAAAGAGTAAGAATTTGTAGTTTGTAAAATAGATATGTACCGAGACTTCTATGGTGATTCGTCCAGGGGTGAATTTGTCACGAATACCTCAAACGCAAGGCCTTGTAAGTGTCAATCTTGCAAGTGTAGACCGGAGTCTAAACACCAGCTGCTCGATGGAGTGATGCGAGAGCCGAGAGGACTGACTTGCTATGTGTGGAAGTGGGAAAGGAAAGGAAATTGAAAATGTACAAACCTTTCATCTCATCTGTCGCGTTACATTCTCAAACCCGGTGAACGTCAGTTGATTCGTATATCAATTGACAATTCATGATGGAGAATGTTCCTGTAGGATCTGGCTTTGAGACGAGAGATGATGGAGGAGAGAAGAAGACAAACGCCGAGATTTTTTCGTAGAGGAGCAGATTGCGTTGACTTTTGACACGCCGATATTGAGTTGACAAAACTCTTGGTAACGTATGCGGATGACCACGGCCTTCAATCTTGTTACACCAATCCCAGAGAACACATACTCGTCTTGTGATACCTTTTCTTTAGAGTAAGTCAGATGTACAGATGCGTGTAAAGAGTCATCGCTGCTTCTTTTTATGCACGGCGACACTCTCCTCTTTACTGCATAAGACCATCCGAGAGCGCAATTTGCTGAAGGATGACAGGTTAGTATAGAAAGAGCCAACTCCATCAAGATGGGTGTACTCAAGAGCGGATTTCTGTTTCTTGTTTTTGCTGTTTCTCTCTATCCCGTTTTCGTACTTTTGTTGACGAATCCTTGGTTGCAACGACAGTGCGTATCGCTCCTTCCCTTTTCTCCTCTTTTATTCGACTGCTTGCTTCTTTTGTATTCTTGTTCTCTTGCACTACTTTTCCTCTCGATCATACATTGCGGTAAATTGAGCTTTTGTCTAATCCGTGTTAATCCATTAGCGNCGCTGTATGCCCATAAAATCCATTCTGGCTTCTGGCACGATGTCAACAAGCCAGAGTCTTTTGGCTTTGCTGCTCATCAAGTAACTCCTTTCAATGTCAGCACGCCAGACAATGAAGTGCTCTATGCATGGCATATCTTACCTCTTGCAACCGTAGCAGCAAACAGAGATGCTTTGGCTGCAGCCGACCTGCTTGATCAAACTCTGCCGCTTCAGCTTCTCAAATCCGATCCTGAAGCCAGAGTAGTCGTGAACTGTAAGTTTCCTGCGATGTTTTTTGAAGGTTAGAGGGGCTGACTAGAGACCANNGTCCATGGCAATGCAGGACATGTCGCTCAAGGCTGGCGTACAGACACTTATCGCGCTCTCTCGAATCAACCTCATACCCATATCTTTACAGTCGACTACCGCGGTTTTGGTCGCAGCACTGGCTCGCCAACTGAAGCAGGTCTCATCACTGATGGCCGCGCTTTGGTCCAGTATGTCCTATCCCTCGGCATTCCTCCCTCCCGCATCGTGATCCTCGGCCAAAGTCTTGGAACCGCAGTCGCCTCAGCCGTAGGACTGAGCTTCTCAGACCCGACCTCTGAACTCCTGCCTCAACCTATATCCAGCAGCAAATTCGACACCGCAGTCTTCAGAAGCATCATTTTGGTGGCACCATTTGCCTCGCTACCAGATCTTTTGCTCAGTTATCGTATTGGCGGGTTAATCCCCGTGCTGGCACCTCTGCGCAGCTCACCCTTTCTCGTCCGCATGATTTCGAAGTATATCCTTGATACTTGGCCCACTGGTCTTCGCCTGAACGCTTATGTGTCTGCTGCTGCTTCTGCGGTATCTGAGAACAGTGGTGCGGGAAACGTGCATATTTTGCATGCGCGCGATGATCAGGATATTGCCTTTGCACAGACGGAGAAGTTGTTTGCTATAGCTACTGGGAGAGAGGTTGCGGTGTTGCCTTTGGGGATGAGAGAGGTAGTTGGGGAGGGCAAGGTTGGGGTTAGGGTTGAGATGTTGGAGTACGGGATGCATAATCGGGTTGTTACGTATGCTCCTGTTGGGTTGGCTGTTATGAGGGCTTTTGAAGGGGTGTAGATTGGATTGGTGGAGGAGATTTGGGGAAGGGATTCATGAGATTGTTTGGTATCGGTTTCAAAGTGCTTTATTGGTTTGTTGTATAGGTCAAGGCTTCGCAGCCGTTGTATAGATATGTATATGGTTTGTAACCTCTTGTACGCTCTGTGTCTTGATATAATGCTCTAGACATGGTTTCACCTGCAACGTGCAGACACTACCATCTAGTACCACATACCCTTCTATCACCCGTAATAATCCTACGTCCTTATCGGAATCAGCTCTATATAGCAACAGAGTAAACAGCAATGCTGGAAGGAGCATTGTTGCTCACCAAGGTCTCCTATAACACTGATTGGCTTGTTCATGGCGATTAGCCGAAGTACCGAAGTATCGCCAGTACTGACCACCGCTCCTGCAGCAAACAGGCGCCTTCTTCTTCTGCGCAGACAAATCATCATCAACTTTCCTTTTCCTATCATGGTATCCATCACATACCAGCCAAGTCATCTGGGCTGGCCAACCATAGTGGCAGCAATCATCTAGAATCTGTTTGCAGCTTCCGAAACAGCAACATGGTCTCGTGGCGCTCGGCTCTGTCTCTGGATCTCGGATATCTTGCTGGCTTGTTGGGGACTTGGTGATCTTGTGTGCTATTTTTCTGGACGTGACTGCTGTGTTCAGGTGCTGTAGAGTTATATCATTTCGAGTGGCACCGAGGACATTGTCACTGAGAGTCTTGCAGCTCTCGGCTTTCTTTGGACATGTTTCTGGAATACAAAGTGCTGTGACTTTTTAGTGGCACGATACCACCGGTTCTAGATCCTTGAAGAGCTGTCATCGAGATTTAATGTGCCTGGTCTGCTGAGCGAGTTTCCAAGCTCGGCATCGCTCTCGCGTACTGCATGTCAAGATGCAAGGACCATTCGAGCCTGCTGTCATTGTCCAGTGAAAGCGATGATACTGTCGATTCTCAATAGATATTCTCGGATACCGAAAGGTGCTCTGCATCCCTACCGGCCTATACTGGACCGGGTATGCTGGAAGGAGTTGTCTTGTTGCTGAAATGCTTTCGTCAACACAAGGCTCCAGTGCCTTCGACCTTTTGCTATCGTCATCAATGTCGTGTCATGAGGCAAGGATCAAAGCAATATGACAAAGGTGTCCAAGGAAAGCCCTGGCTCTGTCGATAGTCGGCCAATGTCTCTCTGGATATAAGCTTTATCTCAAATACTCTGTCCTCTCTCGACAAATCGATACTGGTAAGAGGGAGAATATTGATGCAGCGTGTTGGTCCACTGGCCTACTGCACCATCACCGCCACAATATCGGCGCTTCCAACTCCCGCTTGCTCCGGTCGGAAACACCTCGCTGCCGCTACCATATCAAGCTAAGAGACTGGTTAGCGCAGCGGGACTCTCCGGTGAAAGCGTTGTATATGAACACAACACCTGCGCGTGCTCGACTCTGCGACTAAACCTTCAGCACCAACCGCCAGGCCACCAACCTTCTTCTTACAACCACCCCTCTACAAACAACCATGCCCACCCACCGCTGCACACTGTGTCCCCAGTCGCGCATCACGGAATGCAACAGCGAAGGCAACATGGAATCCCACTTGGGCGCCATACACAGGATGGGTCCCAACGAGTGCACCGTCCGTGGCTGCGGTCGCCGCTCCTACAGACAGTATGTATCATACTGCATAGTATCGCGTCTTGTATCCGACTTTCGATTTGCAGCGATCGCAACAACAAGGACCACAAAGGCCCTCCCGTCCATGATGCTCAGTGGCACAAGCCACAAGCCCTGGTCGAAGCCTTGGTAAGAGAGGTCTCGGCTTGTCGCCAGGCCTTTGTTGCCGCCCACGCTCAAGCCCCTGCCGCCGTCGCTCCAGCCCCTGCCGCTGCTGCTCAAGTCCCTGCTGCTGCCGCTCAAGCCCCTTCCGTCGCCGCTTTCCCTCCTCTCGCCGCCCTTGCTATCTCTGCTCTTCCCGCAGCCGCTCAAGCCCCTGTCATTGCCGCTCCATTCCCTGTCGCTGGCCCCTCTGCTCCTCCCACCGCCACTGCTCAAGGTCCAGTCGGTGGTGATCCCACCAGAGCGTACCTCAACGCCGTCGCGTTGCACGTCTTGGAGGGCTTGAAGCGCCTGACAGTTCTCAGGCCCGAAAAGCCTATCAAAATGCTGGGCGAGTATCTCCTGAGACGTCATGCCGGCCAGCCTGATGACCAGGACAACATCCTCCCTCGTGCCGCTCAGAGCTACACTGGTGACGAGTCCTCCAGAGACTACAAGCACCGCACTGGACTTCCGGCGTACTGCATGGAGGCAAACAAATATCTGGCTCATTACAAGCCCCAGGAGCCATTGAAGTGGCTGGGTCAGTGGCTCGTGGCCCGCAGCGCTGAACACGAAAGATAGGGAGAGGACGAATGACAGTCCCTCGGGCATGGATACATGGAACTCTGCTGAACTCTACATAGCAGAAGGGTTCTTTCACAAGGTTTATGATAGCACCGTGGCGTTTTGTTTTGCAGGTTTCCCCTTTCCCCTTGCTTTTCCACTTGGGGGCTGTTTCTACTCTAGTCACTCTCTTCTCTCAACATGAGAGCTAATGGCACTTTTCTTTTCTACTTTCTCGCATCCATCGAAGCAAGCTCTAGACATGACGAACACCACGTCCGTGACCGTAATACTCGATTTGCACTTCTCGGAACGAAAAGGAAGAAGATTTAGGACAGCGGAATACACGCACGATGTCCTTTGAAGTATTTCGTGGAAAGGAGAGCCAAACAAAGACTAAGCGGCAGTATGCGAATACATAGTAGTGCCCGGGCATCGATGCACCTTTGCTTTATGATCCCGCGCTTAATCTCAAAACTCTGTGAGTTTTTTTGCATTTCGACAGGTAGAGCTAGGTAAAGAGCAAGGAGCAGTATACGTATGCAGTAGTGCCCGGGTATCGATACACCCCCGCTTTGTGATCCCGCACTCAAAATCAAAAACTCTGTGGCTTTTTCTTGCGTTTCGACAGGCAGAAGTAGATAAAGTGTAAGGAGCAGTATGTGTGTGTAGTAGTGCCCGGGTATCGTCGTACCTTTGCTTGCTCTATCTCTATACCAACCGTCGGAAGTTTTTAATGATTCTTTGCGTGGCGACGAGTGTTTGTAAGGTTTAGGGACCGGTACCTGGAGGTTCTTAAGTAGTGTCTATGAGTATATCTTGGAATTCTTCATGGTAGGATGGTAAGGAGGTCTACTTATAGAGTTTATGCACGATACATCTTTAGAATTTGTGGTTTATGGATAGTCATATATAAATAGATAGGGGTAGCTATACAAGTGTCATGCCCGGGCATTGTCGCGCTTTATCCGATGATCCCGCGACTTAGACGAAGAGGTTTAGATAGTTTGTTGCATTGCGACAGGTACTTATAGAGTAGTGGTTTATAGTATTAAAATGTGTTTGACGTCGAAGTACCCAGCAATCGTTTACCGCGCATACAAGTATAGAGTACAAAAGCTAGAGTCTACGTAGTATAATAGAAAGAGAACGTATATAGCGGAGTATATGCACGGTAGTTTTAGAAACTTATGAAGACAAAGGGGCTAAACTTATAAAAGTATACAATATTAACAATTACTATTTTTGCAAGAGAAGGCTGATAGAGAAATGTCATCCAAACACAGAGTGTTATCGGGATCAAAGTTGTGTTCATAGAGAGCTGATTGCTTCAACACCTCTCTCCGGATGACGCTAATTGACAGATACGCTTATGCATATCCATAGCTATAATTCGAGTAGTGAGTGAGGCAAAGAAGAGCAATGGAACGTGACAAACGAGTGAAACGTGCAAGAAACGAACATCACCTCCATGAGGGAAGAATCACCGTGAAAGAGATGTAAGACTGCAGAGTGGTTTCAGAAAGGAAGGTGTATGCGGGAAGAGTTCACTAGGTATACACCTCTCGCTACAAGACCGTCAAGATAACAATGTACTGTGCATTTTAACAGCCACACTTTATCTCAGTAATGAGGGGTGAGATGGAAGATGATGCGACAGAACTTATGCAACACACGGAATACACTTTCTCCACAACAAGGTGTTGACAATAGATTGCTATCATAACGCAGAAGAGTTTCGAGAAAGAGGGTGTGTCCATAGAGAGAGCTGGTTGCAGGGGTTCATCTCTCTGGCCCGCGTTCGACGATCAAACAAGTTTCTGCATTATGATAGATACACTTTATTCGATGAGTCAGAGAGTAGACCCCTAAGCCCCGTCAATCTCAATCTCTCACGAAAACAAGAAAAGCAAGTAATGGTTGAAGTCTCGCATCTGAACATCGCCAGATTGACAAGACATGGCGTTGAGCTAAATACTGTCCACATACTGTATCAATCCGACTCAATCCCCACTGGAGATCTGAAAAACAAATGCACTTCCTAGATATTCCCAACTTGCTCAGCTTATAGATCATCGATAGAATTGATTTCGAGATTCTACACTTTGGACTCGAGAGAACTGAGGTCAGCAATCACGGCATCATAGTTCGGTGGTCGTGTGGGCGCTCTCCAGAAGGCGTCTCGCGCCTGCCTGATGCGGTCAGTAACCCAGGTCGGGACAAATGCCTAAAAATCACGAGCTTCTCGTTCAAACGCAATGAGGGATGTTAGCTCTGTGTCTGGACATACTTGGGTAGTCTCGTAGTAGTCGCGGCGAAACTCTTCGTCGACACGTGCGATGCGAGCGCCACCTTGGGTATACTGAGCTGTGTAGAGCAACTGTTGCTGCAGCAGTGCATGCGAAGCGAGAATTCGTGATCTGACGGGAGATGTGGTCATAAAGTTTACCAAGGCCATACCCTGCAAGGTGTGTCAGTGAAATCCGTCCCCATGGTAGATTCTCTTCTTGGACTTCCAAGCTGCCACTTACAGTTCAGATATGGTGTACAAATCTGCCCCGATTGGCCCCAGTGCGCACTGCTTGATCAACATATCCTTGGAAAGTGACCTCACTGACAGGGAACCCCAGAAGAAATTTCCTTTGGCGCCGTTGAGCTCGGCTTGTGTGATGAGCATGGAGCTACGGTTCTCTGTCGTTCCAATGGCGTGTGATGCTCGTGCCTGAGGGTTTTTCGCATTCCACCGTCTCCATAGAGGAGCCGTTTCACTGAATTGCCACCTCTGGGGGCCTTACATAGCTTAATTCCCAGTCGCCATTCAATAATTTCGCATATGTATCCATCACCAGCCCCTGATACCTAACCTTCTTCCAACCGACATCGTAGAGCCTGCATCCTTGAACAGGCTTTTCGCCATCATCAAACACATCATCATAACCAGCCGCTTCAGCATCATGATCGGCTGGATCTGGCAAAGTCCAAGTAGCGCGCACAAGATTGACGTACCCAATACCTTCTAAACCAAGCTCTGGCGACTTGGGAGCAAGCTCGACCACAGATCTCAACGCTGCCTCGTCCACATGCACACAATATGTTGTGCGGGGTGTTTGGTCGTAAGCAAATGGTGCAGCATCAAGTCTGCTGTACTCAGAAGCAGGACAACTCTTTACCCACTTTCTAAAATGCTCGCGAACAAAGTCCATACTAGCCCCATTTAACAATGCCTTGTCGTCCTGAATTTTCCAATCTAGCGTTTGCAGAGGCTCTTCAGTGCCGTAGTATTCAGTTGATCGACGGGCACTTTTGTTGAGGATGTCGATGAATTTCTTCCAGGCGGCATCGTCACCGTATGTGCAGCGATAAACCACAAAGCCCCAGTGTTTGTGACCGAGCTTCTCATGACTGTACTTCACCTTGAGACCAGCGTTCCAGCGATCTGATTCATCTTTGGTCCAGGGAAATGCCGAACCCTAGGGATAATCTGGGTGCATCGATGAACTCATTGTGCATCGGAGGAGACTGGCTCTAACACAGGTGATTGGAAATCGCTGTAGGTTTCTTGTATGTAATATCAAACGTCTTTCATGTGTTGGTGATGATGGAATTTGGAGTCGCGTCAACCTGCGTGAAAATGCGTGAAGCGTCATCGAAAACAAGTTGGTCTGTTGTTCTCCAGATGAATGTGAAGGGTGAGAGGGCTGAGAGGGGGCGTCAGTCTATTTATATTTGGCAATGTGACACACGAATTCGAGGTGCAGGGTTTGTCCAGTGCACCCTCGAGTCCGTTTCCGGCCTAGTATATGTCGGTTGATGTCTTCTTGCAACATGGCAGCTACCGTTCACCATGTCTTTTGTATAGACGCCCGCAGTACTCTGGTAGTCAATTTATCTACGGAATTGCCAAGCAACCTGATTAGTCAGCTAGCTGCTTGTGTGACAGGTCAGAAAGAATTGGTGTATATTAAGCGTAAGCTATGGACAGTAAAGAATCTGGCAAGATAATCATAGACGCCATTGAATTCATTCTAGCCCTATCGTAACTCCCATTAGAAACCCCACAGGTACATAAGGATATAGCACCATTGTCTGCATCTCAATTTGAGAGGACAGGGGTTCTACCATCCCACTCTTCACTGGAGATCGCGTCTAGCATAAACTTAGCAACACTCTGTGCACTCACGGAAGGCATGAATCCCGCTTTTTCTCCTGTATCGCCTAGAATCTTGACGGGCAAAGCTACTTCGCCCTTCAGCATAGCAGGTCTAGGCATCACAAATACCAGTCCACTATTCTTGATGACTCCATCAACGGCATTATGGTCGTCGAGTGTTTGCTTCATGTTCGAGTAGAGCATAGTTGCTCGCATGAGAAAGTTGAGGTTGGTGAAGGAGGATCCAGTGCCGAACATTGACATGAGTACCAATTTCTGAACTTTAGGGCCGAAGGCCTTTGCTGCTGAGACCACTGCAGTAGCCGAGTCAGACATGAATAGTCGAGGCGAAGTCGTCGCGGCGAAGGGGTTTCCAGATGTACGTGTTTGGCCCAGCGTGCTGATTACGACCACTGGACCCGAGGTAAGGGAGAGAGCGGTAGTGATGGCGGCAGAGTCAAGAGGAGAGCCCTCGAAGATTGTAAGGTTGGGTTGCGGTGACAGGTATGAGGATGGCCGGATCAAGGCGACGACTTTGTGGCCGCGTTTCAGTGCTGATGCTAGAACGAGACGACCAGTGCGGCCTGTAGCTCCGATGAGGAGGATGTCAGGGAGATTGGTAGGGGCGAATGTCGACATGATGGACGATAGCTGAGTATTTGTTTTGATGAGAGTGCCTGCTAGAGCTATACAGGTTGATCGAGTGGTTGTGGTATTGAGATAACGATGGTACTGTAGATTGTAGGTGGGTATGACTTGGGAAGCTGGCGGTACCAGATCTATCTTTATATTTTTTCATATTGACCTATATGAATCTCCTACACCTTCGGTGTTAACAATAAGAAGCCAGCTACGACCCTTGGGCGGCTTGATTACTGGGAAGGAAGGAAAGAGCTCTCGGAGAAGGAGTTGCAGTCGGCCGCTCGGACTTGTTATGTCCGCCCTCGGCCGAAACAGTGCCTGCAGTTCTTGCGAAGCCGTCAAAACATCACCTCAATCCTTCCAGCTTGGTCAGCCACGAGTGACCAATCGACCAACGCTATGTTACACATGCTGCTTAAGCTCGTACTATCATCATCTTGTCGGGGATGAGGGCCTTGTAAAATTGCGTGCGTCATGTGCAGGAGAAGGATTTCAATGCTCGGCCGACGCACATACTGTAAGCATGACCGGTCGAGTACTTCAATAAAAGGCAGGCGCCTCGTGAAGTATATAACCTGCCATATCGTCTACTTCGAGGTAACTATATCCTCATCATTCTTCGGACATCGCGATTAGCTCTCAGACCATCTTCCCTACAACCAGTACTAGCCCAACTATTCACCAATCTCGGATCCTATCGAATTACTCCTGTCTTATAATATCGAAATGGCAAACGAAGTCAGCGTTATCGGCGCTGGCATTGCAGGCCTAACATTGGCCCTCAGCCTATACAGTCAAGGCATCCCTTGCGCCGTCTACGAGTCCCGCCCTGAACCCCAAAACATCGGCGGTGCTGTAATGCTATCCCCCAACTCGCTTAGACTGTTCGACAACATTGGCATCTACAACGATCTCAAGCGTCACGGCTATAATTTCGACACCCTCTACTTTCGCGACCTCGCCGGCTCCCTCAAGGAAACCTACCCCTTTGGCAGTGTCGAAAAGTATGGATACAGCGGTCTCCGCGTCTACCGCTACCAACTCATCGATTTACTGCTCGAGAAACTCAAGGCTAATAATACACCCATGCACTTCAACCACAAATTCTCGCATGTGATTTCTGAATCCAAGGATACCGTGACCTGGCAACTTGTCGATGGCACCACGAAAACATCTTCACTCTTGATCGGTGCAGATGGTATCCACAGCCGAGTCAGAAAATACATGTATCCCGATCTATCGCCAAAATTTACCGGTATGGCTGGTATCACCGCTGCAGTCCCCACCGCAAACATCAAACTGCCTTCTCCAGACTACGAGATGCCAGTCACGATCATGTCACCCACTCATGGCGCTTTTGTCATTGCGCCTCAAACGCCAGATGGCAGTGAAGTGTTGATCGGAAAGCAAAAGCGCATGGCTGAGCTCTCGCGTGAGGGTTGGGAACAAGTCTTTGCCGACAAAGAGGCTTCTGTTGCTNTTTTGCGTGAGGGAGCAGAAGTGTTTGGCGATATTGCTGTCTCGGCTGCCTCTGATATCCCTCTTGAGAACCTCAATGTCTGGCCTTTCTACGTCATCCCCAAACTCGACTCTTGGTCTTCTGACAATAGGAGGGTGCTGCTGGTAGGTGATTCAGCTCACGCGTTACCCCCATCGAGTGGCCAGGGGATCAGCCAGGCTGTCGAGGACGTAGTAATGCTAGCCATACTATTAGGAAAAGGTAGACGTGAGAAGAAAGACTTGGGTTGGTGGCAAGAATTTCGACAAGTCAGGCTTCAACAAATCTCACTCTTGAACGCCCGCATTGATCGCCGAAGATTACCCAAAGTTCTGGGAGCTCAAGAGAAAGACGACGATGAGCAAGGGTTTGATCTAGATTGGTTGTATGGAATTGATGTTGTCGCAGAGGTGGAAAAATATGTCGGTGGGTTGTAAAAGCTTGGGCCATTTGTCTTACGGTTTCTGGCTCCAGCTTAGGTTTCTTATATCAGGCTGACCATGCGAACCACATCTATAGTAGTGCACAATGTTGTTTTACTCTTTGACATTGTCTAGAGAGAAAGGCTGAAGCCACCAGGGAATTCCTTTTCTCTTTTTCTTTTCAATTTTCCTTTTTCTCTCTCTTAGATATGATTGTCGATTAGAACCCCTTCTCTATCCATATCATCTCTTTACTGTTACTCTGTTGTCTGGTATACTAGAGTCGCCCTAGACTTCTTGAACTGGAAGCATATATCAGTGTAGTGAAATAAGTGCTTGTTCTCAACGCACAATCGAAATATTAATGTGTTATGCGCAAGAAGAGCAAAAACGTCTCGCCTATCTTGTCAGACTATGATAGGAGTTGGCGACGAGATAAATGTATATGACCTAATAGCAAATCTCCTCACCAAGTCATAGTCCCTACTGTCTGTTGTCGTGCTATACAATCGACAATGCGTAGGACAGACTAATAACACAAGAAAGAACACCTCACATATCCTAGACAACCTCGAGAGATACACGGCACTCGATATCCTTGATGTAAAATAGCACAGTACTCTACCCGTTTGACGACACTACTTCTCTGGATCCAAGCCTTTTGGGCTTTATTTTCCGTCTCTGATATTGAGACAAGATTACCTCCATGCAATCCCCCGATGATGTGATGCGATATCGGTACAACAAGATGTCAAGAATCAAGTTTAGCGGTGGTCCGGGAACATCTAGTCGAAAAATGTACTGTACATAAGCTCATCACAGGGAAACCGGCGCTCTTTGTCTATTTATTCTGTTCATTTGGCTATAAGTTCATCTATATATCCTTGTATGATGCATATATCGTAGCTTCGTATTCTCTGTATCGCAAAATCATTGTTCGCTGCTGCTGGCGTCTCTGGCTGTTGCACAACCAACAACAAAGAAACTTGTAGAAGCCGCAAAGCCGGGGACGACCACGGGATTGTGGTTTCGGTGGGTCGTGTATTTGGCACTTGCAATGCCGTGGGTTGCACGTGCCTCGTGTCGTTTGGGCAAGAGTTGATATGGCGGTGCTTTGATGTCGACGTGTCACCATTGTCGATGGAGCGGGGATCCTCTTGTAGGAACTCTCGATTGCTGAGATTGTCCCCAAGGCCGTTGCGACGGAAAACATGCCTGTCTGGTCCAGAGGAGACAAACAAATCCGTGCTTTGGTGGGCAGCTGCAGAAGTGTTTGGTCCCGAGCGGGTGCAGCGAATTGTCATACTTCGTCATCATGATTCGAGTCTCTCTTCTTTCATCAACCACCCATATACTTCTGCACCAACGCTACCATCCGCGGCACCAACTCTCTGACCAAGAACGGCTTTGTAACAACCTCATCCATACCAGCTCCCAACGCAACAGTAACTTGCTCTTGCCTAGCATTAGCCGTGATCGCAATCACGGGGACATGGTTTGCAATGTCGCCCTTCGCTTCCGACTGACGGATACGGCGGATGGCACCCAGACCATCCATGACTGGCATCTCGACGTCCATGAGGATGATGGAGAGTGGGATGGCAGTGGTAGAAGCAGAACAAAAGGTAGTGGTGGCGAGGAAGTTTAGGGCGGCGAGACCGTCATCGGCGACGTGGACTGTGTGGACGCCCAGACGGCGTAGCTGTTGGGCAATGACCTGCAGATTCGAGTATTAGCTTCTAGAAATGTTGACTTGCCAAGGGGAAAGAATGTGTCAGTACTTTTGATTGATCTTGTTGTCTTCGCACACCAAGACATGCAAATCTTTGACCGATAGACCGCTTTCTTCCGCAGCACTCGAGCTGGTCAGTACTTTGACGTCTTTTTGCCCTCCGCCTGAGGCAAGTTGAGTACGCCAGTCAATACTTCAGCCGACTTCACTGACTCGGTACCAGAGGCAGGCTTAGGGGCCTCTGTACGTCGCGTTTTGATGAAGAAGGCAAATGTCGAACCGACTCCCGCTGTACTCTTCACACCAATCTGTCCACCCTGGAGCTCAGAGAGGCCTCGGCTGATGAACAAACCCAATCCACTTCCGCCATATGTCTTATAAGTTTTGGGAGACGCTTTTGACATCCGGTTAGTTTTCCATGTTCTTAATGCTATGATGACTTTGGGAACACATGACTTACCTTGAGCAAACCTCTGGAAGAGAACTTTGCATTCGTCTTTTGTAAGACCTCGTCCGGTATCCTCGACACCGACATAGATGTACACTTCCTCTCCAAGTTCGAACTTGAACTCTGGCAAAGCCGCTGTGGGTGTACTGGGCACAGAAGGATCTTTCGTAGGATCCTTGCGCGGGCTCAAAAAGCAATACCAAAGTCTTTTTCGGTAGGCTTTGTAACAGAAGCAGAAAGCTTGATAGTGATCCTTCGTTCTTGTTCAAACTTGGTAAACTTGATGGAGTTGGATAGGAAGTTGATGATCTAAGTGAAGTCAGTAGGAGTATTATAGATGTGTTGGAATACTCACGACTTGAAGCAGACGACTAGGATCCACTAGGACAAAGTCCACCGCGAGGTCGACGTAGCTCTGGTCGATTTCCATGTTGGCCACGATTTTGGCGTGCTCAATCTCCTTCTCGAACATCTTGAGCGCCGTCTCGATGATTGTAGAGACCCGAGCTCTTTCCAGACTGAGGACTAAAAGATTCGAGTCCAGCTTTGAGAAGGTAAGAACTTCATCTGCTGACCATCAGTACCTGCTGCGTCTACGCGCTTGAATTTCAATCCCTACCTATAATGGTCTTCATGTGCCTAGCACAAAGTGTGATGGTCTGAGCCGAATCTTTCAGAGGCTCAACCGTATCGGGCGTGGGCGGGGTTTCCAGCAATGAAATGATGCCATCTGCTAGTTGGAGGATAGATGACAGTGGATTTCGCATCTCGTGCGACAACATGTCTAAGAACGTTTCCGTCGCGCGCTTGGTCTCGAGCGCGTCCTGGAGTTTCTCATTTATAAGGCGTTCATTCATCTTTCGCGGACTGACATCGAGGAGCCATCCTTGCACTGAAGTAACATTGCCTGCTTCATCGCGCTCCGCGAAGGACATGCTCTCGACCCATCTAATGCCATCAGGAAATTTAGGAGCTTTGACCCTGACCTCTGCCTGTACGGGCTTTGTACCAGAGATTGTGGAAATCCACATCGAGGTGGCCAACGGCACATCCTCCTCGAGAAGAGTCGCGTTCCAACCAAGACCTTCGTCTGCATTCTTGTAAAATTGTGTTCGGGATACACCATGTAATGCTAGGTATGCATCGTTGACAAAGACGGGGTATCCATCCGGTCGCAGCATGTACATTCCAATTGGAGCCTGTCTCGCCATGCGAGCATACGAATCCTCTTTTATCTCTGCCTCTAGAAGGGCAATTTGAAGCCTGTCAGACAATGCTGAGGTAATAGCTGCAGTCCGCTTTTGTTCCGCGGGCAGGGTAACGAATATGGCACCTTTCCGGGTCAAGTCACCTATCCTTGATACAAAAGACACGCTACCTTCATCGAAAGGTCTGCCAGGGTTCATACCAAAAATGGCGACTGCAAGCTTGCGATTGTGTAGGTCTGTGATGGGCAAGATACAGACAACTGTGATGTTACCGTGGTCAGCGGTGCTCCATTGTAGGTCGGAGGGAAGCGTGTCATCGTCCCGTCTTAGGACCAGCAATTTTTCGTAGTCGGACGCATTATTGAGTATCTTGAGCAGGGATGATGTTGACTGTGCATTAGTTCCACCAAAAGAAGCCTCGAGGACATAGTCTGGCGAAATTGGCGATGACTCGATTGATTGTGCATTGTCCGCAGGGCCAGCAACAGAGAAGATACAACCAGCAACAATGTCAATCGAAGTCTTGGCGAGAGGTTTCAGTGCGAGAGGCCACAGCTGCTTCAGATCGGTCGCACTAGCGGCGATCCGGATGGATGCGTCGAGGATGGCTGCTCTATTCTCTTGCATAACGGCAGTAGTGTTTTCGGCGAATTCGCAAACACATCCGAGATAACGGCCATCCGGGCCGATGATGGGTAGTTGATAAAAGTGGTGCCATGTTTGTTCGGAGAAGCCGTGCCTGTGCATCTCGAACATGACGTTCTTCATCTGATGTGCCTTGCCGGAGACGACAACAGCCCTGATTGTAGCGTCGATCTGATCGAACATTGGTTGGCCCCAGGTGTCGACCAAGGACGTTCCCAGACATGGGTGCTTCTGACCGAGGATGGCTACGGCGGCCTCGTTGTATAGCATTGCGTGTTGGTCGCCCCAATACAGGATACGGGTTTCTGGGCAGACCATCATCCTCTGGACGGCACGGCGCAACTGTGGGTGCCAGGCCGACATTGGACCTAGGGCAGTATCTTGGAAGGGGTAGTTCCGGATAAAGGACATCCACGGGTCGTCTTTTGGTTCCAGCCAGCCCATGTACATGTCTCTGAGCTTCGTCTCTTCTGACGGATCGTTGTTCTCGTCGCGTTGTTGGTCGTGGTCCAGCATTACGGCGTCCTCGGCAGACAATGCAGGTGCAGGTGCAGGTGATGCGGTCCATCGGCAAAATACAGTCATGATGTTTGATCCAAAGCTCTTGCCTAGCCATTTTTGGTGGGCAAAGGTGCCCAAGTCAATGGGCTCATGGGTGGCATGGGCGGCGACAGCACATAAGCTGTTGGCCCATGGCTGGAAGTCGGTAGAGGCGCCAGTGCCTTGGAGCAGCGAGTCAAAGGCGATGTTGCAGAAGCGGATGCGACGCGTGCTGGTGTCGAGAAGCAATGTCGGGCGGTCGTCGTAAGTGACCAAGTCGATCAAGGTATCGATCGAGGCATCGTGCCCAGCACCAGGCGCCGTCATGTTTGACGTCGGACTGACGCGACTAAAAGAGTCTGCGAGGAAGTCGCGTCCGTGTATCAATAGTTGTAGACGCAGACATGGAACTGGTCTTGAGGAATATCAAATGAATTGGTCGCTCAAGGTTTCGCTATGGAACGTCTGCATCTCGATCATCGATCATGGCCCGCTGTCGCCAAGCCGTTTGCATCGACCGCCGACAATGAATCAGTCATTGACATGATGTCAGGTCTATTACTTCTCAGTCCTTTGCACGACACAACAAGAGATGCTAGACTTGTGATAACAGAGCCTCATGCTTGATAGCAGAGCCTCATGCTTGGTAGCAGAGCCTCATGGCCGATCATGGCGGCACAACCACAACCACCTTGTTTGAACCAAGCGCTCCGCTAATCTGGAACTCGAGAACGCCGGCGGCTGAACCTTACCGGTAGCCGTCTACTTTGTGCCTTCACCCTTTGTGCCTCAACACGTTGTGCTTAACGTAGCCACTTGAGCACAAAGTAGACAAAAACAACAAACACAACCACGCCCGTCCAGAATATCCACTTGTCTTGCTTGGCCCTCCGCTCGACCATGCGTATCGTGTCTCCCGAGATGCCCAGTGTATTCGCAACGCTGTAGAGCTTCCTCTGTGTGTTCTTGAGCATGTCACGCTGCTCGCCCAGATCCCCCAACACAGCGCGGCCTCTTTCTAGGTACTCGTCCAATGTTGCGTTTGTGGATGTGAAGAAGTTTTGCTCGCGCAGAGCATGGTTCTCTCGCGCTTGGTCGCCAGAGTCTGTACTTAATGCATATGGCGACTGATACGACGAGTAAGGGTTTGAACCCGCTGCACCGGTGGGTGTGGTGACGAAGCCGTCTCGCGTGCGGAATAGTGGGTTCGCGCCGCCATCGCGCGAAGAACTGGCCATGGCAGAGTCGGCGTATGGGTTCTCTGGGGTAGCATTTGCGCCGTGCGGACGACGGTGGCCTAGCAAATCGTTGCGGTTGTTCTGATGCAGCTTCTCTTCATGTTCGGCTTTGAGCAGGGCGAAGCGACTGCGGTAGTCGAGCAGTTCGGAGCGGAAGTTTGTCAGGCGGTCTTGGGCTTTCTGTGCCTTTTCGGGAACTAGCTCTTGCTGGGCGCTTCTCGAATAGTCGTCTAGTGTGCGGCTGAAGGATGTGAGTGAGGTGGTGAGCTGGCCCTGGAGAGCTGGCGAGCTCGTGGCAGACTCGGCGTAAGCATCGAGGTCTTTACGGATGGCGTTGGACTGCCGTAATGCAGAGTTGAAGAGGGAGTTCTGTACGAGCTTCAGTTAGACCATGTCTTTTCGTACGCCTTGTTCACTCGACACGCACCATGGTTTTGATTGAAAGTGAGTGAATGCAAGCTGTCAAATGCCTGCGTCTGTAAACATGTGAATGTGGCCCCAACTCTCGGCCCAGCCCTACCCGCGTGGCCGCCCACTCTGCCCTAACAAAACCCTTGGCACTCGAACTCCGCCTGAAATCTTTTTGTAGCGCAGCTTTCGATTTCTTCTCCTCCAACCAACTCCGACTTTTTCGTCACTCTCAAACCAATTCTTCGGCCGTGAACCCCGGGCGAGCAAACCGCAAGGAACCTTCGGGCGAGCCAGATCTACAACTCTTTTCTCCCACCACCAAACAACAACACCAAAATGTCGCAGAACGACTCCGCCGCCTGGCCCGTCGCCGACGCCGCCCTGACCCAGAACATCCTCGACCTGGTCCAGCAAGCCTCGCACTACCGCCAGTTGAAGAAGGGCGCCAACGAGGCCACCAAGACCCTCAACCGTGGTGTTGCCGAGGTTGTCATTCTCGCTGCCGACACTGCTCCTCTGGCTATTCTGCTGCACATTCCCCTGCTCTGCGAGGACAAGAACGTTGCCTACATGTAAGCATTTCTTCCCTCTTTACGCCCTGTTGTTGTCTCCGAGTCGCGTTACTGACTTTTTCTCTGCAGCTACGTTCCCTCCAAGATGGCCCTCGGTCGCGCCTGCGGTGTCTCCCGCGCCGTCATCGCTGCCTCCATCACCACCAACGAGGCCTCTGACCTCATGGGCCAGATCCGCGCTCTCAAGGACAAGGTCGAGAGACTTATGATCTAAGCGCCTGATTCAGGAAATGCAAGAGAAAAATCAAGACGGACTCTAGGATGCTAGGAATATATGGGGTGCGCGTGCCCTTGATTGGGTTTTCTCGCCGATATTTCACCATGTAGTTCCAAGAAGAATCACACAAAGTTCTACAAAACCATGGTTGCCAATTGTGACCGTCTGAAATCTACCCATGGGTTATATGATCTACATCACTACGTTCTTCTTGAGTTAATACCATACATCTTGTTCGTCTATAAGATCAAGAATCTCAGTCACTGGGATCACATAGATTGCTTGGTGAAGAAAGGAAGAAACATGCTTGAATATCGTACAACTATCGTCCTCCCCATGCATTTCTCTCGTCGTTAAAGCTACCGTACTCAGGCTGTGGAGATGTATCGTTACTACCATGGTCGCGGGCATCCCATGGTTGATCGTGATCGAGCTCGTCCTGCGGTTCTTGGTCTGATTCATAATCGCCGACCGTGAATGGTTCGTTCAAGTTGTGTGCGTCGTCCTCGTCGACATGGTCAATGCGGTCGGGGTTGTATCCTTCCCTCACCTCTTCGCGAGCGCCTTCTTCGTCGGGATATGTCTTNGCTACAACCTTGTTAGTCTTTTTCGGAATCGTGTGACTTAATATGACTTACACAAAATGCTTCTGCTCGATCTCGTTCCATCCGGGTCCACCTTCTTTGCGAGCTCTGACACGTTCAATCTCTTCTGCCTCGTGATCCTCCACAATCAGGTCGACCAGCTGGCTGTTGTGAGAATTCACCGTCACTGCCGACTCTGATGATTCATGTCGAAGTAGACTGCCAATCACCGGTATCGACGACTTGGCCTTGGAGCGACTGCTGCTAGCACTTTCGCGGTGTTTTCCTTGGCGAGTATCCTTCTGGATGTCGTGGATCTTGCTTTTCCGCCTCTCGCGGTAGTTCTTGCTACCTGGTTGTAGGAGTTGGCGGTTGGTCGAAGCAGTAATGATATCCGGATCGGCTCGCATTCTGTCCTCATGGTTGGCATAATGTGTGTTGATGACGGGATAATTCCAATCGCCAAACTCTAGTGCCCTTGCACTGCTGTAGAGTTGTTCTTCTTCGGCGTCCAGTTCGGGTTCCTCCGGGGGTGATTGCGCACCATATCTGAAAGAGCCATGGGGTGAAGGAGACTTGGCACCGCCTCCAGGACTCATGGTACGAGCGCGACTGTTGCCACCCAGAAGAGGAGTCTTTGAATCGGCATGACCTCTCTCAGGTAGCCAATATTTGCCTTTGCCTCCTCTCCCATAGCGCATACCCTCTCTCATCCTGGCGGCACGTGAGGCGGACTGTTCATGAGCAATGACGTTGTCTTCAGCATCGAAGTATCGGTACTCGTACTTTGTGCCGTAAAAGGTCTCTTTGGCATCTTCAAGCAGATCACGAGGACCGAATGCGTCTCTCAGAGCAAACTTGACAGGCATACGGGCGTCCGAGATGGTTCGGTCAGCATAGTCGTGCCAGGAAAAGGCATACCAATGCGCTATAGCGAAGATGGGCATCTCGAAACAGATGGCAGCATCCTGGATGGCGGCGGCAACATTATCCGCCGAGTATTCCGAGTTGACGTCTGGGATGGCTCCTAACCAGACCAGAATAGAGAGGAAGAAGCCCTGCCAGTAAGAGGCAAAGATGATACCCTTGATACACAAGAACTTGGGCATGGGGCGGAAGGGTTTCAAGTCCTGTGACATACAGACCCAGAACAGAGCAAGAGCATACAGACTCAGAGTGATACTAATGTTGTATATTATGCCGCTCCACAAGTAGCCAGACGTGACACCAATGTAACCTTCCTGGTAGGTGTCGGTAGCCTTCATGATGATGGTCGATATGGCGAGCAAGGGTTTGATCCATGCATACTGCAGGATGCCGCGCTTGATTGTAAGGAAGGTATGGGGGTCGGAGATGTCGACTTTCGGAAGACAATGGTTCATGGGCCAGAGGTGCGAGACGGGTGCTCGGCCGTGCATCATGATGATAAGGGATCGTTCGCCGCCGAGGAAGTTGATCAGGAGTTGGAAAAAGGCGTAGAGGGTAAAGGCTTCGTAGACATCACGGAAGGGACCAATCCAGAAGGCGGCCTTGAGGGACACGAGACTCGCCCACGACGAGGCCGAGTAGATGGGCACCNNCTGGCATAGGTGAGTAAGAGGATGACAGGTGCGGGAGTGAGGGAGGTCGAACATGACCAGGATGCGAATAACATAGCGCTGTAGAAGCGGCTTGCGATAGTTTTTGCTAGACGAGTCAGGACGTGGTTGCGGTCAGGGCTGTTTGCGATAAGGGTACCTTTGGAGCCATGTTGATCTGAGGGCAGAGAGTCAGCGATCTGGAGAAGCAATAGGGCTGAGATATACATACAGAAAGGTCAGGATGGTAGCGACCAGAGCAGCAACACCAGCAACGATGGTGACGGCGCGGGCGAAACGGCTGCCCGTGCCCCTGTCACTGCTTGCGATGGTGAAGGCCGGCGAGGATGAGGTGACATCCATGTTTGGCGAGTCTACTCGGTCATGCAGAACATTGCTGCGAGCTGTTGGACGAGATGCGAGCGGTGCAGGCGTGGAATATGCGTGCCTGAAAAGACCGTCATATGCGAAACGGCCGAACTCAAACGTCTCTCCCGTGGGGAAGGCACGCGCGTGCTCTTCGCTGAGCTCTGCTGCTCACCGCTTGGGACCTCGTCTGTTGCCATCGAGATGCCATCCCATCCGAACTTCTGGAAGCGTGGAATGACGCCGCCCATCTTGGTCCGTCCGTCGCGCGCTCCTTCCCCAGTAATTCATTTCGGCCAGACTGAAACACGAATAGCAGCTTCCCAAGGAATCCAACTTCCCTCGACCGAATGTCTCTTACAGGCGCATCATGATAGTCCGGTATCTCGTTGAGCGAACATGGCAAGCAACGGCCTTACGGCGACGCCCTTGGGCCAACAGGGAGGCTTCAACTGGCTCTTTCTCGTCGACCTGATCGTCTGCGGCATCCTGGCGCTTTTCTTCATCTTCTACTTCAATCGCACCGTCTCGACCATCATCTCGTATGCAATCCGCGCCTGGACATGGCACAAATATCGCGCCTACATCGACATCACTTCGTTCCAACTCTCGCTGTTAGGAGGCCGCCTCTTCTTCAAATCCATCCGATACCATGGCCACAATCAGACAGTCTTCGTCCACGACGGCAACATCACCTGGCGATACTGGTTGCGCCAGGTCCAGGAACCCCTCATCATGCAGAAAGTCTCTCAACGCCACGATTTGTCTGACACCGACCACGCCAGCTTTGATGCATCCCAGGAAAAGGCCAGACCTAGGAGTAAGAGCGTGGGAAGGGCTGAGACTGCCCACTTGGACGGACAACGCACTCTTCCTTGTCGTGTTTTCGTCAAAGTCAAGGGTGTAGAGGCTTTCTTGTACAATCAGAGTCCCGTCTACGACAACATAATCGCCAACCTACAGAACAAGGCTCGCACAAAGGACCCGGACGTTCCGAGCGCAGACATACCCATGCAAGATCCGACAAGGGAGAAGGTTCTAGTAGCAGACGGTCTGAACCGCCAGGAAACCTCGAGTAGCGTCGACGGCTCTCTTCTGGCCGAGACCGCGAGTAGGACCACAACTAGGACCACCACACACGAGACTGCCATCCCAGCCTTCCTGAAGATGTTCCCTATTCAAATCGAGTGCAAGAAAGCTGCTGCTGCTGTCGGCAACGACTTCACCCAGAGCATACTTACTGCCAAGCTGGAAAATGCGAGCGGAAGAATTGACGCCGATGAGGCTGGTGCTTTGGACCTGTACAAGCTCTTGTTCAACTTTGACTTTCACGATATCAAAGTCGCTCTCAAGCCAAACACAGACTACCAGATGTCCCAGATGCAGGCAGCTGCACGCCTGGACAAGGACGAAGACCCCAAAGCAAAGAAAGGCCGTGGTTTCTTCGGCCTACACCCGATACGTCGAGCGGGAAAGATTCTGCATGCTCTGTTGCACGCCGTCATGTGGCTCTTTACTTGGCATCGCAGCTCCAAACGTTCTGTCAGGACTGCATCGCTTCTCAGTGAAGACGAAATCCCTGACGGAGATTCTGCCAAGCTACCTGGCGAAGCACAATGGCAAGGCCTGGCACGTTACCTGGACGAGACAGGCAATGAGCACAATGAATGGGACGGTGTTGAATACGCTAGATTCTCCGATGTTGCAGATGTGAAGAAGGCGAGCATGACCTTTTACTGGGATGTTCCGGGAAAGGTCTCTAAATCTCACCTTGCTGGTCAGTCTAATCTCCTCGACGAAGTGAATGGCCCATCAGCACCCGAGTATGGCTTGAATCTGTCAGTCGACGGTGCCGTCATCAATTACGGTCCCTGGGCCGACAGACAACGAGTGACCCTGCAAAACGTTTTCTTTCCTGCTTCATATCATGATGCCGTTCCTACACAGCGCCTGACCGTTGACCAAAATCGAGTCGCGACCGTGTTCAAGCTCTTTTTCTGTTTGGAAAGTGAAATCACTCTTCGTATCCCGACCCGTGAAGCATCGAAAGACTGGAAATGGCAAGGTCGAGCCGAAGGACATCGCGCGCAGAAGGCCACTAATGCTGGGATTCGCAAGCGACGTGGCAAAGGATCAAAGAAGTGGTTCAAGAAAGAGTCACAGACCACAGGTGCTGACATACGTCCTTTCGGTTGGATGGATGTCAAAGTCGCTGCTGATACCACTATCAATTATGCGATGGACATGTACGCACGCAAGGATGGTTATCACAACACGTTGAGCCTCGATGTCAAGGGCACCGAGATATCCTCTAGCGTCAACCATGCCATGTTATGGAAATCAGGAAACCTATTGCTGGAAGGAGACCTTTCGAACCCTTTGCAATGGAACGCTTTGCGCAAATGGATCTTCAAGATCCATTGCGATGGTCTCGATCTGTACATGCTGCGCGATCACATGTTTCTGTTAACTGATTTGATTGCTGATTGGGGCATGGGACCACCGCCCGACTTCTACACTTTCGTCCCCTTCGTATATTCTCTGGAGATCAACTTCAAGAACTTCGGACTCTTCCTCAACGCGAACGATGCCAACATTGTTAACGATCCGTCAGACCTCGAAGACAACAACTTTCTCATCCTCAACGGCAAAGAGCTCTATGCCACGTTAGAAATCCCTCTTGATCAATACAGGCCGGCTCAGAACGGAATCAAGTTCGACGTACTTGCCAAGGACATGTCTCTTGACATCAGCAACCCTCCTCGCATCACGCTGCATAGTCTTCTGCGGCAGAAACGACTTGCAACACTGAAGAAGTTGACCTTAGGTGGTGGCCATACACTCTTTGTCGAACAAGCGCCAGGTCTGGTAGACATGCTGCAGATGGACATATGCGGAAGCGACTTGGAACTTCAAGCCTTCGGCTACTTGGTACGCATGTTCATCAATGTCAAAGAAAATTACTTTGGAGAATTCCTGCATTTCAAGACGCTCGAAGAATATCAAAATGCCGGGTCAGATGCTGCAAACGCTGAGACAAACATGGTTGGTAGGTTCGCCTTCAGGCCAGCCAATGATCTAGACGTTGTTCTTTGCATCACCGCTGAGCATCCTGTCATCATGCTACCAGCAAATCTCTACTCAGCAGAGACTTTCATCAAGCTTGAGCTACCTGTGGCCTCGATGGATCTCCGAGTTGCCAACTATTATCTCGATCTTGCGGTCGACATCAGTCCAGTAACTGTGTCTTGGTCTGGTATACACAATGACGAAGACGAATTCGATGATTCAGCACCGCAGATCATTCTCGAAAACGCAAGCGTCTCTGGCCATCGCCTCTTTGGTCTTCCACCAACTGAGCCTGCGTACGTCTCGAATTGGGATGTTACTCTTGGCAACGTATCAGGAGAGTGCTCGCTCGATTTTATACAGCATCTAGCCAAGGCTGGACGAGCAGTGGCTTTTGCACTCGATGATTTCGAGAACGCTTTGCCGCTGGCACAGACTGCAGAGATACCAGAAGCGGTCTTCTTGCAGCTCAGGACAGGTTCTATCTGCCTATGGCTGAACGAGGGCAAGTCCGCCATACGTCTCTATTCGGAGCCTGTTACACTCAATCAGAACGATCGCGCTGATGTCCTGTTTTCATCTCGCTTGCATCTTCAGATTCCCAACATCACCGTGACTTGCGTCGACTCAAACTCAATGGCTCACCGAGGGTCTCGTGGTGACGTGCAGCCGGCAAAGTGCATTGCTTTCGTCCAAACCAGCCTCGATATGTCAATGCTACAAAGGAAAGCACACTTCAACGCTGAGCGTGAGAAACAACAAACTCACATCCGCCAACAAGATCTAAGGACTGGCAGAGCGAAGTTCTTGATAGCGGGCAGTGGGTCAAAGGCTGGAGGCGATCAAATGCACAATGAGGAAGAAGAAGAAGAAGAAGAAGAAGAAGAAGAAGAAAAAGAGGCAATGTTGCCAGATCCACCTTCTATGGCACTTCCCAAACTTCCTGATCCTCTTAGGAAAAGGCTCCTGAAGATGCGTTTAGCACCCGATGGTTCTATCAAGTCATCCATCAGCTCCAACTCCTCAATCAACAAAATCTCCACTCAAAAGGCCCTTCCCAAAGGAGACCTTGATGACGTGGAGCACTCTCGCNCCCCGTTGTATTACTCCAACTCAACAGCTTCTCAACCTTTAGGTACTGTAGGCTTGTGGAGCCCGTTTTCTGTCCCAGATCCTCGAGTTCTTGATGTCTCCGCCGACTTGAGCAAAGTACCGCAATTCTCGACAGTAGTTGATGAAGCCGAAGATATGTCTGAAACCACTTCGCAAAGTGATTTGAGCATCAACCTGGATCAGAATGGAGAGCTAGATCAACAAACGTTCATGATCCGCATGATACCCGGTGTACGCATATATGTTGAGCCTCGCATAAGCGAGACTGTTGTGAACATTGTCACTGCTTTGCAGCCGAAGCGCTCGGAGGATGTGATTGACACTTTCCAGATGGATGTTATGGGAAAAGTTCAACAAGTCCAAGACCAGAGAAAGAGCCGCCGTGGTATTGTCGAGTTGAACTTGATTGTACCTAGCATTGACGCTAGACTATTCAACGACCAGAACCTTCACACGAGTCGAACAACAGCCGTGCCGGTGCAAGATCAGCTGGATGTTGGTTTGAGTCATCTCAATCTGACGCTTCGATTCAAGCCCATACCCGACACCGAGACCGGGACGGCACTGACTATGCATTTGACCTTGGATTCTGCACTTGCTAAATTCTCTAATCCCCTGGAGAAGTGTAAAACATCTGACTATGCGATTCGTCTTGGCTTCGATGACGTCCTCATCTGGATGGTTCTGGCCAAATCGAAGTCAGTACACGTGTCGTTCAAGGATCTGTTAGGTGTCATCTCAGGCAATCAAGCGGACTATCTGGCATCTGTCTTCTCTCGATATGCAGCCATCGGTGCCCAGATTCAAAAACAAGCCGATGCAGTCGAGATTGGTTCAAAGGCGCGACTGAGAAACCTAACAGACTATCTCACTGAGCATGCCGATGTCTCCACTGATCCACCATACCTTTCACGCATGACTTATGTACTTCGAGCCTTTCCAGATCATTTCCGCAATCAAGAATCGTGGAAGATTGTTGCTCGATTCCGGCACATATACGAGTGTCTGTCAGATGAGAGCCACGTTCTTCTGGAACAACAGCTTGCTGACGGCACTGATGAACTGAAAAAGACATCATCCATTCTCGAAACCTGGGCAGCATGGTGCAGCTGGGACATTCCAAATGTAGAGCAGACCCAAATCTTCAAGCTTCTGCTAGGTGATGTCGAAGCTATGATTCCGGAAGAAGATATCGAACCGCTTGACCTCACTTTGCGTGCCGGAGTTGTACGTATAGCTGTTGAATCGGAAAAGGCATCAAGTGAAATCTCACTTGGCAGTCTCTCCATCGGCATTACTGTCATACCTCCAAGCTTGCCTTCGGGGCTTATGCTTGTTGAGGAGAACTTGAGATCCAAAACTGTCTTCCAAGCCCACACCGCGGCGTCAGTACTTCGACTCAATTGGGACATCTTGGAGCAAGTAGATGCCTTCATCGACATTTATTTCGAACAAGTCAGTCACACGCTCGATGCTCTAGATGCACTGCCAGATCCGCCACAGAAGCAAGCAATGGAAGATCTTTCGTTCAGACAGGACTTCCATGTCGTTCTGTCTACGGACGAAGGCAGCATTGAGCTGAACACCATCAACTTGAGACATATATCCACATGCAACAACCTCAAGCTGTCTCTGATAGGTTCTGACAAGGCCTCTCAAGATTACGGTGAATGCATTAGTCTGCTTATCTCGGCAAGAAAGGCATTCACCGAATTGCATGGTCCCGATCAAAGGGTGTGGCGTACAGATCTAGTGTCACCAAGCATCTACATTGATGTGAAACAGACGATTCGCGAATACACAACTGCCGTCAACGTTGGGGGATCCTATGAGCAGCTGCACATCTCGCTCGAACAAGAGACACTAGGACTGCTAGAGGTTGTAGATCAATTGCTGGCCGATGAAGTAGCACACATCTTGCGCTTCCAGCAACACATACAAGAAGAACAGAAGAAGAGCGTCGCCACGCGGGGTCCGTCCAAGCCAGATCGTGAGTTGAAACTGAATGTGGCTTTCCTGGCCGGATCGTTCTCTCTCAATGTCGCGTTACTCAAAGCACTAAACTTATCAGTGCGAGGAGACACTGCAAATCTACGTGTTCGACCCATGTCCGGATCTAACTCCACCTGGTCTGTTGAGCTTCATCTTGGTGCCATGGAACAGGCTTTTGTACGCAAGGAAGACGGAGCCAAAAGACAAAGAGCTGTCTTCCATACTCCACCTGCCACTAGTACTTTAAACCTCGAGTTGACGGAAAAGAAAATCGGCATCGACTTCACGGGCATTATGGATGAAGTGCTATTGGAAGCATCTGCTGTCCAAAGTGTCTTGACAATTCTGAACAGACCCGAGGTCCAGGGTGTTCTCGAAGCGATCAGAGATCAAGTTTCAGACTTGCAAAAGAGAGTGGAGAAGACACTAGCAACAGATAAAAAGGACGTCAAGCCCAAGTCTGTGGCTGAAGAGATCCGGCTGATTGTCTATGATGTCAACACGACTCTGGCAGGCTTCAAGGTTGTCGCCATTGCTCCTGTGTTGACAGCCGGCAAGGCACGTGCCGAGTTGACATTCGGTCTTGGAGCTGTACAAGCGTCAGTGACGAATAAGACTCGGAACGCAAGCGACTCCTTCCCTGACATACACGGCAAAATTCAGGACATTGGTGCTGTCTTGACTCTGATCGAGGATGGACAGCGTCGTCCCTGTGGCCATGTTACTGTCAGTGTCGCAGTGGATTGTTGCACCCAAGAACCTGCATCAGGACCTATTACACGAGACATTAAAGCACGCAGTGAGTCTTTCGATGTATTCGCTTATGCCGATACAGCGTCGACTATTGTGGATATTGTGACACACGTACACCGCAAGATCCTCGATCTTGACCTCTCGAAAGAGGTTGAGTATCTCAGAAGGCTGAGAAAGCGTCGAGCCAAACGGCGAAAGTCCATCGCTGTGCCTGCACCAGACTCAATCAAGGAGGAAGAAGACGAAGAGGCTGTGGTGGACATGCCATCTGCACGACCTGCACTTCTTGACTTCTCTCTGGATCTACGTAAGATTCGCATTGTCTGGGTAGTCATCAGAAATCGATCGACTGCCGGTGACCAAGAGCCCCAGGATCTAGAAGTGTCCTTCTCTCGCGTAAACCTTGCCATTCAAAAACAAAACGAGGCGCGTCTGTCCATTCAAGATTTGCAGGTTCAGGTCGTACCTAAAAAACACAAAGCCTTTGAGAGATCTGAGAACTCGGCTTTGTTGCCAGAAGTTGTCTTCACCGTCAGATACGAAAGTGGTAAAGAAGGTGTTCGTATCGCGTGTCAAGCTGCGGGTCAAGCCCTTGATATTCGCTTGGATTCAGGATTTGTTGTGCCTGTAAGCATGCTACAGAAATCTATATCTGCGGCAATCGACCAATACCGTGCTGCAAAGCTGAGCTGGCAAGCCGATGCAACTCCAGACGAAAACAAGTCAACACCGCGGGCTAGTCCCTTTGGTGACAAACGTTTGGCTTCAGTACAGGCCGACGTTAACTTCAAGGGTGCCCTGTTCTATATCCAAGGAGACGCACCTACTCAATCTAATACTGCTCTTCGACCTGCACATATCGATCTACCATACAAACGCAACCGCGCAAACAGCCACGCTTCGCAAGATAACATCGATACGTCGTTACGAGCTCCTGGCATCGCCATCAAGGTCGAGTACTCGAACCTTCCCGAAAAAGAGCAGATCCTCAATGGTGAGATCAAGGTGGATGCGTCAAGCAACACGGTCTACCCAGAACTTGTTCCTATTGTTCTTCAAATCACACATGGTATCAAAGAGGTTGTCAGATATGGCGAGGAGGAACGCAAGACTCCTTCTACTCCCAAAATCGCACAAGAACAAGCCTTGAAGTTACAGAGACTTCGTGGCGAGGACGACTCTTTGCTCATCTCCGATCCAAGCCAGTTTTTGGGTCAGATGAAACTCAACCTGGGACTACGCATCTGCAAGCAAGAATTTGGTCTGAGTTGTCAACCGCTCGCTCGCGTCAACGCAAAGTCGCAGATTGAAGACATCTACATCACCATGAGCACCATCAACTCCCACCAATTCGGACACTTCTTTGCTCTATCGGCCACAGTGACTAAGCTTGGCGCTTCCGTACAGCACGTCTACTCCCGAGAATCTACATTCAGCTTCGATATGGAATCAATATCAATGTCGCTCATGAATAGTAGACATTTGACTGGCGGCTCCAGTGGTGTTTCAATGGTGCTCAAGGTGTCCCCTACCAGGACTGCATTGAATGTACGTCAGATTCAAGACCTTCTACTCTTCCGAGAGATCTGGTTCCCACCAGAGTTGCGAGACGCGAGTGGGATGTCGGCAGAACCATCAACCCAAGCGCCTGACAAAATGGCCGTACAAAGGTACCAGCAGGTCAGTGCCGCTGCTGCATTCCCTTGGAACGCCACTATCGCTGTTGCCGAGCTTGCCGTTGATCTCGACCTGGGTCAAAGTATTGGCAAGTCATCATTGAGCATCAAGAACCTTTGGGCATCATCCAAGAAATCTTCTACCTGGAAGCAAGACTTGTGTATTGGGGTAGACCAGGTCAGCATCAACAGTACCGGTCGCATGAGCGGCTTTGTAGATTTGAGCGACGTGTCTGTGCGAACATCAATCGAGTGGCCAAGTGCTGATCGACAGGAGCACAAAGCACCTTTGATCCAAGCTGCGATTGGTTTTGGCAGAATCTCAGCAAAGACCGCTCTGGATTATCAACCTTTTGCATTTGCCGACATTGAGGCTTTTAATTTCCTCATGTATAATGTGAGAGATGGCGCGTATGCTCCTGATCGGTTGAAAGCTATTCTTGAGGGCGAGAAAGTGTACGTCTTCTGCACCGCAACCAGTCCAGCTCAAGCTGTTGGCTTGTATCAGGCCTTTGACCGTCTCATCCAAGAAAAGCAGACAGCTTACAGTCAATCAATGGTTGATTTGGACAAGCAATTGAGGAGACGATCGGTGAACAAAGCACGAACCAAGTCAGCACCATCGCCGCCAGCACCTATCCGCAGACACACGACCGAAAGAAGCAAGAGCAAGTTCCCAATCACGCTGGACACCGATGTCATGGTCATGTTGAAATCCGTCTGCTTTGGCGCATTCCCCAGTACCTTCTTCGATAACCAGATTCTCAAGATGGAGGCATCCGAGATCCAAGCACGCTTTGCCGTAGGAGTTGAGGACGAGCGCGTGCACAGTAACCTCAGTATGACGCTCGGACAACTCCAAGTCGCACTTGCTCAGGTCAAAAGAGTCAGCGTACCCAAAACACTCGGAGACATCTCCATCGAAGAGGTCATAGGAAGCGCCACAGGCGCCAAGGGCGGCATCATCCTTCGCGTCCCCAAAGTCATTGCTTCCATGCAAACGTGGCAGCAACCGCAATCGAACAACATTGACTTTATCTTCAAGAGTTTGTTTGAAGGCAAGGTCGACGTCGGCTGGAATTACTCGCGCATCAGCTTCATCAGAGGGATGTGGGAAACGCACTCGCGAACGCTCGCTTCCAGACTCGGCAAACCTTTACCTGAGTCCGCGGTCAAGATCACCGCAAACGGACCACAAAAGAATGACTCTTCATCCTCAACGCAGGAAGTTGCAGACAAGACGCCTGGACACGGCGAACAAGGCAAGATTACCGCTGTTGTCAATGTCCCACAGTCCAAGTTTGAATATACTGCGCTTGAGCCCNCCATCATTGAGACACCACAGTTGAGGGATATGGGCGAGGCTACTCCACCGCTTGAGTGGATTGGATTACACAGAGAAAGGTTGCCGAATGTGACTCATCAGGTTGTTATTGTCGCCCTGTTGGAGATTGCGAAAGAGGTTGAGGATGCCTATGAGAGGATCTTGGGGTCGTCGTGATGATGGTGGGTGAGGTCTCACATACTGATATGTTTCGTTGTTTATTCTTTCTTTTCTTTTTGGTCTCGCTTGATAGATTGTACAGTATTTTAATAGAATGCTTTGTTTATTTTCGCTTTAGAATGGTTTTCTTTTTCCGGCGATGGAAGGAGCGAGCGATACCTACAACTACCTCTGTTGACATTATCACGTCCTATGGCAAGAGGTAACAGCGGTTGAGACCTGGAACCATGGAAGGAGTGCATTGGTGCAGGCACAGAAACCAGCTCCTTACTGTACGGCGTCTGTTGACTAATCGATGCACAATAGTCTTTGGATCAGAGGTGTTGTCAGGAAGGTTCCAGGCTTTACAAGCCTCAGTAGACTTCTCTCCGTTTCTGGCTTGCGCTTCGTTTCCTTCAAGCTTCACCATTGCTCTGTAGACATGTGAGAGCGGAGTCATGGCGGGCTGCTTGCTGCACACGAACGGGGTTCGGTGCGGAGTCTGTTACTTGTGGCAGGAACTCTCTACAGCAGCTCTGAAAGGTACTGTTTTGCGATATCTGCTTTACGTGTAGAAGCGATCATGTCATGCGCACACGTTGGAGACACCCGAAGACAGAGTCGACTGCAAGTTCAGATTATTGGCATTCGCGCATTATGGAGAAAAGAGAGATGTCCGACTACTACTTTGCGGGCATTGTGAGCTTTGCGGATGGTGATGATATGCTTGTTCAGGCTCAGAGATAAAACCTAGCGATGTGAAGAAGATTGTGGTTTTGAGCATGCTCCTTATGTTTACCGAGTGTCTTTTGTGTCAGAAGTAGTGGTCATGTGTTTGGGTAGGCGAGAGTTGCTGGAGAGACTTGTAGCGTCGCGGCTCAGGAATTCGGATTATGATGCGAGGTTGCGAATGACGAGCATGGGTTTAGTAATGATGATGAAATGCGAGATGCGAGATGTGCGGTGACTTTAACGGCCATCTTACGCCGCAGCAAAGCGACTTCATCGGACGCAGGGGTTGCCTTCGAGCAGACGCGGACTGTAGGTCTACAGAAGACACCTCAAAGAAAAAGACACTCACGACAAATATAGAGACTCGGGAGAGCAAAAGAAACCACCTCCACCAGGTTGAAAGAAACCGGCAGCCCCCGCGTTCTCTTATTGTGTCGTCCAAGTCCAAGTTCAAGCCCAGGTTCGGGTCCAGGTTTAGTTAAAGGTTTTATTACAGCCCACCGCGAGATTCGAACTCGCGACGGGGTTGTCGAGTGCCGGCGCCAGCCAAGTGGGCCAAAGACACCGGCGAGGGCAGGCGAGGGCCCTCCTTGGCTGGCGCACAGGAGCGCACAGAGAAACCAGTATAAGAGGGTAGATGGCTGGCGGAGGCAGAGTGAAGCGAGACGCACCTGATATGTGCCTGAGGTTCTTGGGTGCTGTAAGGAGACTAGCTCCACTCCTTCCTGAGACTCCGAAACTGAGTATCGCGGACCATGTTGTGAGTCGGGTCAGTGACGGTTGAGCTGGCTGTCCTTTCGTACGGCCTACCGGGTCGAGGAGGTCGGCGAAAGACTAGATGAGATGGGATGCCGTTCAGTGGCTAGGTGCCTTGTCGCCTGAACATTGACCACGGTGTTCGATCGTGGTCAGCCACGCGCCAGACCATGGGAAAGAGCTTTAGCAAGACAGCTGTGCGTCAGCAGATGTTCGACGCGGAGTTGCCTAGCCAAGCCGATTGTTCATGCATTGCCGCTCGCGATATGTTGGCATCGAAATCCGTACTCGGGTAATATATTTTGTTTCTCAGAGTATTGTGTAATCCTCGTGATAGGATTCGGCACATGAGCAGATTCATGGCTAGCAAGATATCACCATGTAATGATCTTCTTGCTCGATGAGATATGCTTTGACGTAATTGAAGACGTTTTCATGCAGTATCCCAGACGGTATGGTCATCGATAGATGAAGCATAAGAAACTGGCAACCAGGCACTACTTAGAGAAATTGTTGAGCTTGTGGGCCGAAGCATAGGACTCAAAGCTGAGCAGGTGGAACATGTAGGTATATGTGTCTTGACAGTATCGGAAATGAAGTTGCGTTCTTGTCGAAAGAATACGTTGAAGCGTTTTGATCGGAAGGTTTAGTTTGCAAGCATGCATCTAGTTGCGATTGACGTGACTATCGATACTACATACGCAAGGTCAACCGGGAGCGAAAATATGTGCTTTGTAATACTGCGAACAATGGGAACGCGTGATAACTTGAATATTACCGAATTATTCCATGGTTTCTGGATTGTCACGATATTCAAAGCGTGAAGCCAGGGTCGCCCCTCTGTTATCACAGCAAGTGAAGAAGTGGCGAGCGCGGCTGGCCTCACAACGGGGCCCAGCCATCGACTTTCGTTGGTGGCAGCAAAGCTCGCTAAGCTCGCAAGACTGGACTCGACCTTCTCACAATGGGCAAACATGAAGATCAGAGGTCTCAACGAGTCAAACAAGAGCATCTGATCACTTGATGGAGACACCGAACAGTAAGAGAAGGTTTGCCACATCAACAAGAGGTGCGGTGTCCTGGGTGAAGCTCGGTGAGCTCGGCAAAAGCAACGTTGGATGTTGCTTCTAGCTGAGGTGAGTTTTTGCAGAGACAAGCTCGAGGAGCTATGGTGGTAGCTTGGTAGCTTGGCTAGCTCTCTCGAGCTGTTTGTACCACCAATAATTGCGCAAGACTATATTAGACGTGAAAGGATGAAGAGACACGAGGTTTGATAGGTGTCTGTATGTAGGCACCGCGATGGTCATACTCGACAGATGGTGCGAATTGATGGGCGTATTTCTGAGTACGGGCAGATTTTTCTCGTTTTCCAATCGGAAAGCCGCCACCTTGGCACGGGCGCACTCGATGCCCCACTTTGTCAAAAATGAATGCATGTCTCCTTCCTCGCACGCAGCTTCCCTCTCTCTTTCCCCTCCCATCGTGCTTTGCCTCGTCTCAGGTCAGCCCCTACCCTCGCCGTCGCCTTGGTTAACGCAGTCGCTCACATCTTTTCTCCCAGCAGGCTCTCGTTCAATTTTCATATACAGCAGTGCTTGACGCACTACACTGAGAGCGGGGCCCTCCAAGTAAAACTTTTCAAAAGAGCAACCCACACAACACCGCCATCATGGTCAAGTTCACTGTTGAGGAGATCCGCGGTCTGATGGACACGTAAGCGCATTCCATCCTGAGAACTATCATGGAGGAGTCTACTGACGAGCGCGCGCNNAGCCCCATCAACATCCGTAACATGTCCGTTATTGCTCACGGTAAGCTTCGACGCCCAACGAAACACGCCCCAACAGCACACTGACAGCCTCTGCAGNTCGATCACGGAAAGTCTACCCTTACCGACTCTCTCGTCCAGCGTGCCGGTATCATCTCATCGGCCAAGGCTGGTGAGCAGCGTTTCACCGACACTCGTCCCGACGAGCAGGAGCGTGGTGTTACCATCAAGTCCACCGCCATCTCCCTCTTCGCCCAGCTCGAGGACGCTGAGGACCTCAAGGACATTCCCGTCAAGACCGAGAAGAACGAGTTCTTGATCAACTTGATCGACTCGCCTGGTCACGTTGATTTCTCATCTGAGGTTACCGCTGCTCTCCGTGTCACCGACGGTGCTCTCGTCGTCGTCGACACCATCGAAGGTGTCTGTGTCCAGACCGAGACCGTCCTTCGTCAGGCTCTTGGTGAGCGTATCAAGCCCGTTGTCATCATCAACAAGGTCGACCGCGCTCTTCTCGAGCTCCAGCTCTCCAAGGAGGATCTGTACCAGAACTTCTCCCGTGTCATCGAGTCCGTCAACGTCGTCATCTCGACCTACTTCGACAAGGTTCTCGGTGATGTCCAGGTCTACCCCGAGAAGGGTACCGTTGCCTTCGGTTCCGGTCTTCACGGCTGGGCCTTCACCATCCGTCAGTTCGCCGGTCGTTACGCCAAGAAGTTCGGTGTCGACAAGAACAAGATGATGGACCGTCTGTGGGGCGACAACTTCTTCAACGCAAAGACCAAGAAGTGGACCAAGGTTGCCGGTGACGACTCTGAGCGTGCCTTCAACCAGTTCGTCCTCGACCCCATCTTCCGCATCTTCTCTTCCGTCATGAACGCCAAGAACGAGGAGGTCTTCAAGCTCTGCGAGAAGCTCGACATCAAGCTCTCTGGTGAAGAGAAGGAGCTCCAGCAGAAGCAGCTCCTCAAGACCGTCATGCGCAAGTTCCTTCCTGCTGCTGACGCTCTTCTTGAGATGATGGTTCTCCACCTTCCCTCGCCCGCCACTGCCCAGAAGTACCGTATGGAGACTCTCTACGAGGGTCCCCCTGATGATGAGGCCGCCATCGCCATCCGCGACTGTGACCCCAAGGGTGTTCTCATGCTTTACGTCTCCAAGATGGTCCCCACCTCTGACAAGGGTCGTTTCTACGCCTTCGGTCGTGTCTTCGCCGGTACCGTCAGATCTGGTCTCAAGGTCCGCATTCAGGGCCCCAACTACACCCCTGGCAAGAAGGAGGACCTGTTCGTCAAGTCCGTCCAGCGTACCATTCTCATGATGGGTCGTTACACCGAGCCCATTGATGATGTTCCTGCCGGTAACATTCTTGGTCTTGTCGGTATTGACCAGTTCTTGCTCAAGTCTGGTACTCTCACCACCTCCGAGACTGCCCATAACATGAAGGTCATGAAGTTCTCCGTCTCCNCCGTCGTTCAGCGCTCCGTCGAGGTCAAGAACGCCAACGATCTGCCCAAGCTTGTCGAGGGTCTTAAGCGTCTGTCCAAGTCCGACCCTTGTGTCCTGACCTTCATCACCCCCTCCGGTGAGCACGTCGTTGCTGGTGCCGGTGAGCTCCATCTCGAGATCTGTCTCAAGGATCTCGAGGAGGACCACGCTGGTGTTCCTCTCCGTATCTCGGACCCCGTCGTCCAGTACCGTGAGACCGTTGCCGGTGACTCTTCCATGACTGCCCTGTCCAAGTCGCCCAACAAGCACAACCGTATCTACATGACCGCCGCCCCTCTTTCCGAGGAGGTCTCGCTCGCCATTGAGGCCGGCAAGATCACTCCCCGTGACGATTTCAAGGCTCGTGCCCGTATCCTCGCCGATGACTTCGGTTGGGACGTCACCGATGCCCGTAAGATTTGGTGCTTCGGTCCCGACACCAACGGTGCCAACTTGTTGGTTGACCAGACCAAGGCCGTCCAGTACCTCAACGAAATCAAGGATTCCGTTGTTTCCGGTTTCCAGTGGGCCACCAAGGAGGGTCCCGTTGCCGAGGAGCCCATGCGTTCCGTCCGCTTCAACATCCAGGATGTTACCCTCCACGCCGATGCCATTCACAGAGGTGGTGGTCAGGTCATCCCTACCGCTCGTCGTGTCCTGTACGCCTCGGTCCTCCTTTCCGACCCCGCTCTTCTCGAGCCTGTCTTCTTGGTCGAGATCCAGGTCCCCGAGCAGGCCATGGGTGGTATCTACTCCGTCCTTACCCGCCGTCGTGGTCACGTCTTCGAGGAGGCCCAGCGTCCCGGAACTCCCCTGTTCAACATCAAGGCCTACCTTCCCGTCAAGGAGTCTTTCGGTTTCAACGCCGATCTCCGTGCCGCCACCTCCGGTCAGGCCTTCNCCCAGTTGGTCTTCGACCATTGGCAGGTCCTCCCCGGTGGTTCTCCTCTCGACAGAACCACCCTCCCCGGTCAAGTCACCGAGGACATGCGCAAGCGCAAGGGTCTCAAGCCCGAGGTTCCTGGCTACGAGAACTACTACGACAAGCTCTAAGCGGTTTCCGTCAACGAGTGATGGGAAGCCTTTCCGATACCCGCATGAGCATCTCAGGTGTATGTTCGAGCATACCCTTTCACGATTTAGGACGCGGCTGGGTAGACTTGATCTAGGATGAAGTATGATGGGAAAGGAAGCAGACAACCAACGCCCCGGTGGATCGACCATGCTAATCGCATGGAGGACATCTGGGCGCACGATCAAACTCAAGCATTCGCTTTCTATTGTTGTCTGCGAGCTATAGCTTTCTTTGCATTTGATGCTTATTCTTGTGCTTTGGAGCTTAGAAATGAAAATGTCTCTTTTACGTTCAACCAAATGATTTTCTCCTGTCTTTGATCCTCGAAATATGAATTGAAAATGACGCCGGTCTTTGATACACATACCAAGCGAAGTCGAGGGTGGCTGATTGTTAGGTCGACTTCGATCGCTTGCCGAAGCAGCACGTGACCCTCAGACAGGGTGAAAACTAAATGTTACTATTCGGCCATCTAACAGTGACTTTCTATCGTCTTCTCTTTCTTTCTTTCCAGTCTATGACCTCCTCACGATGGCTGACCGGGCGATGTCAGGACGGAAAATTTTGATTACAATGTTCCACCTGCGATGCTCTATGAGCAGAACTCGTACTTCAGGTGTCATGTGGCATAAACCATGTACTCAGCCGCTGAATCAATTGGATATGCATTCTTAGATGCTTGTATGTATTTCCAAAGATTGTCATTCATTCGCCGCTATCTGTTCCAATACTGTAGACAACTGCCGAAACAAGTTTCTCATATCCGTGGGCCGCATGATTCCTTTGCTATGATACAAGTCATTACTTCCGTCTAGTTTATTGCAAAGCATATTGATTTGATCCTTCGACAGCAGACCTTTTCCAGACGTCGCGTTCAGTCCGAGGATAACTTCTAGCTTTCCTAGGAGATGGAAGACAGTGCTGGTGAATAGCGTGCCTTGGGTGCATGGTCCTGTTATGAGTGTGTTGTTGTATCTGAGACCTCGAATGGGGATTACGGGGTCGCTGTGCGTTCGTTCGGCACGGGAAGTCAAATGTTCGAGAAAAAGTTCGAAGAAAGAGAGGAGGCGGCTGTATATGTCTATTGTTGTTGAGATGAGGCCAGTTGACGATTGATCATCGGGATTTTGAGTGATGCCTGGATTCTGCAACAGAACGGTTGCTATTTGCACGAGCTCTTGGCTTGAGGCCAAGATATATTCGGCTAGGGAGTAATTTGCGATGAATAGGGGACCGTCTCGATGGATTAGGAGATGGAGGTTTAGTCTCGATCTGTGGGTTTGTACTATTGTGCTGCGGAGGCGTAGGCCGTAGACGATATTCTTGAGTCTGGGCATGGCGTTTGAGCCGTCGGTGCTTATGTCGCTGAAAACGACTGCTTGCGGATCCGAGGAGAATTTGTTTTCGTGGATGTAGTAGGTGGGCTGTCTGCCTATACCAAAGGGAAGAGGGGGNTTTCTCTTGTTCACACGGGAGTTTGAGGACGAGCTCGTTGTGGGAGCATGACCGCTAGGAGACTGAGGAAACATTTCTTGAGACCAAAGATCTGTCACGAATGAAGGCCATTGCAGTGTTCCCGGATCCGAATTTGGAAGAATTGTTTTAGATGCCACTGCTTGGACGCCAGGAGGGACTACATTTTCTTCCAGATCTGTCTCCGTGACTGCTTCATGTATGTTGGCACCAGCTGAACGAGTTTGTGCAGACAAAGTTGCGCAATCTCTCAAATCGTTGGAGGCTGTCGAAGGAGGTTTCGCTCGGTTGATCTGTCTTTGTCGTTTTGTCACAGGAGGGTTTTCTACGGCGGAAGACGAAGCAAGTTCTTTTCGCTTTGGTCTTCCGGGTTTTTTCTGCTGTCCTAAATCGCAGAGCACATTGGCGAGAGTACATCGCACGCACTTGGGGTCATCGGGGTGTGTGCGTTGGCATTTGGCTTTGTTCTTTCTGCAAAGTTCGCACGCAAAGCGTCGTTGTGATGGGTGAACGTCCATGCCGTTTGCTCAGTGGCTGTGATGGGGTCGCTGTGGCGTGCCGGAGCCGATGTGTACGCAGATGCTGGATATGCCACGCATCACAAACCAGTGCTCAGGAGGATTATGAAAGACTTCGATGCAGTAATCACGGCTAGACTGATGGAAGAAAATCCATCCTCGGAGGGTTTCTCAGGGTATGACCACGCAAAGCGGAGATGACGCTTTGTTGATCGGAAGGCGTCTAGCCCTTGCAGGTAAGATCTGGGAGTAGACAGTATTCTGAGAAGAGCAGATACGGCCATTTCTCAGGGTCAGTGTTGCTCGAAACCCTCCGGAGGTGACTCCTCGGGCCAATGTTGTGCCTTCGGAGGGTTTCGCGCAAGCCGAAGCAGGCGGGCATTGTTGATCAGTGCGAACTCAAACTTCAAAGCACAACGGCTTCGCCAACAACATGACTGAATGCACACCGCAATCTTGACTGATGTTGCTCTATCGGCAGCCGTTCATAGCCGTCACTTGCTTAGCATTTCGCTAATGATTCATCGTCGACCCAAAACCCTCCGCTATGGGAGGGTTTGCACCCCGATGTCTGGACGGCTGAGAAACGATGCTGCGTTTCTATCACTGCATCCTACACTGTATATAGCAGAAGGCGAGCGATTCTGGGACTCTCCAACTTGGCCTGATCACACCCTCCAACATGTCAAGGACTCAAGACACTTACTCAATCGGGAACACGGCAGCAACCTCGGCCACCACCATCACCGAGCCTGGGCACTCCGACAAAGTCATCTACACAGACAAGTCTGTATCTACAACAGAATGGCATCTGTCGGGTGAGATACGAAGACTGGAGCATCTGGAGGCAGACAGCAACGAACGCCCCAGATCATTAGGCATTTCTTGGACCAATCTCACTGTGAAGGGCATCACCGCTGGTTCAGCGTTCAACGAGAATGTGCTATCCCAGTTCAACCCATTCCACAAAACCGCCAATCGCGATCTCAAGACTATCATCGACAATTCACACGGATGTGTCAAGCCTGGTGAGATGTTGCTGGTTCTAGGTCGTCCTGGAGCTGGCTGTACGACCCTACTCAATGTCCTCGCAAACAATCGCCATGGTTACGAAGAAGTCACAGGAGATGTCAACTTCGGAAACATGTCTTCCAAGGACGCAAAAGCATACAGCGGTCAGATTGTGGTGAACACCGAGGAGGAGGTCTTCTTCCCAACGCTATCAGTCCAGAACACTATCGATTTTGCTACCCGGACGAAATCTCCTCGCCATCTTCCACCAGGATTCCAGACACAAGAGCAGTATGCGCAAGAATACAAGAAGTTCCTGCTCGAATCAGTCGGCATCTCCCACACAGCGAAGACTAAAGTGGGTGATGCCTTTATCCGCGGCGTCTCTGGTGGCGAGAGAAAACGTGTGTCGATTCTCGAATGCCTTGCTACACGCGCGAGCATCTACTGCTGGGACAATTCGACTAGAGGCCTCGACGCGAGCACCGCCCTCGAATACATCAAAGCAATTCGGGCAATGACGGATATTCTTGGACTCTCTAGCATTGTCACGTTGTACCAAGCAGGCAACGGAATCTACGAACAATTCGACAAGGTACTCGTCCTCGATGAGGGCAAGCAAATTTACTACGGACCTTGCCAGGACGCAGTTCCGTTCATGGAAGACCTTGGCTTCGTCTGTGTCAACGGCTCGAACAAGGGTGATTNNTTTTTGACCGGCGTGACAGTCCCAACCGAGCGCAAAATTGCCCCTGGATATGAACACAAATTCCCTCGCACAAATAGAGACATCGCTGGTGCTTACAACCGATCTCAAAATAAGATACACATGTTTGAAGAAGCGCAACGCTACCCCGAGAGTGAATCAGCAAGAGTCGACACCATGGCCTTCCAAGACTTGGTCGCCAAAGAGAAGCACCGGGGCATTCGAGACTCACCTGTCTCCGCAAACTTCTTCGAGCAGGTGCAGATCACGGTCATCAGACAATATCAGTTGTTGTGGNGGGACAAGACCACCATGATCATCAAGCAAGTTGCGACCCTTGTGCAAGCGCTCATCGGCGGATCGCTCTTTTATGCTGCTCCTGCGAACAATCTCGGCCTTTTTATCAAAGGTGGCGCCATCTTTTTCTCAACTCTGTACCATGCTTTGCTTGCTCTCGGCGAGGTGACCGATTCTTTCACAGGCAGACCCGTCCTAGCAAAACACCGCTCTTTCGCTCTGTATCACCCGGCAGCCTTCGTCATTGCCCAGGTTGTCGCTGATCTACCCATCATGCTGTTCCAAGTTGGGCAATTCAGTATTGTACTTTACTGGATGGTTGGCCTCAGGGATACTGCTGCTGCATTCTTCACGTTCCTGGTGATTAGTTACGTGAACGCCCTAGCTATGACGCAGTACTTCAGAGCTGTCGGCGCTGCCTTTCCAACATTTGACGCTGCTACAAAAGTCTCTGGTCTTACTTTTGTGGGGTTGTTCATATACATGGGCTATATGATTGCAAAACCTGTCATGCACCCGTGGTTTGTGTGGATTTATTGGTAAGTGAGAAATGCGCGCCTCGAGCCGAGTTCTAAGAAATGTTGCTGACATACTCTGCGCTGATCAGGANTCAACCCAATGGCCTATACTTTCGATGCACTCATGTCGAATGAATTTCATGACACTCAGATGCCATGTGTTGGCCCAAATCTCATTCCAAATGGTCCTGGATACGGAGGAAATGCGGGTGGACAATCTTGTGTCGGCGTCATTGGCGCTGAGCAAGGTGCTACCAGCTTCTCAGGCGACTCATATCTTGCTGGCCTATCGTATTCCCACTCGCATGTTTGGCGCAACTTCGGCATTCTGTGCTCATGGTGGGTGTTCTTCATCGCCATCACGATCTTTTTCACTTCTGGGTGGAAGCAGGTCGGCGAAGGAGGCCGCAAGCTATTGATTCCTCGGGAAAGACAGAACAAAACCACACACCTCTTGCAACCTTGCGACGAAGAGACTGCTCAAGTCTCAGAAAAGGAGACGGATACTGGTTTTGAATCGGACGATAACATTGAGTCCGATCTGATCCGCAATAAGAGCATCTTCACCTGGAAGAACCTTACCTACACTGTGAAAACTCCGGACGGCGATCGCGTCCTCTTGGACAATGTGCAAGGTTATGTCAAGCCAGGCATGCTCGGCGCCCTCATGGGCTCGTCAGGTGCAGGCAAAACTACTCTGTTAGACGTCTTAGCCCAACGCAAGACCCAAGGCACGATCACCGGCTCCGTTTTGGTTGATGGAAGACCCATTCCTATCTCCTTCCAACGCTCAGCCGGCTACGTGGAACAACTCGACATCCATGAGCCTCTAGCAACGGTTCGTGAGGCGCTTGAATTCTCAGCTCGATTGCGCCAATCTCGCGACACGCCTGACGAAGACAAGTTACGCTACGTTGACACCATCATCGACCTCCTCGAGTTGTCCGCTCTCGAGCACACACTTATTGGCACTCCAGGCTCCGGCTTGTCAATCGAACAACGCAAGCGCTTGACTATCGCTGTGGAATTGGTAGCTAAGCCTTCGCTGTTGCTATTCCTAGACGAGCCTACATCTGGCCTAGATGGTCAAGCTGCCTTTAATACCGTAAGGTTCCTCCGAAAACTTGCAGCAGCAGGTCAAGCTATCTTGGTTACCATCCACCAGCCGTCAGCTCAACTGTTTGCACAATTTGACAAATTGCTTCTCCTGGCCAAAGGCGGCAAGACCGTCTACTTTGGCGATATTGGCGATAATGCTGAGACTATCAAGGGATATTTGAGCCGCAACGGTGCACCCTGCTTACCAGAAGCAAACCCGGCTGAGCATATGATCGAGGTTATCACTGATTCAGGGGAACAGGACTGGAACCAAATCTGGCTCGAATCTGACGAGTACAAACATCTATCGACCGAGATCGACGACATGATTTCGCAAGCAGCATCGAATCCTACTACTGTTCAAGACGATGGCAACGAGTTCGCTGCTTCGATGTGGACGCAAACTAAGCTTGTGACCCAGCGCATGAACATCTCCCTTTACCGCAACACAGAGTATGTCATGAACAAGCTCGCCATGCACGTCCTCCTAGCTCTTCTGAATGGGTTCACTTTCTGGATGATCGGAGACTCACTCAATGACCTCCAACAGAACCTGTTCACTGTTTTCATCCTTATCTTTGTGTCGCCGGGTGTTATCGCACAGCTGCAGCCGCTTTTCATTGATAGGAGGGATATCTTCGAGGCAAGAGAGAAGAAGAGCAAGATGGTAAGCCGCCTTTTCTGCCTTTCTTTGAGACGCATCTGTTGATTTTGTGACAATTAGTACCACTGGGGTCCGTTCGTCACTGGCTTGATCATCTCAGAGTTCCCATATCTGATTGTGTGTGCTCTATTGTACTATGTCTGCTGGTACTTTGCTCCTGGACTGAACACTTCGCCGTACTCTGCTGGCAGCGTCTTCTTTGTTATCGTAAGGCTCTCCTATCCACGAGATTTTGACGAGTGCCAGCTAATTGGATGCAGATGANTGTACGAGTTCCTCTACACAGCTATCGGACAAGCGATTGCAGCATATGCGCCCAACGCCGTCTTTGCCTCGCTGGTCAATCCATTGGTGATTGTAACACTAGTGTCTTTTGCTGGTGTCGTCGTACCTTATAGTCAAATCCAGCCATTCTGGAGATATTGGTGAGTCTTGATCCAATCCGACAATCTCAAGCCCATTCGCAGTAATTAACACCGTCCTCCATAGGNNCTCTACTACCTCGACCCGTTCAACTATCTCATGTCCAGCCTGATGGTCTTTACAACCTGGGACAAACCCGTCACCTGCAAAGCCAACGAAGTCGCTCTGTTCGATCCCCCAGCCGGCCAGACCTGTGCCGAGTACCTGTCAGCCTACCAAAGTGGGATGGGTGCGGCGACAAATTTGCTTAACCCGAATGATAGCTCTGCTTGCCGGGTGTGCCAATACACGACTGGGGCAGATTATCTGCGCACGCTCAATCTGGACGACAAGTACTTTGGTTGGAGAAACGCGGGCTTTGTGGTTGTGTTTGTGTTTGGCATTTATGGGCTTGTGTACCTTTTGATGAAACTGAGGACTAAGCAGACTAAGAAGGCGGAGAGTTAGTCTTGTGGATTTAGGAAGAGGACTTGACAGGGTCCGTGATTGAATAGATTTGAACCCATGAGAATGTCGGCGATTGCAGTTCAGAGTATTGAGAGCGGTAAAGCTCAGGACGACTATGTGACTTGTGGCAGGGTCTGAATCTTAGTTGTCCCATCACTGACTGAAAACAGGGAAGTAGCACCATGAATATACCTTCCTTCTCCACAAGCACAAGAAATTCGGAATTATCGCATCGTTCATACTCAATAGACGACAATCTCTTGACTACCTAATGTCCATCAACGACCAGAGGCATCGGCCATCGCCATCATTGGCATTCTCGACAGAACATTGTGACCGTTCAGACCATCTCTCCACCTATAGTGGCATTGATGTCATGGCTCCATCAAGGGTACTCTTGGCCTTGAAACTGGTCACGGCAAATGAATCAGGCTTCTTCGTTTTCATCCAATGCATCTACTACCGACGGGAGGTTGGTCCATTGCTCCAACAGATCATCCAGAGTTGGCGGTTTCTGGGCGGTCGTGCCGAGGGTTTCACTACTAGGATCAAGACCGGCAGCAGGGTTTTCAGCCCCTTTTGGGCGCGGCCGCGTGCCGCCTCCGAGCATCCATCTGGTGAATGCCGGTACCTGTTTCTTCTTGCCTGCGTTAGCACTGTTCTTCGGCTTGTTGCCACCCCCACCTCGTCCCAGAGAGGCTTGTTCAGCACTTCTAAAGCTTGTTAGACACGTTAGAGATTTTTGAAATCAGACATGAACATAAACCTCTTAGACATGGCCGCAAACATGATTACCTGCATCAAGAGCTGTAGTGTCGTCTTGACCTTTTCCAGATTTCCCCTCAAAAGTTCCAACTCCGGTTCAATTAGAGGATAGGTGATCTTATTTCTCATCCTCGGACCATCAGGACCTAATCCTGGAAGTGTCGACTGTATCATCGTAAAGAGTTCCCGGCATTGTGTGATGGCATCCCGAGCAAGTCTTTCGGCATCATCATTCATCATAACTCTATTCGCATCATCCTTGATGGTCGTGTCCAGGGCTTGAAACACCTGAACAGTGAGGTCGATGTCCATGGAAATGGCCTTGATGCGTCCTTTCGAATCGAGTGCTGAACCGGTATATTTGTTAAGACTTTGGAGAAGCTGTATGCCCAAACTTGTGAGACCGCCCACCGACGCGGCGATGGTAAATGGGTCAGCCATGCAAGTACAGCTCCCCGAACATCACTTGCGGAAGTTTTTTTGAGTCGTGTGGGCGCAAATTATATGCTTACGCGCCGAGGCTGAGTTTTGAGGCTGTGGTGGGAAGTTCATGCAAGTCGATCGGGCGTCCAACTTCTTTCCATCGAATTGCATGATCTTAACTACTACCACGGTGGTGCTTTCCAGATCTGACCAGTCTTTAGATGTTGTTGATGTTTTGTCCAATGTTCGTTTGCTGCCAAATGTGCCCTTTTTCCAATATCCAGTCTCTGGATCATTGGATGCAACGGTGTTTCATCCAATGAGAACAAGCCACGCTACGAAGACTCGGCAAAAGCGACGGTATGTTTGGTTTGGATATCCTAGGCAGCAACAATCACGACCAGAAATGGTTGCAAAGCAATGACAAGTCGCTCCATCCCCATCAACCCTCCTTACCCCTCGATACTGTTGATCATTCATCTTACACTCCTATATCCTCATCAACCAATTCGTTCAGAATCGTACAATCCACGCAAGCCAACAAAATCCAAATCCTCAACACCATGATCACCACTCCCCAACCCACAATCACCCAAGCCCGAGACCTCGCAACCCACTACACACTCACCAACCAGCTGGCCCTTGCAGAAGCCTCTTATCGTGACATAATCGACACCGTGCAGCAGCATCAAGGCCAACACGCCACACACGCAGACCGCTACAACCTCTGCAACATCCTCGTCCAGCAACACAAATACACAGAAGCAGAGCCTATTGCAAAAGACTTGGTTGTTTGGCTAGCCAAAAGACCTGTGGATGATGAAAACGCTCATTTTTTGGAGCAACAGGCTGGGGCGGTCAGGCTTTTGGTGCAGAGTCTCAAGGGATTGGGTAGGGATGAAGAGGTGGATGAATTGTTGGTGGGTGCGCGGTTTGATGGCCGTGAGGAGCGACTAAGGGCGAGGAAGCAGTTTTGTGGGTTGGCTGATGAGTAGGCGATGGTTGCCTACGAACAAATCTTATCAGGCATCACCGGCCGCGATATGGATGCCTCGGGTTTTCCGTCTTTCTATCAAACTGTCTGGACAGAGCTCAACTAAGAAGTCATCTCAATTCTTGTATTGATTGCGGGATCGCGCCTTCTCCTGGTATCGTTGATCTGTTTTTTTACACCCAATTGTCCGACATCTGTTGTCCAACAGAAACGCACCTTGATCAGTGATGGTAATGATAAGATGATACATCTCCCTACTCCGCGATCAACAATCGATTGACCAGATCAAACACCTCATCAGCATCTTGATATCAGATGGCATAATCCATGACTGTATCCTTATTGCTTTTGTTGCAGACGAAACATGTGAAAGGCCTCCCTTGCTGTAGATTCCATGATGCCGGAGGAGCCGAGGTCCGGAGAAGTGCCAAGGCTTTCAAGATCCCGGATGGGGGTGGCGCGTGGGGAAAGTCACCTTCGGATAACGCTCATATTCCGAAAAGTGCTAGTTTCGGTATGAGTTGGATTGTGTTGCTCTGACGTTATGTCTCAGCATTTCCGAACATTAGTATAAGGTGAAGATGTAGTCTCTCTTCGGGATCCGAGCAACCCCTTCCTAAAAACGTGATCTTTCATTTCGACTTTCGATATGCCAGGAGATGCTGTTCGAATAATCGAAGTTGGGCCTCGGGATGGGTTGCAGAACATCAAAGATGTAGTACCGACGGCGACAAAACTCGATCTCATCAACAGACTTGCTCAGACCGGGTTACGGACGATCGAGGCTACATCGTTCGTGTCACCAAAATGGGTCCCTCAATTGTCGGATGCAAAGACTGTAATGGAGAGCATGAGATTGTCGGTTGAAAAGGGCGACATCTCATTCCCGGTACTAATCCCGAATATAAAAGGGTTGGAAGCAGCATTAGCGCTCGACGTCAAAGAAATCGGTATCTTTCTCTCGGCCACTGAAGGATTCAGCCGCAACAACATCAATTGCAGCGTCGAAGAATCGCTTGTCAGAGCCCGAGCTGTCGTCGAACGAGCCCGAGAACAAAACGTCAGAGTCAGGNGGGTACGTTTGATGATGATGATGATTCGCCAGGGATCTTGCTGACTTGTCAGGTACTTGTCTTGCGTGGTCGACTGCCCATACGACGGCAGAACACCGCCTTTGACAGTGTTGAGAATGGCAAAGAAGATGCTGGAAATGGGATGCTTCGAGATCAGTTTGGGAGACACGACTGGAACAGCAACCCCAGAAGACATTCGTCAACTCCTCGAGACTCTGCTGAAAGAGATACCAGCAAGCAAACTCGCTGGGCACTTCCATGACTCGTTCGGTCAAGCAATTGCCAACGTAAAGGAAGCCTATGGAATGGGTATCAGAGCATTCGACAGCAGTGTGGGCGGCCTGGGAGGATGCCCATACAGTCCTGGTGCGAAAGGAAATGTCGCAACAGAGGACGTTATATGTCTCTTCGAGAGCATGGGTATCGATACAGGCGTGGATCTGGCCAAACTCGCTAATATCGGAGAATGGATAAGTCGGCAGCTTCATGTTCCCAACAGCAGTCAGGTTGGCTCGGCTCTGGTAGCCAGCAACAAACGAGCTCTGGAAGTCAGGAACGCTCACAGACAACAATCTGCCATCCCATCAGAATGGCGACACCTATCACATCTGATATGCTGAGCTTTCGGCCCGAAAAGCAACGATCATGCATCGTTTTTGAACACTGAATCCCGATGTTCGTTCAAGCGACGGCACAAGTCTTTCCGGTTAGACCATTCCCGAACCACATCGGCCAACTCGCAACCCGTCTGTATAATCAAGTCCCATACTGTCTCTTCGAGATCTGACCCGAACTTCTTGATCTGCTCGTCTTGAGGACCCCATAACCTCAATGGTTTGTGGTCGTCCGTACTCAACAGATCACCTTCATCAACAAGGTGTGCAGCGTTCATCTTTGGGGTATTGGCGTGTAGGAATGCTGCTCTGGGTTTTTGNGACTTATCTCCATTCTGCTGTTGGAAGTCATCCGAAGGGTTGACCTGTATCATACCACTGCCTTTCTTTTCGATGCCATCTAGACGTCCGACTGAAGTGACACCTGTTTTGACGCGATAATATGGGGCTTTTAGTACCATTGCTGCGGCCATGAATGTTTCCTTGTCTCCTTGGCCAAGCGCACCCTGGCTCAGAAGCGGGTAGTAGAAATCCGGTCCATAGATATTGTAGTAGTTTGCAAGCAACAGAGTCTTGAGATGTTTTCGCTTGTTTATGAGCAGTTGACCTGCTTCGGAAGACGATTTGGGTAGATTGGCTGGCATCCTGTCAAGGCCTGCGACGGTATAGAAAGAGGGGGACTCTGTAGAGATCCAGAAGTCAGGCCAGATAACTAACCCAGTAGAGGTATATGGTTCTACTGCGAAGAGCTCTATCTCGGGATCGAGGAGAGGTATGCTGTCGCTGTCGAGATAGAGGACGTGTTCGAACGAGCTGAGTAACATGGCCAAAGATTTGAGTTGATAGTGTGTTACTTCAAAGCCTTGTATGAAGTCTGAGAGTATCAGGCATTCAGCACCGAGCTTAGGCAGATAGTCTTTGCACAAGTCCTCCTCATACTCAGACTCGTCTGCTACGAAGACCTGTACGGGAAGGTTGCTGCCACTGCGACGCAGCATGTGGATACCGATGATTGCTGGGCCAAAATATTCACCGCCGCCCACAATCACAACGCCTGTGCCGTTGTAGATTTGCTCTGCGAGGTGGTCGGACCATGATTGCAGTACTGAGACAAATTTGCTGTGGGCAGTCTGTAAAGTTGATATAGAGTCAAGTCCTTGGAGAAGCTCTGTATGTTGGGTTCGTGATGAGTGATCGCCTGCGGAGACAGGCAGGTTGCCTGCATTGAACATCAACTCAAGCTTGGCCGCATGAGGCTGCGTGGCCTTGTAGACTTGCGCCCAGGCGGTCCATAATTCCTGCACTGAGTTGAGAGGCTGGGTGGTGTTTATTGCCAGTGTGTTGGGTGTAGAAAGCGGTGCTCTATAGGTTGAGAGACGATCGTTCAATGCTTTGTATGCAACATTGGATTGTGAGAATGAGAGAACAATGATGCCGATCAGTGCAATGCTGCCAACAAAACGCAGTGCGAGTCGCAGAGTGATGCGCATGATGAGTTTTGGCGTGACATGACCCAGGTTGCTGGTTGTAAGATGCAGGCGCGATCAACGGTTGAGGTGGTTGGGTTGTTTGGGGAAGGACGCGTGGAGACACGACAATCGATTCAGAGTCTACGCATTCCTTCGAGCTTGCAAAAGACACGATAAAATGATTTTGTTCGAAATTAAGACATTATTTCATAATTACTATCTATATAGTGTGCACACTTAGGAGCTGTAGATGGTCAGAGCATCAGTCGAGTTGCTATAAGTGACACCGCACTCTTCCGAGAAGTTTGAAAATCTCTGGGTCTTCTCATCAATGAACTTCTGGAAGGCTTCTCTCGAACAGCTCATACCAGGACCGTCGGTACATTCCTGCAAGAGCTGAGGGTTCTTGTTGACCAGGATGCGGTAGTACTCGCCAGTCTGGTTGGCGTTGTCTTGGAAGCCAAAGCTGTCGCATTCCATGCGCTCGATGGCGATGTTTGTCAAGAAGGACATGAACTTGCTGCTTTGCCAAACGCGGTTGGGGTTGATTCCGTCTGAAGGCATGGTGGCGTTGACATCGTCGGAAGCAGAGTAGGCAGTGTTGTTGAAGAGGCCAAGGGCAACAATGACGGTAGGAGGAAGTTCTCTGTGAGTGAAGGAAACGTAGATGTCCTGGCTAGCGTTCTGAGCAGTCAAAAGGTCGGCCGAGGACTTGACCCAAGGGTATCCAAGGGCTCCAGAAACAGGGTTTCCGTAACCAGTGTTGTGGTGGTACATGATGTCGTTGGTGTACTCGAACTGCAGCCACTCGTTGGGACTGAACAGGTCCAGAGAACAGAAGGGCGAGTCACCACGGATGACAGTCTCGTAGCCGCACAGCTGCTGCATGCCGTAAATGTCCGAGGCGGTCCAGTTGAAGGTGGGAACCTCGTGACGGAAACGAGAGATGATGGGGGCCGTGTACTTCTTCTGGAAGACCATGGACTGGTCGCTGCCTCTGCTGCCAGTGTAGGCAGGGCAGGCCTTGTAAGGAGTCAACGAGTCTGCGCCAGTCTTCTCGTATTCGCCAATTTGGACAATCTCCGTCTCGTTCTCCTTGATGGCAAGACCTTCGACAAAGCTCTCGGCACTGAGAACAGTGCGCTCAGCAGAGCTGGTCCAGACCTTCTTCGGTTGCTTGAAGCGTTGGTAACGCTCGTAGACGTCGACGCCCAGCTTCATGGCTTCCAGGTTGCCGACCTTGGACAACATCTCAATGTCTTCGTCCTCGATGGGGCTTGTCCAGGTGGTCAGGAAGGACAGGGCGTGAGAGCGGTCCCAGTTGATGGAGCTGTTTCCCTGGCTCGCCTCGAGCTTCTTGACAAAGGGCTCGATGTAGGACTCGTAGTCAAAGTCGTTGGCGTAGATGGCAGCGTGACGGACGAGGTAGGCGGCGCGCGTGACATTGCATCCCTGGGGTGGTGCAGGGTCGAAGTTGCTTGTCGGGTCGTGGGGCTCAAAGTAGGGAGCGATGCCAGACATGTGCTTGAGGGGGNNGTCGAACGTGTACTTTGCAGCCGTCAGGGCCGCGGCCGAGAGGACGAGAGATGCTGTGGTGGAATGCATGCTGCGTGCTGCCTCTGCTGTCACGTCGATGTTGAGATGAGCGGTGGAAAAGAAGGGTCTACTCGATGAAGGAAACAGGGTCTATATAACTTAGCTGTTCAAGCACCTACCTGCCACCTGAAACCTGCATCTGCCCATTACATATAGCATGACGCGCGAGGCATACTTTCCTGTACATGCTCATCAAAAGCTTCGCGTCCGAACCAACTCGCATCCAAGATTTTGACGCCAAGACTTGTCAATGACGTCGTCTCTAACAAGATCTTTATGCAGGAACTCACGGCTCCCCCTTTCCGACCACCCTAAATTGGCCTGGCCGATCACTCAGGAACAACTTGTTGAGCGACAAGCCTGTTTGTGGCTCGTAGATCCATGAATACGACCTCAGGATCGAGCAGGTGGTTGGGTCCATGCTGACCATTCTCCCTCTAACACGCTCACCACGATCGAGAGAATTCTCTTAGGATCCTTCATCAAAGTGTTCTTCTACATGCCAACAAAGGTATACATGTCATCGTCTGTCTGCTCCTCTGAGTTTTATACAGCATATGCACCCGAGTTCAGCTGGCGAGGCTCACTAGCGACGTCAAACGTGCCATTGCTCAACACTCGCAAACACTGTGCTGTGCTCTGCCCTGGGGCTACCCAAGTGACGTTGTGTCCCAAACTCTTCATATAATCCACAGTCGCGTTGTCGTATGCATACTCGAAGCTCACATAGTTAGGAGAAAGCTGGTCATGCAGACGAGGTGCTGCCAACGCCTCGGCAGCAGTCATGTTCTGGTCCAAGACATGCCACAATGTCTGCAACGTTGCGGTGATGATTCTACTACCTCCCGCAGAGCCCGTGACAAAGTAGAGAGAGCCGTCGGGGTATTCAGCGATCGTGCAAGCAATCGAGGACATCGGTCTCTTTCCGGGACGCACAAAATTGCTTTCTGAAGGATCGAGGCCAAAGGCGTTCTTTGTTCCTGGGATCGAAAAGTCGTTCATCTCGTTGTTCATGATTACTCCAGTTGATGGAACGATGAGCTGGCTACCAAACAAAAGATTGACTGTTGTGGTGAGCGAGATCGCCATGCCAGAGCTGTCGGCAGTGACTACCTGCGAGGTTCCAGGTGTATCCTTGATTTCTAGATTGGCAGGATCATACGCCGATACATTGAGGGTGTGGGTATCCGAGATGAGATGACGGACATTTGCCGCCGTGGTCGCGTTGATGATCTCGGCTTGATACTCATCCATACCTTCAACGAACAGAGGGTCTCCCATCGAAGCACGGAAGCCGTATCCGAAGCGTGTTGCTTCATCAAGGTGATGAGTGCTGAGATTCAGGTACGCTTCTTCGCCCATGGTATCATAACCCTCCACGATCTTCAGGATGGACAGTACCACGCCGCCTGATGCCGGCGCACTTACGCTCTTGAGCTTGTATCCTCTGTAGTCGATCTCGACAGGATCACGGATTGCAACCGTGTAGTTCTTGAGATCTTCCATGGTCATTGTTCCATTGGCTGCTTGCAGCGTATCAATCATGGCTTCGGCGATGGGGCCAGTGTAAAAGGCGTCAGGGCCACGTTCTGCAATGGCTTCCAAAGTTGAAGCATAGCGTTGACGAGTGATGGTGTCGTTGAGTCGTAACAGAGTGCCATTAGGTGCGAAATCGATGGCCCAGTTTGGGTCATCAACAAGGAAATTGGCCGTCGCACCTGCCGTGGCAGAAGCCATGTAACGAACCAGATCGGCTGTGACAGGAAACCCATAGCGAGCAGTCTCAATTGCACCTTGCATTACGTCTTTCCATGGCAGTTTGCCATACTTTTGGTGCAAATGTGCCAATCCACGGACTTCACCAGGAACACCACTGNNCTCAGATGTTAGCACCTGGTGTTTGTTCGAGTTGTGTTCGTCTTTCAAGACATACCTTGCTAAGCCTCCATAAATGCTTGCATTCGTGTTGTTCTTGTACATGTCTTGGAAGGCGGCCGCAGGTGCCGTTTCGCGAAAGTCAATGAACTCATACTCTCCGTCGGCACCTCTGACCAGCATGAAACCACCACCACCAACTCCAGAATGATACATGCCAATCACGCCAACGCAGAACGTAGTTCCAACCATTGCATCAGCAGCTGTTCCTCCTCTCAGAAGCAGGTCGCGTCCAATGCCAGAACAGATGGTGCTTTCCGAGGCAACACCTCCGTGCAGTCTGGTCATGTTAGAGCCATGATGTCCAGCGTGAGGGGCCTCGGGAAGTGAAGGAAGTCCATGTGAATATCCTTGTCTGATGACGGTGGCACCAATGTCCGACGCTCCAAAGGCGAGCAGACAAGCAAGAGTATCAACCCAGGGAGAAAACAACATGGCGACGACACAGAAGACACATATACCAGATATCAAGCCAGTAGATAAAACAGAACGTGAGACTGGAGAAGCGAGAAACTCTCGCATGCGATCACGGAGCATTTATACTCGAGTACAACCACCCTAAGTACTGATTGGAGTGGGGCGGCTGGTGGTGAGGGGTTGCGTTGTGCATGTACCTGCCTCAATTGTCGAAAACCAAGTCTTGCACATCAATGAAAGCGTGGCTCAGCTGCCTCTACAAGTTACGCATATTGATATGATCGGCGAGGTCGGCAAGATAAGATACAGGTTAACCTTCCTGTGAGTGTCACCGGCCGGCAACGCACATTCCCCACATGAGAATCTTATCGCGTCACTGCGGTGCTTGAGTGCTGTTAAAAGTACTCAGAGGATGACAGTGTATCGAATGGGCACGACAAGCACCTAGAAGGCATTACTTGATCATTCATTATCTACTTTTGGATGCTATAAACTCTGATATCTTCATGCGATCAGCAAGACGGAGTTGCTGCGGTTCACGTTTTCTGTTTTTCGCCGCTCTGTCTGTCGTCTTGCTAAGTATCAGGATGGGCCCAGGCCAACAAGATGGACTGTGGCAGATGCATGTACAACAGAATCGCAAATACCAACGCGAGTACCACATGGCAGATGATTTGGTTCGGATTGGCTGGTTGAAAGCCAGTCCAGCATGGATCTGTAATACAGCGATCTAGCTATGCGCTTGGCTTGTTCCGGTCGTGTTTGAAGGAGGTGAATACGAGCTGTTTAAGCTGCTGCTCTTTTGCGCCAACAACGTTGCCGGCTGTGGAGACCGAGGCAGGGCCATTGACTTGCATGTCAAGGTCGAGATATTCTCTGGCTGCGAGTTTGCTCTGCTTTTCGGTCAGGTAGCCCATGTATCTTTGAGAAAGGTCTCTGACAACATCTGGGTTCAGACGAGTCTTCTGTCGGATGGTGGTATGAAGCGCCTTCACGCGCTCGGCTTGTTCGGCTGCAGTCTTCAAAGTCGTCGGTTGGTCAATCTCGAAGCTGAGGTAGCCTGCCCAGAAGGATGGGCTATCAAGGAAGATGTGCTGCTGACGTGAGAGAATATCGCGTCCTTCGACAGCATCACCCTTTGACTTCCAGGCCAGTCGAGCCATCTCTACAACAAGTGCGCCCTTGTCGTCAATCGAGCATTCGGCATCGGCGAGATACTGGTCATAGACTTGCACAGCAGCTTCATAACCAACCTGACGACGCTGGAGGTTAGCCAGACGGGTGATGGCTTCGAGGTTTCCGGGCAAGGTGACAAGAATGGCTTCGTAGACTGCAGCAGCAACAGATGGTCTGCCGCAAGCTTCCTCGAAGAGCGCCCAGTGGAGACGAACGGCAGGTCTGGCGATGGGGGTGTAGATGCAGCTGGCGCGCTGGAATATATTGCGGACTTCCTCCTCTTTGCCGTCCTGGTTGTACATCCAGCGGGCATACCTCTGCCAGAACTCGTCATAGTGCGCGCACGTAACGACACAGCGCTCGTACAGGAAGGCGATGCGTGTGTAATCGGCCTCACTCTCCTCGAAATCAAGGTACTTTGACCAGTTCTCGAGTTGGGCTTCGTCGAGTTCGGTGACGTGGAAATACGGACGCTTGATCTCTTGTTCGTAGGTCCAGCGTTTGGTCGTCTCGGTTTGAGTGTTGTGGAAGAGTTCGAGGTGGTAGGTATCGAGGCGAGCGCGGATGGCGCGCTCCACTTCAATCTGGCTCTTTCCCTTCGTCTCAGACTCGAGCTCGGCGGTGAACTGGTTGAGGAGGTTTGATGGTGCCAGCTCGGCCAACGGACGAGAAGCTGCCAGTTGGCGGTATTTTTCAAAGTAGCGCGCGTACTGGTGCATGGGGATGTTGATGATGCGGGCGAGGATGTCAAAGACCTTGTCCTGGGCCTCGAGTCGCTCTTCAAACTCGATGTACTTGTCCCAGAAAGGGTGGGCTAGGAAGTCCAGACCGACACAAGTGGCGCCTCGTTCAAACAACCTAGGTCTGTCAGCCGATGCATGCCTCGTGGAGGGCAAGGAAGAGTAGGCAAGGGGAAGGGGAACCAAACAAGGCATATAGTCCTCTCGGCCTCCTGAGGCCGTCGGACGTGATGGACAACTGCAAGTCCACCAAACACCAGGGAGAGAAGAATGTGACAAGGCTCGAATTTGAACATGTGATGTGAGTCTGAAGGCTGTGCGTGAGAAGAGTAGGTCATGGGGAGTCTCGATGGTTTCTCACCCGTCTTCGACAAGCTGCATGTCTGTGGTACGAAGCGAGAGGGCCCAGAGGCGTGTGGATGCGGTCTAGGTGAAGGTCATGCAGATATGAGGGGACAGTGCGAACTTACTCTCGAATGATGGCGTCGTCGTGTGTCGTCTCGACCTTGAAGCTGCAGTAGTTGGCCCAGAGATCGACTGAGATGGCAATGCTGGCCACACCGCGTTCGTAGACCTAGACTTGGAGTCAGCAGAGTGTGCTGGCGCGGTCGAGAGTGTTTACTGACCATTTCGGCCGCCTCGGTGCCAGCAATGGCAAACTCCAGGTCGGCGTACTTCTTCCAGTATCCAAAAATAAGGGGAACTTGGCAAGAAAACGGTCGTAGATGCTTCTGGCGGCTGTGATGGCTTGAGGACTCGAGTTTCTGTTCAGACCACCCTCAAGACCTTCTACTGCGCGAACCAGCTTTTCCCAGTTCTCGAACTCGTCCGGACTGGCCTGAACGTCGGCTTCGAGCTTCCTGACTTCGGCCAGTTCTTCATCGCCTGTGCCATAGCCGTAGTCGGTCATTGCTGGGTCTTTGTCGCGCAATGCTTTGAGCCTGGTAAGATCGTGCGAATGGCACTATTGTAATATCTTGTCGAGAACGATGTGCGAAGAGCGAACGCGAGCTGAGAGAATCGAGCAGAGAACAGTCGTGAACACGTCGGGCCTTGCGAGTTGGTTTGTGTGTCTGGTCAGCGCGCAAGTGTTTGCTCGCGCCAGTCGCAGAGAGCTGCCACTCACCAGGCAGATTCTCGGCATCTCGTCCGGCTTGCCGAAGCCCTGCCAGCCGTGCCCTAATAGGTAAATATCATCCCGATTTCACTCGTAATACTCACTCATTCATGGACCTGTATGGCTTTCTTGAGCAAACAAGTGTCGGCTCAGATAGTAGATAGCATGTTCTTCTTTATCTTCATCTCGTTGCAATTTACGGAGGCATGGTCAGCCATGTCTGTTTTGATGTGAGGCTTCCGTGAAAATGTCGGTACGCAACATTTAAACCTGTCAACCATGTTGCAGAATAGAAACTTGATCTACACAAGACCGCAAGCGGGAACCTGATACTTTGAGGCCCTTCGTACAATGACAATCTGCTACGTTCATGTTTGGTTGCAGTTTAGAGGCTCCTGGTCCAACATATCATACATTTGTGATACTGTTCATCCACGTGCCAGGGTGACCCCAGCATCGAGTCCACCTTTGGAACGCAGAGCCGCCAACTGAAGGGGGCTCTCTGAACGGAGAAGTTGAGCAAGACTCACTTTCTAGCCGAGTCTGCCAAATGATATGTGTTTGTCCTGAGGATTGCGGCGCATCTCGCTTAGACTTGTTAGGCGAAGCTGCTCAACTCAAGTCCTGCAAACACGATAGACTCTCGAGAGGGCCGTCAAGGATGGCTTTAAATAGACCAGACGTGCAACCCTAAGATTAATGAGATCTGCTCACACGACGATTTTAATCATTAAAGTCCATGCTGGAAATATCATTAGCGAGCACAGCAATGGTGAATCGTTCAGTTCTCACGTCAAGCAACTCGCGGCGACAGAGTCCAGTCCACAGCCCCGGCTATTCATAACACAATCCACTGCTGACTCGGATGTATGTATCGCGGCCCATTTGCCAGCTGGGCAACGTTCATGGGTACGAGATACATGCGAATGTCCATGTTCTGCAGCGTCGTGATTGGGCTCTGAGGTCCACCTAAGGTCCGCAAGCACAGCCGCACGCGTTTTCGTTTCTGTGACCCCACTGGCTGCTGGCAAGCAGATGCGGCTTGACGACATGACATTGCGAGATCACCCCAGCCATGCTGCCTTACCTGTGCTGACCTCTCTCTTACACGAGTGGTGAGAGAATCGAGAAGCTCCTCAGAAGCGACATGCACGTGGCCACGAGTTCCCCTTCGCGTGCTGTAAGCAGAGCATCTCAAAAGTAGGCAGTCCGCGGAGGGCTAGTAGAGTAGGATAGGAGTGTTTGTTGGACGGTGGCTGGTGCGCCGGGTGCGGGCAGACCCGAGGCGACTTTGTCGATATCCAGTTAGGCTCGTTTCATGTGTCCAGCTTCACTCTTTCTCTCACACCCGCCTGCCACGACGTAGATCTGTGACGACGGGTTTGACAGGTCGTTCGACTTGGCCGTTCGCGCCGTAGGGCTTACCTCCATCCGACCGCTGGTATGGACATTAGGATAGGCCTCGTTTGATGAGCGTCTCGTCTCGTATTGCATCGTGTCCGTGTAGCAAAGCCAAAGCAAACAGGGATGGTTGGTCAGAGGTGCCCGGCCACCGCACAGACAAGAGGGGCATCTGGGTGGGTAACGATGCTGCATACATGCACCTCCTGCCGAAGGCGAGTCGTGCTCTCTTGTCGGTCTTCCTTTTTCTTCCCAGTCTCCAACTTTCAAGCTCCGCACGATTCTGCGACCTGCGCCTTTTTTGTGGCTCTGGAAGCCCGTCTCTTTCTCAACACCCAGTCGGAAGCCGGTCCTTCTAACTGTCTTTAGTCGCTTTTCTCTTCACTTTGGGCCTTGATTTATTTACGTTTCCCCTCTTGAGCGAGTCCTTGTGCAACATTGGTACTTCTGTGGTACGGCAGCCATCGGACAGCAGAAGCACAGCCGGACTGTACATCATCTTACACATGTCAGCATTGGGTTGCACGACTGATCTCTGATATTCATCTGTGACTGGACTGTCCCAAACTTATCCAGCCTCTACTCGAGCATACCAAAAAACAGTTCATGCAACTCGGCTCTCTCTCTGGCAGCATGCGTGACCGCAGGAACACTAATCTCTCCATCTCGTCGACGGGTTCGTTCGCTTCAGCCCATACATCGCCAGTCGTTGCCGATCACAGTCAGGACAGTGCAGAGAAGGGAAGATTCCTTTGGATCCCGGCCAGAGAAGACGCCGAACCTCTACCCTCACCCCTACTAAAACATGCGCGGGAGAATCAACATGGCTTCTTCGACAATTGGCAAAGGACACTTCGATGGCGCACAGTCGTCATGCTGTTCGTTCTGGCCATTGTCTTGATCTGCTATACTCTTGCTCCTATATTGACGGTAGATGTCCAATTCGATGCCGTCTTCGCCAATGCCGACAAACAGATTGACCTCATCAACGGAGCGCCCATTCCCGATCATCCCATCCCTGTGATCTTCCAGGACCAATACGGTCAGCCTCGATGGACCGTCTCGATACCCCCTTCATTCGGGTTTCCTCTTGAGCACCATGAATATGACAAGATATGTTCGACCAGCGAAGGAGTCAGGGCCAGCGTCGAAGCCATGACAGGTCGCGCATCAAGAATCCATGGCAAGAGCAGACCACACTTCTGGAAACGACCTTACTACGCGGCAGACAGGACGTTTATGCCAGTCGACGAAGCCGAAGACATGAATCTGCTACCAGCCATGCCGGAAGGACACAAGCACATTTCGGTCCTTGGTCATGTCAATGGAAGCAGTTCTCATCTTCCGGTCTGCCAGAGCAGTTTGACCTTCGTCATGGAGACAAGCGAAGCTGGCTTTGGCAACACTCTCCTTGCCCTCTGGTTGAGTTACGGCATGGCCAAGAAGGAAGGTCGCACTTTCTTCATCGACGATTCCAACTGGTAAGATCTTATTGAATGGTATTTGCTTCAATCGTGTGCTGATACTCCTCTAGGTNCGTACGGAAGATACACTACATATTTCAAACAGCCTCCACAGTCAGCTTGTGCACCTCCGCCGGCAAACCAGGTCCTTCCCTGTCCTCATAGTGCCCGCCATTTGGTTGTTTCTGCAGCTACCTTGCCTTGGACTTTTGGAAGTGCATTCAAGTCCGAGTACCAACAGTCACTCAAGCACGGATTCAAGAAGAATCGCCCCATCTATGACCTGGTCCGCCGAGGCTACCAAGACCTATTCGACCTGCAGGGAGAGGACGGGTCCTTCTTAGCACACAAGCTGACGGTGATGCGTGCCGCCGCTTCCGCCTCACAGACGCCACTTGTCGGCATGCACATTCGTCGTGGAGACCTGCATCCTTTCGAGGTCGAGTACAGCCATGACTACCTCCCATTCGAGCGCTACACATCTGCAGCTAGCGAGCTGTTTGCTTCTTTCTCACCAAACAAGTCGTCGATGGAGCCCACTGCTTTGCTTCTTGCCTCGGACGATCCGGACATTCTGTCGTCGCACGATCTCGTCAATACACTCCCCTCCCACCTCACCGTTTCACGCCCACAAGAACGTATTGTTCTCGCCAGTAAGAAGACACTGGAACCTGCAAAGCCCATTCGTAAGCCTGGATCCGCCTATGTCAAACATGTCGACGAGAACTCTGGCTGGGAAGGAGGGTTCTATGCTTCTTTGTTCTTCTCCCTTGGCAAAGGCCATCCTTCGGCATCTAAGCAGGGAATGGGTGATGAGATGCAGAGGGCTGTTCTGAAACTGAGAGAGCTCGTTGGACGTGCCTACCTGCTCGATCTGGCAGTAGTAGGGCATGCGGATGGCGCTGTTTGCGCCAGCTCAAGCGCAGCCTGTCGCATCATAGGAGTCATGATGGGCGCCGACAAGATGAACAACGGGCAGTGGAGAAACGTGGACGGCAACCGCGTGTGGAGCTGGGATGGAAAGGTTTGATTGAGCATCAGAGGGCGTATCATTTGGGGTTTAGCAAGGCGCACGGCGTGTTTCATTCTCTGCTTTGTTCCTTTCTTGTCGAATACTCTTGTTTCATCTTCGGACTTGTTCTTGGTGGGTTTAGAATGATTTCTCTTTTGTTCAGACAGACAGATATCAAAATCACGATCAAAATTGTATCCGCTCGAAAAGTGCATAAAGGCGGCAGGTGACTGTTAATGGATCATGTCGCGAAGAAGTTGTATCAACGAACGAGTGAAAGCTTGTTTGTTGAGCGAAACAGAGAGCGGGCGACGATCAGATGCTTGTCGCATGCACGCTGCCAGTCTGTGCCTCTTAGATCTTGATGTGTCGGCGGGGCTGCAGGAATGATGCTTGACCGGCTGGGGGACGGTAGCGAAGTCGGGACTGACCAGAGCCGCATCCATGGCAGCAACAGAAGCATGCGACGCCGACAGAGTGCTTGGCTTACGCGCACTCAATGGTCATTGAATGTCCAAGACAGCAAAGCAAAAGCTTTAGAGCGAGCGGCAGAGAAGGGATACGTTGACGCGAGGGTGGCAGTGGCAGTGCAAGTACAAGGACGTTGCGGAAAAGGGCGATGGATTCCTGATGCGGGTTCGGGCAGGGTAGCAACTAGAGCAGCATTATTGGGGACTCAACCTCCAACCTTCGTGAATGCGCCGACCTCTCCCTGGCCGGCAGTGACGATGCTCCAGCTGCGCATGATAGCCACACCATGAGCTCGTCGTCGCCGTCTCGCACCCAATCCTCGTCATCCCCGTCCGCTCCGTCCGTCCCGTCAGCCGGTCGCCGTATCCTGTCGCGCTTCGCGTCTCCCNTGTTCTCGCAAAAGGGCCGTAGCATTGCCGACTTCCACATCAAGGCCCATGATCCGCACAAGCAGTATTCGCCCGGCGAGAGCGTCAAGGGCTGCGTCGTCGTCAAGGTCGTCAAGCCCGTCCGTGTCACGCACGTGTCCGTCTGTCTGCATGGTTTCGCCCAGGTCTACCGCACTCCGGGCGCGACAGCCGACCAGCTGCGCGGCAACACCAATCGCATCGGTCGCGCCCAGGGCCGAGGAAAGAAGTCGGGCGAATACTTTGGCAATGGCTTCGCCTCGCTCTTCGAGGATGAGTCGGTGCTATGCGGCGACGGCCGTCTGGACGAGGGCGTGTACCGCTTCGACTTCGAGGTCCAGTTCCCCGACGACATGGACCTGCCCAGCAGCATCGACTTTGAACGAGGCACCATCTCCTACATGCTCACCGCCACCCTGACCCGTCCCACCACCATTGCTCCCGTCATCACCCACGACCAGAAGATCTATCTCGTAGAACGCGTCGACATTGCCCCGCTGCTGCCCCCGAAACCGCGAACCATCACCCTCGAGCCAGTCTCCAGGAAGGTCAAATCGACCAAGACCTCCGCGTCCCTGCCATCGAGGACTCCGAATACCCCTACGCACGAAGCAGAACCGCCGNACCCCTCGCTGAGCGAGCTCAGTCTCGACAGTCGCGTCAGTAGCAGCCTTAGCGACGGTCCGCATAAGCTCATCACCGCCACCGTCGAGCTGCTGAAGGGCGCCTGCTTGCGAGGAGACAGTTTCCCTGTTCGAATCTCCATCAACCACACAAAGCACATCAAGAGCATCAATGGCATCATCATCACTTTATACCGCCAGGCCCGCGTTGACATGCATCCCGCCCTCCCCTTGGGACCAGTGAGCGACGGCCAGAAGCGCAAGTACGAAGATTACTACCCCAAGTCCATCACCGGTCTCGGTGGCTTGTCTCTGTCTGGCGCCGGATCCAGCCATACCTTCCGCAAAGACCTTGCCCAGATTTTGGTACCCCTATATGTGGATCCCATCTCTTTGACTGCCGAGATCAATGCCAAAATTGGTGTCCCTCATGGCGCATTTCCCACCATTACCTCTGTTCCTGGAGCTATGATTTCCTTCCGTTATTACATCGAGATTGTTCTCGACATTCAAGGCAAGCTCACTCATGACAGATATCTCTCACAACATGGCAGTGGCCCGGTCTCTGCTGCTGCGCGCCCTGTCGACTCCAAAGAAAACAACCTCTTCAATGGCCCTGACGATACCCCATTTTTGATGCTCAATGGTGCAGGCATCCTCGATACTGCTCCTATTCGAAGAGATAAGTCCGTCGCGACGTGCACCTTTGAAGTAGTCGTCGGCACCACCGACAGCGAACGCAAAGCAAGGAAGGGCAAAGAGAAGGCGACTGAACCGTCTCCATCATCGGCCAATGCTGAGCAGACTTTGAACATGTCACACTATGCTCCACAACAGCAGGGTCATTCGGCAGTATCAAGCCGAGATTTTGAGTCATATCAGCACGCAGATGTGTACCATCATGACTATGACCCCAACACGCCCTTGGATTACCAGTACGGTTCTGGATACGACTACGGGCCTGATTATCATGAATGGGAGGGTCAAGAATATCCGTACGACGAGTCTTATTATCCAGAATATCACGAACCTCCGCCGTTAGAGGACGAGAACTCACTTCCTGAAAAGGAACGTCTACGCAGAGCGGAGGCACGATTGATGCCGAGTCAACCACCAGCCATGCCTTCGACATCGTCGGGCGCAGAACAGGCAACAGCGCCAGCATTGCCTGAAGATTCCTCGTACCAAGGACCAGGAGCTGCCGCCGGGAGCTCGACACAAACCACTGCATTGCCATCGCACATGGCTTATCATTTACCAACACCTCAGACTGCCCATGACACAGTCGAGGGCAATAGCAATCATCTTCCGCCGACGGACGACAAGCATGAATTACAAAGGCGTCAATTAGAACTCGCAGCGAGTGGACCGCCTCCAACTTCATCAAACGTGCGCGGGAGACCAGTGCAGAGTCTGGGGCCTCAGCACCGGNTATTAATAGATAATAATATGGATGATTTCGCATCGGGGACGGACGAGATAGGGACAGGTGCATCAGAAAGTCTCCCGCAATATCGACGATGAGAAAAGTCGATTGCAAAAATGCCATGTTTGTTCTTTGAAAACCACAGTGCCTAAACGAGACGGACTCGGTGCTCGCGCCGTCGGCATCGGCGTCGCGGAACGAAGCAGATGCAGATACAAGCAAGTGCACGGGCGTTGAAACAAATAGGCGGCTCTTGTGCGGGCGCCTGCCTAGTTTTCTTGCGACGAAGCGACAAGAACGTGAAGACCATGTAAGCGAGCTGGAAGCAAAGGAAAGAAGGAAGCATAAGGTAGTTGTTTTGGCATAGTCTTGCCGATCGTAACCAGAAGCAGCAAACAACAGGGCACGAGGAAGGGTGAAGAGGGAGGGTGGCTAGAGCGACATCTGCGATTGCCATCGTTGATGGAGACCAAAAGAGGCCCGTGAGGGGGAAAATGGATGAATCATGGTTCGCCAAGACATGTGCTCATCGATGGTGTTCTAGATTGACAAAAGTCAGAATCACCAGGCAGTTACACGGCCATGCTGGTGGCAACGAGTTTTGCCATGGGGAGTCGCAGCTGGGATCGAATTCTTGGTCAGGTTTGTTGATCGATCAGGGCGATTGCTCTGGTGTTTGGCATATCCGTCCATCGGGGTTCTTGCAAGCGTCAAGGATCGTTGGGTCACCGGGAGTCTTCGGAGTCGAGTCCGTCGGCGGACATTCTTCCAGCTCCCCGTTCGTCCTCTGTCCAACTCTTTGCAAAACGCCCACAGCGGCCTCTCACTGGCTCGGACCCGAGCACCGAGTGGAAGTGTGTCTGCTTGTTCGTGGGCCAGGGCCATCGACAAATCGACCTCGGTCGTCGCCCGTTAAGCATTACTCTACCGCTCAACACGCCGGGCCCAGCATGTCGTCGTGACGGCTTGTTCTGATTGAGCGAGACTTGCCAGCGACTAGCGCACACGACGCCCAGCACCGCACTCGCCCTCTTTGCGACCCATAACTGTAGAGCCTTTGTCTCTCTGCAGTACTTGATGCCCTCTGGACATATTGCGCTCCCATGACGACTCTCAAACAGATGCTCGACCGTTTGGATCTGGCGCGCTATCACGATGCCTTTGTCGACGAGGGCTTCGACACGTGGGAAATCCTGATGGACATTACCGAGTCGGATCTGTAAGTAGTATACCGATTGTTTCTTGCTGTCTCACTAACATTGTCTGCAGCGNAGACTCTCAATGTGAAGCTTGGTCATCGACGAGTGCGTCTTGTGCTGTCATGACCCATGTAAATGCTGACGGTGCTACGACAGAAACTGCAACGAGCCATCATCAGTGCATCCAAAGACAGAACACCACTGCCGCTACTCTTGCACTCTGGCTCGCGCGACGAATGTGCTGGCCAGGATGACTTCAAGAAAGCCCACACACCACGCTTCCTGCAGCAACGATCACAAGACTCGCAGGATCAGGACGCTGCAGCCCGGAACAACAACCCACCGCCGAGGAACAAACGAAAGTACAGGCGGCATCCCAAAGTAGGTGGGCTGAAGCGCACGTGGGTCGAGACGGATGCTAAAGCAGTGCATCCACAGGCAGACGAACACGCGCCAGAGCGACCACCATCAGCATATGTCATCTTCTCCAATCGTTCGTGTCGCCCTGGTCTTTGCACGACAGTCAGCTGCTAATGTCCAGGTACGCAGNAGATCCGCGATCAGCTCAAGGGCCGGGAGCTCTCGTTCACAGAGATTGCCAAACTGGTAGGCGAGCGGTGGCAGGAACTACAAGCACACGAAAAGGAGCCATGCGAACGTGAAGCCCAGACGCTCAAAGACAAGTACTACTCGGAGCTGAAGAAGTACAAGAAGACGCCGCAGTACAAGCAGTATCAGGATTACTTGGTCGAATTCAAGGCAAAACACTCAGGCGAAGGCAGCACCCAAGGTCAAGGTCAAGGTCAGGGGCAAGATGGCGGGCCAGACCCCAAGAAAATCAAGCTCCGCAGCACTCAATCGCGTAGCTACGACGAGACGAACGTCGACGGCGACGACGGCGTTGATGGCATGGATGGCGCGGATAGAGCCGAGGGTGATGATGGAATGGATGGCATTGGTGGCGCACACAACCAGGCAGCCTCGCCGTCCGAGCGAGTCCAACATTCGCCCACCTACAGCTCGCCCACTACCAAAACCTACCGCCAGTTCCCACTCCCCAGAGAGACGTCAGACGCCGGCACCGCCTCGTCCTACTCGACTTGGCCGCCTGCTCAGCATACCTTCCCTACTTCGACTACCTCCCTCCACAGGCACTCGACCAATTCCACCCTTCGCTCCGACCACGCCTTAAACTCACCCACCACCTCCCACCCAGCCCTACCGACCCACACCAGTGCGCCAAGCAAACCCACCCCCAAACTCCCCTCTCTCAACCAACTGAACTCCATCGCCTCGCGCAAGTCCTCCGACACGCCCCTCCTCAACTGGCCTCTGCATACCACACTACCTCCCCTCGACCCCAGAGCCATGACTCAACGCTCCGGCCCCAACTCTCTCTACTCTCCGACAACCCACCACGTCATCCAACCCGCGCCTTCCCTGCATACTTCGCCCTCCTTGCCCATGAAGGACTCCCTCGACCTCAATTCGCAGAACAAGGCTTCGCTGTCTACCCTGCTGCGCGCCACCGAACATGTCGAACGCGATAGAGCACATTCTGCCGATTCGAGCGTACATAAACAAAGTCGATGATTACGGTCGATCCACACACACGAACTTCTGCCTGCGGGGGAAACAACACTGCTAGCTATGCGTCGATACCGTCATGCCCATCTACCTCTTGCGATAACAAGACAACCCTTACTCGCCGCATAGAGCCCGTTTGGTCCGCGTACGCAGCAGTCATCCGAGGAAGAAAGGGACATCCAGGAAGAAAGGGACAAATATGAAGGAGATCCGTAAGAAGAATCACGTCACAGAAGAACAGACCTTTTTGAGGCCGCATGACTTTTCACGATATACATATGTTGCAACCTGCCTCTTTTCGACCCGCCCATATCTATTTCTGCCTTTCTCTGGAGAGAGCTGAATTCTTTCTCTTCATGTCCCCCTTATGGTTTTGCTTCTTTTACTCTTTTTCCGAGCTTCGGCAGGAATTGTAAGCCATTGTGACTACGATATTGGTTCGTCACCGTGCTCTCTTCTATCATGTTGAGTAAGAAGCTTACTCGTGATCGCTAAGGACTTGTCTACCATCATCGTGCTTTCCATTCACTCATCTCGTTTTTGGCCGTATCGCATCTGCCTCGTTCAAGGGGACCGGTACCCCCTATTGAATCGATCATCAGAAACGTCTGTTCTCAGCTGCTTCACTACGCAAGTGCCTTCCAACCTCCGCTTCCAACTCGGCAGAAACAACAGGTTGTTGCTGCTGCCTCTGACTCTTAGTAGCACGCCCAAANAGACAACTCCACAGATCGTCATTGGGCACAACTTCACCGTCGCCTTTACCCTGCACCAAGAGTCCCGAGATGGGCGCCTGCTGCAATTCAAGCGAGTTGGCAGCATCGATGGCGGCTTCGCCCAATGCAGGAGTGGAAGACTTTGAACGCTGAGGCTCCTTTTTGGTGGCTTTTTGCATGTGTGCCAAACGTCTGGCGACGGATATTTCGTAGATGGCTTCTTCGACCGTGTCGCCGATTAGGTACATGTAGACTGTAGTGGGTCGTTGTTGGCCGATTCTGTGCACGCGAGCAATGGCTTGGAGTTCGATTGCCGTGTTGATGAGTGGCTCGGTCAGAAAGACGTACTGCGCGTTGACGAGGTTGAGGCCTGACGAGTCGGTCTTTGCATCCAGAAGGAAACATTCGATACCTGCGTCGTTTCTGAATCGATCAATGGCGCCTGGTTTTCCCATACGCGAATAACCAACACCGGATTGCTTAAATGCGGTGCCGAGAACATCGAGAAACTCCCTAAACTGACTGAATACGATTGCTTTCGCGCCAGGGTCATGCTGGCGAATCCATAGGATATGTCGAGCGAGGGTGTCTATCTTCGTACCGAACGAACCATTCAGATCAATGGATTTGATTTGTGCAAGCGTATCGCTATTGATGTCGGCATATAGAGCAGATCCCGGAGTCGCACTCTTACTAGAGCCCTGGCTCGGCGAAGAGGGTTCGGACTGTTCCTCTTGTGCAAGCAGCTCCTGCGGCTTGTATGTGATCTGATGAAAGTCTGCAAGCACCAGATGGCGCTTACACACGGGGCAGGTACGATGAGAACTCCACCAATGATTGATGCATTCTTTGCAGTATTGATGACCACAAACGGTGAGAACACCCTGCTCGAAAGAGCTTTGACAAATAACACAAATTCTTTGCGTTTCTTGTGAGTTGGTACTCTCTTCACGCAGATGAAGTAAGAAGCGATTCTTGGTCTTCAAAGCTGCAAGTGCCTTGGTTTGTGTCTCTTGTCGACGTGTCGCAGCTTCGAGAGCAGCTACGTCCAATGTATCATCCCAATCTTCCTTATGAGGTGCGACAGTGTCCGAAATCACCTGAAGCTGGCGATAGAATTCCAGACGCTGATTCATTGTTGCAGAGAAGAGTCCAATCATCTCCTCGAGACCTTTCAAGACTTTGTTCTCCTTCTCAACAACGAGACCGAGTTGTTTGGCTTGGCCACGGATGATCTGAAGCTCGGCACCAGCACGTGTATTTCCATCTTGCCAGTCGAGAGCGGTTTCGATGCCACGGATCTCGTGCACCAAGCCACGCAAAGATAATAAATCGTCAGGCCTCTGCTTCAGACGCTCACGTTCCGTGAGTAACTCGAGTATAAGCTCTGGTGCATGTCCATGACCCAACTTGGCCATTTGAACCAAAGACCGTATCTCCTGGTCGACAAGAGGCGCACTCTGTCCTGTGATACAAGTTGAGCGATCAGCAACCATGGCTCTCAGAGCATCCAGATACGCGTTTAATGTATCTTGGGATTTTGTCGAGTCTTCGTATTCGTCACCAGTAGTCTCAACGTTTCCCTCGTCCTTGTCGACCAGAGGTTTGAGCAACAGCTCGGTAACCTTTTCTTTCCATTCATCAATGACTTTCGCTTGCGTATTCATAATTCTGGCGAGATCACGAGCTTTGTGAATCNNTTGAGATCGTCAGTCATTCTGTCATAAAACAGCTCGTGCCAAACTTACTATTTTGACGTTCTCGACACCTCCAGGACTCTCCATGGTTTCCAATCTAGAACGCTCGAGAACCACATCTTTCTCTTGCTCTACCTTGTGCATGAGCTTCTCAGCCTTTGAGGAATCTTCATTCAAAATCTCTTTGCGAGTTAGCTTAGCAGAATCATAGAAGAGTGACTCTTGTTCCTCCAGTTCTCGAAACCTCTCCGAGTCTGGCTCAGTAAAGTTGGTGTTGGATTTCATCTGGAAGTACGAGGTGCCAATGAAGAAAGCACATGCATGCTTCAATTGCAAAGCAGAATACAGAGCGACTCTGCACCGTCCTTCAGCGATATCCTCTGTCGTCGTATCATCTTCTGAGTCATCGTGCTTCTTTTCGAGCTCACTCAGGCGAGCAGCTGCCCTAGCAACGTCGGTCCTGCACTCAGCGACAATCTTTTCCGACGCCTCGAGTGCAGATTTGTAGATCTCCAGAGCTTTTNNCTCAGCTCTGTGCTCATCATCCTTTGCGTTGCCAATGATGTGACCACGGAGAAGCTGGGTATTGATGGCAAGACGAGATTCTGTACGGATCGACGTTTCGTTTTGATCTATCATGACTTCCAGAACTTCGGCCACAGTACGCAATGGGCCTTGGCCACGTCCGAGAGCTCTTCTGTTTCTGCCACCAACTTGGGGATGCAGACAAGTCTGACGTAGTTGACAGAGCCAAGTTCGCATCTTTTGCAGTAATGCAGGTGATTCCGGGTCCCAATTGTTTGTGAGAGGTGATCCATCAGAGCGACATCCACACTCCTCACACATTGTCTCGAATAATGTCTTGTAGTTTTGTTCCTCGATCTGAGTAAATGGCAATGTCAAGACAACCCTTCTCTGAGGAGGCAATCGAAGTTCGTGCCGTACGTGATCCTTGGTGTGACGCAGCGTTATGCGGCCAAACAAAGTCTTGAACAGATCTCCGTATTGGTGTATCAGACGGTTCCAGATTGCGGGGGAATCGCAGAAAGGCTGGTATCTGAGGAACACCAAAAGTCCGAAAAGATCTTGAACATCCTTCTTGAGAGGTGTACCAGATATTGCCCAGGCATTCTCACGCGGTAGAAGAGAGGCCACTTGAGCTGCTGCACTGACACCCGATTCGACCATTTGTGCCTCATCTAGGCAGACTCTCCACCAGTGCATCTGTACCAGAGGGCTGCGAGGTCGAGTGCGCTGTCGTTCTCGAGTTCGCAGTGAACGCTCAGGNGGTTCGACAGCGAAATGAACCTCGCGAGATAACACAGCGTATGTCGTGATGACCACGTCTCGCTGCGCCAAATCCGCGACAATTGACTGCGCTCCTTCCTTGGACGACTCAGCTTTAGTGATACCTTTGTAGTGCGTAACAGAGAGACCAGGAGCGTGTCTAGCCAACTCGTCTATCCACTGTTGTAATATGGTCTGCGGAGTGACAATAAGTGTCGCTCGAGACTTGGTAAGTGTGTGGGCCTCGGCCTGTCCGGTATGCATCTCAGCAGAGTCTCGTTTGTTGAGACATATCAGCCCAATGAGCTCGACGGTCTTTCCAAGTCCCATTTCCTCCGCAAGTATTGCTCCCCTTGGCTCTTGGTAAGCACCAAGATGTGACGGAGAGCACACAATGCCTTCCAAATGGCTGACAAAACAAGGTTGGTCATTTGCATCCGTGACTGACGTGTAGGATAAACGGCCTCGGGATTGGTCGCAAGTTGAGGTCTCTCGGCTAAGCATCCATGCTACGGAACGTTTCTGGAAGGGGTATAGATCGGTTTCGAGGACCTTACGTTCGACCTGTTCGGGTACATACGCATCGTTTGATGGAGAGTGAACGCTGGCGTAAAACTCCTGTGGCGTCCACGATTTTGATTGCGCATTTCGAAGCTCCGGAAAGAACTGAGTAAGAGTGGCCCAGTCTTCTTGCTTGGCCAGAGGTCCAAACGCTGACTCACCGTCAAACCATGTGATGCTGCATTCTAATGTATAAACAGGACCAGAGGGACCAGCTGAGCGATGCAGAAGGCATGTGGATCGACAGACACCTGGTCTGACATTGCGTCTGGCTCGCTTCTCAAGGTTCACAATGCGTGAGAGCAAATTGGCTGTGGTTGATGAGATGGATGTCATAGTCTGAATTCTGAGTGTAGGGCTTTTCTTGTAGCTTGTGTGCCCAACCAGTGAGAGACAAGGTTGCGAAGAGGCCAGATCCGAGGTATCGGTGAGCCCGACTTCGATATCATCTTCCAGCACAGTTGATGGATCGCCGTGGTTGCTCGTCCCTGGAGATGGCCGTTCTGAAGATAGGTGTATGTTGATGTTAACGCGAGCAATTGTGATTCCTGACTCAAGAGAACGATGTGATGGCTCGAAATTATCTGCGGACTCGAGTCTTGCACGTTTGCGTGGCCTGCCGCTGTAGTCTTGTTGAAAAGCATTACGGCAGTCTTCGAAGAATACGGAGAATGCTTCGGCGCCTTCAGCGATCAAACCTTGCTTTGGATTGTGCGACCTCAAACTGGCAGTGAACACTCCAGTGTCCAATACTGATGCCATCGTCACAAACTATACGACCCTGTCACTCCGGGATATGGTTTGGTTGGAAAGAATAAAAGATGGAAGGCAACAAGTCAACATCGAGTGCGGAAGGTGCCGCCACTCTCGGCGATAAGAGATTAGGGCCGTTCCGAGGTTCACGTCCTGAAGAGCGTTCTTTCCATGTTTTGTCTTAACAGTGAAGAATGACAGTATCGTCCCATACGTCAAAGCATGTAACGCGTGTAGCTATAGAGATGCACAATGCAGTCGAGAGATAAAGCAGCGTCCACTGAGAGTCAACTTTTTTGACTCTCCTTGGCTACCTCCCTGCTTCCGACAACAACTGTGCCTTTTTACAGTGCACACTTTGCTTCGTCTGGTGGGAGGAGAGTGTGCTTTGTTGGTCAATGACCTTCACAACTCGTTGTGTGGACAGAAGGATGAATGCCCGTTGAGAATAATAGGGATAATCAGTGAATAGGGACAACGCACATATCAAACTCCCCAGGCCATATGAACTACGCCAGAAAACAAAGAACAGAACGCTTTTCTACGCTTCCGTTTATGATGCACCGTCATAACAACTCGGTAAAATGTAGGCCACACTGAGATTCCTCCAATCAGAGGATCAGAAAACTTGAGCAAGAATCAATGCTCTTATGCTTTGACCATGAAAATCTGTAGAGGGAATTAGTCTTTGGAAACATGTAATGAGTGGTTGTTGGAAATACCTCTTTCATGGCTTGCGGGTCCATGAAGGCGAGACGCTTCTGCGCAATGTATCGCTGGCGGACGTTTTGTCTGCCATATAGCGCAGCCACTGGTGCAGGCTCTGCAGGAGTTCCGGGGTTGTTGATGGCGTTGCGGTGCTCGACTTGGCTGCCTTCTTCTCCTCCCTTTTCCGTCTCTTTTCCTCCTTCTTTGCTTCCTTCTTTGCGCGTCGTTCTGCCCTTCGTGCCTTCCTCTCAGCCCGTGTCTCGTCCTCGGAATCTGACGCATCTGTAGCCTTTCGCTTCTTGTCCTTCTTGCGTCTCTCCTTGGACTTGAACTCGTCTGTGCTTTCGCTGCTTGTATCCTTGGAAGACGACTTCTTTGGTTTCTTGTCCTTCTTGTCCTTCTTTGACTCCTTTGACTCCTTGACCTTCTTTGCCTTGGGTGCCTCATCAACTTCCTCGTCGTCGTCAGAGTCGGAAGAGTCCGAAGCAGAAGAAGCGTCGTTGGTGTTCTGTTGTTCGGGTTCCGATCTCTTGCGCTTCTTGTTTGCTGCGTCCGGCGCGGACTTTGAAGGGNGCGGACTTGGAGTTGGGCATGACGGTCGACTTGAGATCCATCTTGTCGCCGACCAGGAAGCCTGCGCTGATGAAGTTGATGTTGCCGTATTTTCTGCCTTGGTACAGGGCCAATTCAACGTCTCGTTGTGCCGTCTGCTGCTTCTCAACCTCTGCCTCGGATTTGCCGTTCAGTCTGCCCAGGAGACCCGAGTACAGACTTAGACCGAAAGTCTCTGCATTGTTTCCTCCTCTTGCTGCGCCCAGACCCAGATTGTCATCCTTTAACAGGACACGGATGTGCGAGTTGCTGCCGACGGTATAGTGCGAAGCGTGGTTTGCGTCTATGGCGCCGAGCGTGTCGCCAGGTTTCCAGCCTTGCGAGGCAAGGATCTTGTGGCCGAATGAGTCGGTCGCTTTGGCCCAGTTGTTGTTGTTGGGATCGTTTCCGATCTTAGAGCGGCGTTTGGGGCCGGCGAGACCCATGATGGCGAGTAGCAAGGTGGTGGTAGTGTCTTGTCGTCGTCTTGACGCGCGAGCAATAATTTTTCTCCACGGAGAGAAACCGAAATTTACCCCGCATTTGGGCTTCACCCTGCTCTTTCCTCTCTGATCAAACGTGCCGAACCCCCCTAATCCGGCGTCCATACCACACCAATTCTCTTCATATCAACACATCAGGATTGTTCGCAATCTATCAAGGTCACTGTGAGCAAACATCACATACCGATTCTTTGCTTGTCTAGAATCCTTCTTGTCGTCTCGACAGCCCACCGCAACCATGCCTCCTACCAAATTACAGAAAGTCGCCAAGGCTGCCAACACTGAAGACGGATCCCAAGGCTTCGTTGAGAAGCAGAACGAGTTGTTCAAAGTAGTAAGTTGCATGCCCAGCAAACCTCTTCAATGTCTTTATACTTGGAGCTCAATTCTGGTCATGCTCATGGCTGACGCTCAAGCGCTTTCAAGGTCAAGGCCCGCCAGGAGGAGGCGCGCACGAGGATCTGCAAAAGTCGTGCCAACAGGAACAAGGACTTGCACGCGCGCATCAAAGCCTTGAAGTGTGATCCGACAACCAAACAGTAAGTTCCTTGAACAGACTACGTAACTGCGACAATAAACACATGTTGCCTCGGTCGNNACGGTGACATGCATATCTGCCATGGCAATTACAAATGCCCATATGCTACAATCCAGCCACATATGTGCTTCGGCAACCCTTGCCTTTTGGATGCATCGAGCCTCAAGCACCGGAGAAAGCCNNAAAAACGCTAAAACTTTCGTGTCTTCTAGGCCCGGGAGCAACGCCGACGCGCCAAGTTCTGACCACACGGCCTTCGGCACCCTTCGAGACCTGCTCGCTCGCAAGACCGACCTTGAGCGACGCATCACTGAACGCATCGATGGCCTGGAAAAGACCATGCGCATCGCTTCCTCCGAACTCCAGATTGTTCTCAAGTCCCGCTCCGAGCTTGTTGCGACTGCGATTGCGACCGTGCCTGCCAAAGCGAGCGCTGCAACTGCAGATTCCCACGTCCTCATCGTGAAACAGTGAAAAGGCAGATCATCGACAAGTGTATCGTTGCTTACCGCTTCTCTACGAGTTACGATGGGAATCGAATGACAATCTACCACCCGAAACCGACATCTCTCAGGAGAAATCACATGCATGATATTATGCCAGGGGCTGAACCGACGACTCTTTGCTGAACCCTAAGAACTCTGTCAGCCGCACTAACTTGAGTGGAGCTTGCTATGACTCTGTGGCATTCCTTATCGTTCCCGCTCTCTTCAAAACAACATCATATTCGTGGTTATAACAGAAATTTGAGTCATGCCAATTGAAAGTGCGCTCTCGGTCTTTCATAGCTGTGTTTTTGAAACTTCCGAGACTGCTTCCATGGCTTTTGATTTGTTGGGTTACTTGCATAGGCCCTTGGAATGTTCTCGGTTAATGTGACCATAAGCTGCGGCGCCTGCCGTGTGCCGCCAAACGCCCGCTGTCTTCAAAGTGCTGAGTCAAAAGACCGATGGATTTTGGGATACTGGTTGTGTATTGTTCAATGCTATGAGGGGTTGACTCTGATTCGTTTCTTCGTAGTGGTAAATACATTGCATATTGCCGTACATGATTCCGTTGCTTTTTGTACATAGAGAATTGAAGATTGGGTGAAGGCGCTTGTGTGAAAATGAAGAGGTGAAAAGGGGATGCGACAATGGTAGAAAAAGAGGTGATTCAAGCGGTCCATGATATATCCCAGGAGAACTCAATGGCAAGATGTGTTTGATGCGAGAAACGCCTTCCATGCGCGTGGGGGTTGTGAATAAGAGCTTCGTGTATTTGCTCTTCGTGTACGTTTTGTGTGCTTTGGCTTGTAGTCGACCGGTGCAGGGTAGGAACGGAGGAGTCTATGTTGACAGTGATTGCAGCTGTGTTCGATGGTTCCAGAGATAAAGCCAGGCTTAGTGACCAGTCGCATCAAGAAGGAAAGTGCATTCCCACAGGAGACATGTTGATCGCACCCTGAGGCATCTGTGCCGGGCGATGGAACATCTGCACCAGACGCTGTCCAATGCTAGGTTCAATCTCTGTGCCATCGCGCGCAATCTTGATCTCTCTGTTCTCGTTCCAAGGATTACGCAGACCACGAGTGCGGTAGAAAGGGAGTCGATTCGTCGAGATCCAGTCGACCTGGAAAGACTTGCCCCACTCTTGCCTTTCTTGTCGGGTACCTGTTTCCTTCTCTTCTCGTTGGATTTCCTGTGGTGTTTGGGAAGTAGCACCGTCGATTGCTCCTTCTTCTTCTTCTTCTCCTGTTCCGTCTTCATGTGTGTTGTCGACTTCCCAGAAGATGGTGCCGCGTGCTGAGTCGTCTACAATGCGTCCTTTTGGTGCCCATTGTGTTGCTGGTGTTGGAATGGACTTTGGGCCGCTGTCCAGGTCTTTGGTCCTGGGCTGCAGTTTTGTGGGTGATGTTGTCGGTTCCGAGGTGATGGGGCTGGTCATGCGAGCATAACCAAAGTATTCTCCAGACTTGTTTGCGGAAAAGACGAGGAAGACGTTGTCAGCAGTCNNTGGAAAGAGGATTAGCTTGTGCTTGTAGACGTAAAGAGTCTCAGAATTCCTTACCTCGTAAGCATGGTTCAGCGCAACCTCGTTGTGGCTCTGAGTGGCCCAAACTCCATTGCGCACACTGGCTTCGAGATCCTGCAGCGTAAGACTCTTGACCACGAAGTACTTCTCAGGCACTCGTGCTGGACTATGGCCGTCGACGCCATCGACACCGTCCACACCGTCGACGCCGTCAACACCATCTACACCATCAACTCCATCAACACCATCGTGCTGAGACTGTTTGTCGGGTGATGAACGGGCTGAACCGTCCACAATGACCGGACCAGAAGACGTTCTTTGCAATCCTTTGCGACCCGCCTTGTCGACCTCGCTACCGGACTCAGGGGTCGTCGAGTCGGGTATTGTCGAAGAGTATCCAGCATTAGGGGTGCTGCGACGAAGCCTACACACCAACCGCACACCCTGGAACCGAGAATCATGGAATCTGACCATGGCAGCAGCGCACGCAGTCTCGTTGCGGTAGTTGACAAACGCACAGTTGCTCTTGGAGATGAGGAACAGACTCTCGATGTCTTTGGTTGCTTCGCGCGAGAAATGGTCCTTGAGGGCGCTGATGGTCGTGCCAGGNGGCAGATTTCCGACCCAGAGTGCATGGCCAGATTGTCTGGGCTTCCTTGGTGGACCTCTGGGATAAGATGGCGTGGGCTGAGTGACCAACTCGGGTCTAGGATGGCCTGCAAGATCAGAGTCAGTATCCTCCGCTTGATTTCTTGATCAAAGATGACGGAAGTGTTGTCTTGCCATCCGTCTCTCTGACCATGTATAATGGACNGTACTCAAGTATGACACGGGATGATTTGGTTGGGTGTTGAAATCGTTGTTGTTGAAGGGCATTCCAGGCATCATCGAGTAGCCTGCGATAGGCTGTCCCTGGCGTTGCATAGCAAGCTGGGAGGGAGGTACACTGTAAGAGTTGTAATAGTAGTGAGGCGCCATACCAGGGGCTTGCGGCTGGTTGCGCAGACCAGACATGGGCATCGTCATGTTTGGTGGATAAGCTTGAGCTCCATACTGGTGCAACTGTTGCGGTCTAAAGTTCATGCCTGGCGCCTGCACAGGCAATCCATCAGCGTGAGATGGTGCTTGCTGTGCGAAAGCTCTGGTAGACGTAGGCAAAGGAGAAGACCCAGGCAGTGCAAGTCCTACCGAGCTCATGTCGAGCGCATGCATCGACTGCTGGTGTTGATAGTTGGCATATGGGTTACCATGTTGCGAGGTCGGTGTGCGAGACGTCTGTGAGAATGCACCGAATTGCGAAGAGGAAATTGCATGTTCTCCTGGAGCCATAAAAGTTTTCTCTTGCGATTGGCTCACTCCATCCATTTGCGTGGAGCCCTGGTGATCCGAGTAGACGGTGTTTTGCCGATCGTGGGATTGTGTTGTCTCTCCCATTCTAAGAGAGTTTCAATCCTTGCTTGTCGCAATTCAGCAGCGGCAAAGTCTTGGAAAACAACTATGCTCGGGATTGAGTCAGCTAGGACTAGATGAAACTTGACAAAGAGATAGCAAGTCAATGTAGTGGTCTTTGGCTTACGCAGAGCCTCAGATGATCGATCGAACGAACTATGTGGTGCCGCGTAGAAGAAAAAAAGCCAACAACGAGAATCTGACCACGTTACTCCTCCATGCCAAAAACAGGTAATGCGGCTAGGCTAAGGGACGTTGCGAACAAGAAAGGAAGATGCTAACGAACAGATGAAGTAAAGAGCAAAGAAGAGAAAAGAGAAGGCAAGCTGGCGGCGTGCGGAAGAGGCTGGTGTGACAGAGGGGGCTAGCTCAAATGAACAAGTGGAGGGGGATCAAGACGGTGAATCCACAATGGCATGACCAGAACCACATGGCGGTAAACCTTTCTCCATGACCTGCCGGACCGTCAAAAGACTACCGTCGAGGCTCATCGATAGGGTGGGGATAGTGCCGGTGAACATGCCATGAACAGCAAAGAGATCGGGAACTTACAGCCTCGATTGCTTTGCGCAATGTGCGAAATCTAAGCAGCCCACGCTAAATTTGGGTCGCAACGCGGAAGCCTTGACTGGAGTGGTGTCGAGACCAGTATTGCATCTGTGCAGTTCTTCAAGTGGCTTTGCTGTCAACGGTAGTGACGATGTGGCTGTAGATACAGCTGTGCTAACGGAACGAGCACCAGTGCATGTGTTTGACAATCAAAGACAAAGAACGGGAACAAGAGAATGGACGAAGCCTTCCAGCAAAGAGAGTATATCTTTTATCTATCATACAAATGCCTGTAAGCAGCTAGAGCCCGCAGAGCGTCACTCGCGCCACTAAGCAACTCTGCATACAATTAGACTCTGTCTTTGTTGCCGGTAAAAGTGTGTGTCGCTTAATTGGCCATGTGCAAGGACGAGAGCATGCAGGGAGCGTTTGGATCGGAAAGGCTCTTACACGGCTCAGGGCTCCGGTGGCAAAATCCCAGAGATCACATTTTTGGTTTGCTCGAGCTGATGGTAGCCCATATATCTCTGCATCGAGAACGTTTTGAGAGTCTTTACGATTTGTTCTCGAGCGGGAGTTCGCTCATGGTTAGTTCTCGATTTCTACACCAAATTCTCTTGGAAGAAGAGTGAACGCACCAAGAAGCAGCTCCCGTTGAAAAAGTCGGGCGTTAACGTGACAGTCGGAGAAGGTCCCGAAACGAGTGAGGCGCAAGAGCCGCAGGAGATTGGCAACGAGTTTCTCATTTGTCGCCCGGACTTGCCACCGTCCGAGATGCAGAAATGAAAATATACTTCAGATCGTGCCGGTATTTTCCTGGCGCTGCTGGAATCGCTCTGGAATCGAATGGTCTCGAGCTTCTTTAATCTCGGTGCTCCCACAGGCTTCGCTTCGGGACATCTTCGTGTGCTGGTCGCTGTCACGGAATGGCTGCAGAAATGCACAGTACTTTCCAGGTCAGCTTTGTTCATGGAGAGCCGTCAACTTGAGCTATCTCTGTGGACATGCTTTGAACAGAGTTGCGCAATCTCGTGGCTCTGTAACCCGATGACATTGTTCTGAAAGAGATGTTGTTCGTGAGATTGTGACTGATTTCAGTACGTGAGGAGGTATGTTTTGCAAGTCGCAGTCGTTTCTCGAATGCTCGGGACTGCGTAGAGGCTTTTCCCGAATCATGCATCATCATGTTCCTGGAGCGAACTGGTGTCTCTAGTCAACTGCCTATCATACATCTTTCCGAGGCATCCCAGCGACGAGATAGACGGTCTTAGAGGCTTTCTCCGAACAGTTGACTGCAGACATTGCCAGTTTCGAAAAACCTTGGTCGTCTATTTTTCCCTTGGCGCATAGTCGGCGCAACCCGTCAAGAAGGGCATGACATGGCCTGTACGATCAGTCGTATGTCGTTGCATGCATGTACCGTGTAGCGCGGCTGAGCCACAGGGACAGCCTGCGGCTCAAACAAAGACTGTGGAGCCAGGCTAGAACGAGGATCCATGCCTACCTAGACTCAGCCTCGTTCCCGCGACACACACGCAGCCACAGGTCGAGACACCTCGGTGTAGTCGTCGTTCACGCTAAATTTCTACATGCCACTATCCAGACAGCACGTCGTTGCAGGGCTTCCCGGCCAAATGCGATCAAAGAAGCGAGCGTGACTGAGAGGAAAAATAGACGGACCACAAGTCCGAGAAAGCACAGACGAAACGTTAGAGTGACAATTCACATCGCGCACACGGCATTCTCAGAGAATGCCATTCTCATCAAGTCAGGAAGTTGTGAATTCGAGTCAAAGCATTGCCGTTACTATGGCTTCACGAACATTGTAACCGCAAAGGCCATTACAACCTCGCTCTCATTTTGTAGTTGCTGAGGCAGCAACTTCCCCCTCACCCTTCTAGTCGTTGTCGTCCTCGCGAAATTCAAGATGATGTAACTTATGAGTAGCGAAAGAACTCCCCACAGAGGCGAATATTATTGTGGACATCTCTTTTTGCTGCTCTATGATGTGACTTCGAAACCTCCACGCGAGTAGCCGAGGACGACACCGACCACTACCCAGGGGGACAACAAAATTAAGAGGCTTCAAGAAAGAGACTTTTGGCCATTCGAACAGCTCTTACGGAATAGGAATACAAGTCCAGGGCACATGCGCAAGGGGTCTGCGGATGAAACCCAACTGCATTCGTATGAAGATTGGCGGACCTGTCTCCGCCCAAGATCAACCGTGTATGCGGTGTAGCCTTCCGTATGTTTTCCGAAATAAACCGACGGAAACTGCTCGACAGTTCCTGCTGAGCCACTGGTCCTCATGCATTTTATTGATTTCATTGCTCAGGTCACTCGGATGTCATCAAGGGATTGCTAAATAACATGTCGATTGCTACATGGCCCGCTTTCGTTTTGGAGGCTGCCAGTATTCGCCCTCCCCACCACACACTATCACCACCATGATACACGCAGGAAAAGAGGAGCAACCTTGATCGAGGCATGGGCGCGTAAGGTTCGACAACACTTCCATTGAGACACCACTCCCGGGCGCCCGAAGAGTCTATCTGGCATCCTGCAGGAAATGTGTATAACACGATCTTTGGTCTTATGGCTTTTTGACACTCTGGAAGCTCTCGCGGCAACGCAAGACGCGAGATGCGAGACGCAAGGAGGCGGCACAATGAGAAGGCTCCAGGTATTAGCGTTTCATCGTCATGGGCTGTTCTGTCCACATCCTCTGCGAAGAAAGCCGCTCGAACTGACAATGGTCACGACCCGCGACCCTCGACTTCGCATCTGATGCCAACGCGACACACGACGAGGAGCTTTCTGCGCTGACCAGTAAGTTGTAAATGGCACCATCCATCAAGACATCAACCTCGAAAGAATTGGCATGTTCCGCAAGGCGACCACATCGACACAGCAGGCCGCAGGGTGACCGTTGTTGGAGGCTCTGTGGCATATTGCCGGAGTCTTTGGGGCTCGAGACGACATGCCCTAGCTCTGATGCTTCGCCAGAGCCATCTTCCTATCCATCCTGCTTTTGTAAATTCAAGAATCCATTCTCTTTGCTTCAAAGACAAAAATGGAGAGGCCGTCAAAAGCCATCCGACACATTCATGGCTCATTCGACACTCGCAGCTGGACAGTTCAAAACGCGAGATGTGAAAGAATCTACCGAAGACTACTGCGTATCAAGGAATCGAGATCACGACCACACAAAGCAGAAAACTAGACACGAGAAAACAGTATTCCGTCATACAGCACCATGGCTTGGATTGATCATCATTCCAACAAGAGGACAAACGCTTCAACATGACAAAACCCCAACAGCCAGGAACCTGCCTCTGATGGATGCAAACTCACAACCAACCTACTCGGTTTTCAGCATCCAGTTCTCCAACACGGCATTAACACCACTCCCCAAACTCTTTGGTCTTCGCAGGTCTTTGAGGATGCGCTCGCAGTCCCCGTACTCGGCTTGTTGGAGCAAAGTCAGCACGGTCTCATAGCCCTCGAGTCGTCTCTTGGATGCCGTTTGACTGGAAACACCTTCTTCAGCCATGTACTCGCAAGACTTTGTCTTGGTGCGGCAGCTCGAGCATCGGGGACGCTTGCCATCACACTGGAAACAAGTCAGTCTTTCAAGGAAANNCGATATCTGGAGTTGTGGATCTGTTGTAGGGACCTTTGATTTGCGCTTTCGACACGCCATGCATGCAGCTTTTGTCGTCTTGTTGCGGCTTCGGGGGTGTTGTGGGGCCGTTGGTGTTGTCGAGAGGTCTTCTGAGGTCGCTTGGTCGGAGGGAAGCAGCGTTCCTGAAACTTCTGCTTCAGTAAGCCAGTGGGGACGTGTCGTGGAGGATATCATGGCCATGTGGTCTGCTATCGACTGCCTACTCGTGCATGTCGATAGGGTATCAGACTCATGGCCAGGCGAGAAGCCAAAAGGTAATGACGAGACAGAGGACCCAGTGTCGCTGCCAGGCGAAGACGTCGGTCTCGAAGCGGCCAATCGACGCTCCTGGTCTCGATTGCGAGGGTTGCTGCGAATGGGCTTGTCGAGAAAAAGAGCATGTTCCATCGTTGGGGGAGGGGGTTTGAGTTTTCAGTTCAGTTTCCCATGCCACTCTTATGCGATTGTTGGAACGCAGAAAAGAGGTTCGAGTAGGAGGAGCTATGTACTCTTTTTACAAACATGGGAAACCAAAGGCCCATTATCAATCCACACGGACCCTACTCCGAGATATCTCCACTTCGCTTGCCATAAGAGATCCCTGTCATGTCTGTACTCGAGTAGCAATGTTGCCCTGCCGTATGCACATGGAAGAATCCTTTTATCGGTGCATCATAAAATGACAGAACCGTGACGTATCTACAGATGTCGCACTGGAGATACACAGAGATCGAGCAATATCAATTGCGATCTACAGACGTCTCGTTGCAAACAAAACCATACATCTCCTGCACTGCCTTCAAAACCAGTCACCTTATGGGATTGATTTTCAGGGTCAAAAGTCCACGCCCAAACCCCTCATACTTCTGTCATCTTCCCCACGTCAATGTAACAATACGCGAAACATGTTCATGCTTAGTGATACTTGCAGTACCTTACGGTCAAGATGTCCACCTCCCCGTCAAATGCGACTTGGTAAACAAAACAACCCACGTCGGCATCTCTATGACAGCGCGAGAGCGGGCAACCCAGATATCTGCCAGGAGAAACAAGCAAGGGCAGAGCATCAATTTGGCAAGACCACGTGTTACTATTACCCGCAGTCATGCATATATATTGATTCACGATCATCTTGAATGGATCGCCTTCTGTTCAAACTGCTACAACGCAATCATAATTCCACTTCATGCTGATGACAAAACACTGGAAGATTGTGCATACGATAATGTACACCGCTACGCTATAACAATACTATATACAAAGTACAGAAATGGGTATCTCAGGGGAGGCAAAATCAGGCGCAGTCATCTCCGCCGGGACGCTGAGAAGGGCCACCGCGCTTATGCACGCGATCCGCGATCCAGACCTTATCAAGCGGAGATACAAGACTGGGATTGATGAAACGCATGCCGCTTTCTCTAGACTCATCGACGGTGAGTCCGTGATTGGACTCTCGCTGATAACGATGGTGGTCATCGGAGTCTGCTCCGTGTTGTTCTGCTGATGCATAGTCGGCATGCTCTGCTCTCCTGACACTCTTGAGGGCGATGAACTCCATCAACGGCTTGTAGGTCCTTCCGAATACGAGGAAGAACCAGACGCTGCCAACGACAAGAGGAACTAGCATGATACTCCTCAACAGAGCCTTCTTGAGGGCGAGCTGACCACCGACAGTTATTTGGAAGAGGATGATGCCGATCTGCACACGATCGCAAATCATAATCCAGCTCTTGCCGGTAGAGTGCTGACGATGATCCATGGCATAGAGAAGCTGATACTTGTAGACAAAACTTCCAATGACAAAGTAGATCAGACCAGAGAGGATAACCTTCCAGCTATCTCTCAGGACACTGTAGACGACACAGATGATGAAGATGAGAATAGTCTGAGGAAGATAAAGGCCGTAGCTGAAGCGAGGGGGTTGGATGAGTTCGGCATAGTCTCTGGGTGTCTTGGCACCCATCAGACCGATAGGGTAGAGAGCCATGGTTCCAATTTCCAAGAGCCTAAATGGGAACAGACCGAGACCCTGGAGAATGATATAGTTTGTGTAGAAGGGGAGCAGGTTCTGCAAGGAAGATGCAAGAGTCCATGCAAATCTTGTCGTATCCCTGAGATTCTTGCCAATGTCTTTGTACTGATCGTAGAAGTTCGAAGCTGTACCAAGGATGGTGAAGACGATGAAGAAGTTGAAGAAGGTGAAGAAGAAGTTCTTTGAGATGACGGACAATTCGACATCGCCCTGGGAAGTCATGCCCTGGCAATTGGAGAGCCCNTGTGAGGAGTTAGTATCTAAAGAATTAAGTATTGAACAGACATCAGACTTACAGTCGTATAGGTAGGGCACAATGGCGTTGAGCAGAGTCACAGCAATGGTAGGGAGTTGGTTGGTGACGAGTTGACGGACCAAGGGGTGCGAGTCAAGGACCTCAGCAAGAGACGGAAGGAACTCGCGAATGGTATCGGTGTTCAGGAAAGTAGCGATAGGAACAAACGTGACGGACCAGAAGACAGTCAGCAGCAGGATGAAGGCGGTGATGGACCACGAGCGGAACATGCGACTCCTCCTGCTAAGATAAGTGTTGTCCCAGACGATGTCGGCAGGTGCAGGACTTGGATTGGCCAAGAGTTGCAGCGGCGAAGGGTCGAGGACGGCTTGACAGGCCATCTGGCAAGCAGCAACACTGTCCATTGTGACAAAGGCCAGGGGNACGGGTTCGAAAGTCTTGGTGCGCAGTTCCCTGATCTCTTCGTCACACACACGGAGCTTCTCTTCATAGTAGTCGATGGCGTCTACCTGACGGCTGCGCAGCTTGAAGCGTCCAAAGTAGATCTTGGCCTTGGGTCGAACTCTGGCGTAGGGGNNGGTCTGAGCGGGCGTTTCATGGTCAGAGCGTAACAGACGACGGTGTTCTTCGTCGTCGTGCTCATCGTCTTCAGGGTTGACCGAAGGGCCAGGCGGCACAGGCTGCACGACCGGCAAGGCCTCCAAGTTTCGCTCGATGGAACGCTGGCCTTGGTATACGGTATGAGCCTCCTCGAGACGGCGAAGAAGATCGTTCCGCCTGACGATATGCTTGTCCAGCTCAGCCCATTGGCGGCACATCAGCACACTCTCGACGTTTCCTATGCCCAGCTCTTGAATGAAATCCTTAATCTTGTCTTCTGACTGCAACTCTGGCGGGATACCCGAGAGACGGATGGTGCGGTCGGTGATGGTCGTCTGGGTACCCAGGTACTCTTGGCGTACTTCGATGATGTTGCGCGTCTCGGAGGTGATGAGATACAGGGCGATGGCGGTGAAGACGTAGGCAAAGACGGGATACATCCACAGGTAGTCCGTCTCGACCTCGGGCATCCACGGAGCAGAGTGGTTCATGGGCATCCACGATTCGCTTCTCTTGCGTAGTTCGTAGTCGAAGTCGTAGTCGGGCACTAAAGGCAGGGTCGAGTTCTTTGGCTTCTTGTCATCATCGGGATAACTGTCGTGGACGGGCTTGATGACGACGAGCGAGAAGAACAGGGTCATGGACAGGAACTTGATGGCCAGCTTGAAGAAGCGGAGAAAGACGTAGGCATCCAGACCAGCCGAGGCGAGGACTTGTTGTTCGGTGATGCGCCAGAGCGGCAGCATCCATCCAAAGAGAGAGTTGGACAGGTCGGGCAGAGCAGAGCCCTGGTCTTTGGCCTTCTTCCTCGCGGCATAGAGCCCGCTCCATCGCGGCCGCAAGATGCAGAATGCTAGAAAGGCAAGCACTCCTAGTGCCAGCGAGAGCTCGACCTGGAGTGTCGTCGAGCGTTGCTTGCCCCGAACATTGTTGGGGTCGTCTTTTCCTCCACTCGTGAAAAAGTCGCTCATCGCTGCAGGTGCAGAAAGTAAACAATCCAAAGTTGCGTCGACCGCGACTTCTTCTCCAGACCAGAATCAGGCCGTCTCGTCATCGTACACCGCAACATGGTCAATGCGCAAGCCTCCTTGATTTGCTCCTGACCACAACCACCAGTGTTTCGCCTCACAGACGCTGTTTGCCTTGACCCTCGCCTTTTCTTACCGCCACATGTGAACAGCTGTGTAAAAGGAGGTTGAGAGTAACAGGATCTCAATACAAGTTTATGTTAGATGGCGATAACGCTGACCGCCTCAATGAATGACCTTGATAATCGTCCTCCTCGAACAAGAATCCTCGTCTCAAGCCCTGAGAAAGCATCAAGAGCCTTGCATGCCGAATCTTCCTCCTACCTGTATCAATGCGTCGCCAACTACCACCAATAATGTTGTGAACGAAAGTCTTTTCCATCCCAAAGTCCTCCTTTCATGACCATTCACACATCACGCCGCCTCTCCACCACCAACCTCATTCGTTACCCCGTTCACGCCATTCGCCCCGTCCCCATCTTCGTCCCCATCTTCATCCATCGCCCCATCTGTCCTATTGGTCTCATTCATCCTGTTTTCCTCCCTCTCCCTCGCCCTCATCTCAATCGCAAGAATCTCACGCCCCACCCGCACATACTCGGCCACCCGACAATTGAAACACTATTCCGGCTCTGCAGGTGTGTAGATAGTGCCATGGTGCGTAAACGTCAGACGTTCGTTTTCGCTGGCCTCCCAGTTGTCGCAGGAGATGCCGCGAGCCTCGCCCGAAGCGCATCGTTCGACTTTGCGGATCGTGTGTCGGCACTCTACGTAGTGCGTGCGGCGCCATCTGCACATTGTGTGTGTTTAGGTTTGGGAGATTATTTGGTTGTCTTGATAGAGAGTAGATGAAGACTCTTGGTTGTTCGATGACTTGATGGCCGGAGATGAGGAGTCGTGATTGCTCGATGAGTCGTGATTGCTCGATGAGTCGTGATTGCTCGATGAGTCGTGATTGCTCGATGAGTCGTGATTGCTCGATGAGTCGTGATTGCTTGATGGCTGGATGGTTGAAAGACGAAAAGTCTGATGGTAGGTGGATGGGAACGGTAGGCGGCAGCTCCTGATAGTCTAGCTATTTTGTTGAAGAATTGTTTGATGAATATTGATCTTGAACCGAATTGTCGATTGAAGATATAGCGGATGAACACTGTCGATCGAAGATGTAGCGGATGAACACTGGCTGCTGAAACAGATATTGATGGAAGAAGTGTTGGTCGGTGTTGATGTTTGCAATGATTTTGAGTCTCGAAGATAGATGGCAGACGCTTTCCTTCTGTCCGGCTCAACAAACAATCTTCATCGTCCCAAAACTATTGACTTATGGAAAGAGCAATGCAACTGACAGCATTTCCATCCGGTAGCAACCAAAAACGCCTCTTTACAACAAACATGATGCACCAGATTGGACTTTTGTGATCCCAGGTCTTCTTGACCCCAACAATCAACAAAACGCCCCGTGACACTGCTATGAAAGCATAGAGAAATACGAAATGTCTATCCAGAAAAGGTACATGTTTCATGTTCTACCTCCAGACAGTTTTGGCAGAGGGAACATCCTTCCTCGCAGCCATGCTCTGTGTGCGGATAGGAGCCACGCGCATGCTTCCAGTACCAATGATGCTCTCCCGAGACACATTGCGCAGACTAGGCATGCTGGGTGCATTCTTGACCACCGGTGCCGAACGTGGACTCAAAACATTCGTCGCCTCGCCTTTCTCGCTCTTAACCATCCGGCGGGCATGACTTGCTGTAAAGAGATTGTTCTCGTTGGATGAGTTTGGCGAACCACTTGTCTGGGCGGCGGGACTGCGTCTGCGATGCCTATTCGAGCCGGAGGATACACGCCTTCTCATCGCGGACTGGATCTGTAAAGCCGAGTCTTGAAGTGATCTTGTGGGGTCTTCGTTGTCGGAAGCACTGCTGCCAGTGTGATCATCGCTGGCAAACTCTGCAGCTTTCTGGAGACGAATTGGAATGGGCGATCTTTTNGGTTGGAACGTGCTGTTAGCTTCGATCTCGCGCAAAGGAGACAGGTTCTCGGACGCCGCCGTTGCGAGATTGGATAGTGCTGGCATCGCAGGTGATACATCACCTTTCTTGAGGAATCCTGCTTGAAAACGGCTATTTCTCGAGCGGAGGTCAGATGATGGTACTGGTGGCGGAGGGATGGGACTAGAGTCGAGGTTGTCAGAGTGATCGCCTTGTTGAGACTGCGACCGACCGAATTGTGACAAGTCTGGCTCATTAAGCGAAGAATCCAGTCCCGGCGGTGTCGGTTGGAATTCTTCTAGCCTGCCATCTTCAGTATCATCCCGCCATCTCACACCACGCTTTGCCATCTTGGCTGGTGATGATAACTTCTTCTTGGGTGTACCGCCATTGAAGGACACTACTGACTTTCTTGCGACTCCTCCTATCTTCCTTCGCTTGGGTGACGTTGGAGATGGTCCCATGTTAGGAGACTGCCTGAATTGTGGAGCAATCATGCTTGGGCGAATCTTTGCTTTTATCGGAGAAGGGCCCGCCAGATTGATTGCCTTCTTCTTCTTGGGTGTCCCTGACTTGGTCGGTGGTACTGCTTCGATGATGGCAAGACCGCCGTCTGGTCGGATGACTTGCGAGGTAGCCTCTGTACACGAGTTGAGCAACTTGGTGAGGACCATCTTGGCTGCTTTGACGGCCTCTTCTTCATCCATCTGCATGATCTGGCCTAGAATGGCGATGGTCTCAAAGTGTGCTTGAAGCAGGACTTGTACAAGCGCGGCATCGCCTGTCTTCTCCTGGTCCAGGACGGCGGATTGTGCTTCTCTTTCTGCTCTGCTGCGCAGTACCTCGACCTCTTGCTTCAGGCTTGCAACCGCAGGAGATGTCATGGACGTTGAAGTGTCGACTTCTTGCATTTGACGTATGCCATTTTGAAGGGCCGTGTCTAGAGAACGCTCCCAGCTCACCTTTGCAAGGCGCTTGTGATAGTGCTGTCTGCTTCCCTCGAGCTCGGCGAGAATACCTACAGCGGTCTTACGCATGGATGTCAAGCTGAGCGGTGGTTCCTCGTCCTCGCGGTTCTCACTAATCTGGTCGAAACTACCAATCCAGGCAGAGATAAGGCCGATTCTGCGTTCAATCTGTCGCAGTCGCTTCATGTTGTTGATGTACTCTTTTCGCTCATCGCCTGAGTGGTCGTATGCCGCGCGGATCCTGGCAAGAGCTTCCTTGAGTAGGGCACTCCTCTTGTCTTCGACCTTCTTGAACTTGGTAAAGGCGAGAGATTCGAACTCCTTGTGCTGGGCTTGTAGATCCTTGATAAGGGCCATCTGTTCGTCAATCTTCTTCAGATAGTCCTTGACGTGGCGGTCAACATTAAAGACGTTGCGGACGGCTTTGGTCTGGATGTTTTTGGCTCTGTTGGCGTAGCGTAGAGTGTTTTGTGTTTCGTCGAAATGTACGGAGCTCGGGCTGACGCAGACTATCATGACGGTTCTGCAGTTTCCACCCAGACTGAATTTGAGCAGACGGGTAAGTTTGCTGTTGCGATAGGGTACGTGGTTCTTCTTCTTTGGATCGCACAAAGCGTTGATGCATGAGCCCAAAGAGAGCAAAGACTTGTTGATGTTGGCACCTTCGAGCAAGCGCTCGCCGCGGTTCTTTGTCGCCGAAGCTCTTTCTGATCCAGCCAAATCAATGATTGAGAGAGTTGCAAAGGTGGTGGGTTCCGAGTGGCCAGCATTACGATCCTTCTGAGCGACATTGATCTGCAGGACGGCGTGGGATCTGGACGATGTTGCATTGGCTTCGGTGGGTGACTGAGTGCGGTTCTCGTTTCCTCGAATGAGCATGTCCATGACTTCGTTGACCNNTGGGCGCATGTTAGTTGAGAAGCCTTAGATCCGACGGGGATGTACGATGCAGACATTCTGGGGACGATGCGAGGTGAGGCCTGCGACCGAAACAGCCTGGTTGGCGTCTTCGCGCAGCATCAGGCCCTGTCCTCGCTTGGTGACTTCGCCGACAGGGATGAGCAAGTCGCGGATCGTCTCGTTGTAGATTTCGAGATATGAAAGCGTAACCTCTGTTTGTTTCTCCTCCTGCATCTCGCCGATCCTCTCAAACATCTCTTGCATGGTCAGAAAGATGATACCCGGGTGTTGGGCTGTACCTNNCTGCTCAACTTGTTAGTGTTTGGGTTGGCGGGTTCCAGCTGTCGGCACATACGTGATGGTGTGTGTTTTACCGCAGCCCGTGGCACCGTAGGCAAAGACGGTGGCATTGTAGCCGTCAAAGACGCTGTCGAGGAGGTTCTTGGTGGTGGCTTCATAGACTTCGGCTTGGGTTGTGTTGTCGTCAAAGACTCGGTCGAAGGTGAAAGGCTGGTCCTTGGTTCTCTTTCCTCCCATGCCCGGTCGCATGCGTCCTTGAGTGGATGAGTCTTCCGGGTCGAAGATCNNCTGGCGAGCTTGTTAGTGCTTTGGGCGGAGCGATGCCAGGCTGCGGGCATACAAGCATTTCTCGTCCATGACCTTGATGACAGATCTGATGCCCTTGCCGGCATGGCGCTGGACGGGCGCAGCAGCCAGAGAGCCGTCGCCCAGGAAGAGAGGGCCATCGTCGACGCGGGTTAGTTGTGCAGCCTCGCGGATGGTGAAGGGCCTCACACGAACGGCGACGGTGATGGAGGAGGCGCCGTCGATTGCGCCGGCCATGTTTGCGGCGGCTCAAGGCAGGATTCGGTGTGTGAGGGAGCTGCTTGCAAATAAGCCGGTGAGGATAGAGGATTGACAGCCGCCAGGGCGTGCCGCAGTATGAATTGGCTAATTCTGCTGGGTTGTTGTTTTTCAGCTCCTTCCTCGAATCAACAAATGATGCATCTGCCTCTTGCTTTGTTTGCTCTTTCCCTCTTTGGGAACAATTGTGGGGCCGCAGCTTCAGGCCGTCAGGGTCCCTTCCCAATCATCTCGCCAACACCATCACGAACATGTTATTGTTACACACATGTCTCATCCTTGGAGAACTCTATCTTCTCTCTTAGAACTCGTTTCCTTGTAGAGGCTGTTGTGTACTCCCATAGCTCATAAAAACACTTCATGTCATCGTGGGAAAGAGATTAATCGTCTTATGAACTACTCACGCAGAACCGCATCCTCAAACGCAGCTTCCACATCATACTCATGAATCCACTCAGCATATGGCCTTTTCCTCAGTTTCTCCCTGAGCTGCTCGTCCGTCTCCGCTTCCCCTCCACCCCATGATCGCTCATTGTTCATACCATACATCGCATGCGCCACTCTCAGCACTTTCTCGCAATGCGGTTTCCGTACAGCAACATAGCGTTGCAAAATTTGCTGTAGCTCCTCTGCTGTCAAGCTCAAATGCCCATCTGAAGACACCTTTTCGATAAAAGACAGGTACAGACAATAAGCATCATCAATCCCCAGAGAAGCATTTGCAGCCAATGCCCCTCCATGCGAGTGTGCTGCGTCGCCCACAAGCACAACGCGACCCCCAAACTCATACGAGTCGAGAAAGCCACCGTAGAAATTTGGATAGGTGCGTACGTGTGGTACAGCTCCAACGATATCTCTCACAACTGGATGAAAGTCTTTGTACAGTTCTCGGAGTGTGGCTGTGTCTGCTGTTTCGTCCCAGTGTGTCTTCTCCAGTAAGTGTTGGTTTGTAGAGGGATTGACACTGTGGAAGGCTACGATGCCGTATTTGCCTCTGCCCATCCTTGTTCCTAGAATACCGTCTTGAGAGGACCACNNTGTTGCTGGAGATTAGTCACAAGAGATCAGGAGATGGGGATGCAAATATACCCATTGTGTTGTATCCTCTGGCAAATACTCGACATCATCAAGCAGCTTGACATAAAAAGCAGAGCGATATGCAATTAAGCCCGACCACTTGAGCTCAAACTCTGGCACAAAGAAACCACGAACAGCCGAGCGAATGCCATCTGCACCAATAAGTAAGTCTGCATGTATGCTTGTGGCATCCGCAAACTCGACATCAACACCTTCATCCCTGATCTTAACATCAGCGACCCGCTTGTTGAGGTGTATAATTTTTCTAGGCAGATACTCCAGTATCGTCTCCTGTAAATTCGGGCGATAGAATCTAGTCATCTTATGCTTTTCCTCGACATCTAGTGTATGTCGTTCTCTTCCCACAACTTCATTCGTCTTCCAATGTCTATCACCGTCAGTATTTTGATCCCCAAAACCCACTCGAAACTCTTACCTCAGTGTCTGTGGTATACCACTAGGACATCTATAGCCTAACTCATCAGAGAGCACTTTATGCAATCCCAACTTCTCGAGCGTGCGTAGACCATTAGGATTTATAGCAATAGCCTGACCCAACTCCCGAAGCTCAGTCGCGCGCTCATAGATCTGTACATCCACATTCGGGAGTTTGCGAAGTGCGATTGCAGTAGTGAGACCAGTTATCCCTGATCAAAGAGGTAAGCAAAGTCACAGCTTCACACATTCAGTTGTATGTAGCATACCAGCACCAATGACGGCAATTCGTAAAGTTGATATCTCTGCCATTGGTGTCAAGTGGTTACGTTTAAAAGTGTGATGTAGACGTGAGTATCGATGTTGGGCAGCTGCTTCTAGATATTCCCGATAGAAGGATCGCTTACTCTAAATAGGGCTGCTCATATAGTGGTGGGGCCATGTTGCGTGCGCTGATTCGCCGTCTCCAATATTGCTTTGGAGTTCAACTTGCCTGCCAGATTACCTGGATATTCGCTCTAGTATCACTGTATAAGTTGTTTTTGAGCGGCGGTCACGTCCCAGATTGTTGTCCCGCATGGGTCAGCTCTAATGTTGACGAACCTGACTTCCTTGGTTAGATAATCTCAAACAGCGTGCTGTGGGTATCCATCGTGGACAGCACTTCAAGTCTGTTATGTATCGGATGCTTCTTCATATTCGTGGGTATCAACCTCTACGTAAACCTGCCATCCCAATCCCGGTTCTACGCGTCATAAAAACCAGACGAACGTCGTTAAGAACAGAGGGCCACTTGCTCAACCTCCTAGACTGCCCGCCCCTGCTCGCTTCCCCTTGGTATATATGTGTGGATCGAACGAGAGAAGAAAAAGAAAAGTCATGCCCGCATAAATGTCATGCTGTGTAAAGTGGTGTAAAAGCCTTTGTGGCCTCGAAGAAAGGTAACAACGCCGTGTACGCCTTTTGGGAGTCTTTTCAACTCCGGATCCGCTGAAAATGCAAGTTCAACAAGGAGATTGAAAGACCTTTGCGCTTAGACCTGGTACTTGGCCTTAGCACGGGTGGAGCCGGCGTTGGCAGAGTCGGAGTGACCCATGAACTCGACGGGCTCCTTATCGGTGACTTGGAGAACATCCTTGAAGCGGCCGCCGATCTTCATGAGGATGGCCTGCGACTCCTGGGGNGTGCGCTGGGGCTGGCCCTGCTTGGTGGGGTTGGCCTTGGTGCCGGCGCTGCGAGTCCAGAGGCCGATACGGTAGAAGGCCTTGCGGATGTTGATGACGACACCCATGACCTCGTTGTCGTTGTCATCCTCGAGCTGCTCACCAATGGCGGCGAGCAGGACGTGCAGCCAGATCTCGTCGTTGGCCTGGCGCTGCTTGAAGGTGTAGGACCAGCGGCCACCGTGCTTGTTCTGGGGGTCTTCCCACTCGGGGCGGACGCCCTGCTTGAAGAGGTGGTAGTCGGACTTGGGGGCGAGCTCGGAGGAGGGGTGATGTTGTTCTGAGAGGGATTAGAGATATCCGAGTGAAGGATTGACAAGGACGACGNNGCTTACGTAGATGCCCCAGAACTCCTCAACACTGTTGAAGCTGATGACCTCCTTCAAGAGCTCGTTCCAGTCTTGCTGCTCGGAGTGTTAGAAGCGTGCGGCTGGTGAGTGTGATTGGCGAGCTTGTACCTTTCCACTCGGGGGCTTAGTGAACCACAGGGTCCAGGTGTGAGCAAGAGGGTGCTTGACGTTGAAGTTCTCGGGGTCGTGGAAGACGGTGACAACATCACCAGAGTTTGCGCTGGGGGTGGAGTCCGAAGCGGCGTTACCACCCTCGGGCGAGATGGGAATGGTGTCGAGAGGGACGGGCGATTGTGCGACGTCGGCCATGATGGGATATGGGATGAGGTTGAGGCAGGTGTTGAGTGCGTTGGAGTGTGGTGGTTATGGGCGACAGAGGTGTTGTTAAGGAAGAGCTGCAAGTGTCTCGTGTCTGGACTGTGAATCTTTCTGTCAAAGTGAAGGCGCGATGCGCAACGCTGCACTTTCTTCTTTCCGCAGCTGCGAATGCGACGGAGCTTGCCGCCTGTGTTTTCCTCCACCAACAGCTTTGCAACTCCACTTGTTGTTGTCACGAAGGATAGGATGACAATTGTTGAAGTGTTGATCACTTGAAGTATTTGATTGATCCTCTTCTGAGACAGGGGATTGTGGTAATGGTTGGATGGGTATCTTAGGGGGTGCTTGTAACAGGACAATGAGTGAAAGGAGAAAGTGCGACGCTTCGCAGCTTGAGCTGTGTGCCAGAGTGCCTGCACCACCTTCTCATAGCACCTGTTCGTTGATGTATCGCTTCATGCCATCAAACTGAGTGCGGCCTGTCGAGATGAGATAACGAATATGGCCAATGTCATGTACGTCTCGGTGCCTCTCGAACTCGGTGCGCGCATAGTCGCGCATCTCTCTCTTCGTCGGTGACCCAGGGATTNNTCTGCAACGGATCAGTCATTGGGAAAGAATGGGCTTGCACATGACAGACGTACTGGTGATGGCTCGCATGATCTCGCGCCAGAGACTGAGCGCCTTCTTCTTTTGCATGAANCTTTTTATCATCGTCAGCCATTGCCAATTCCACACTCCGATACCAAGGCGTACATGTTCCAGCGTCAAGACATTCTTCCCTCGGAGTAGCGACTTCTGTGTCGCTATCCGAGCCCACAAATTTGCTGTTTGCCGCATCATGTCGAAACCGAGTTCATTCTTGTTGGTGTTGTCTACATTTTGCGGAGCATGATTTCAAAAAGTCCAGCCCTCGGGTTCTTCGGATGACGACACGAAACACGAACAAAACACCGTCGCGTCCGCCAGCTGAATTTATCTCACCGGAAGAAAGAAGGACACGCTTCACATTCAACCATGTCGAGTGCAGCAACCGAGCGGAAAATCAACAAATGGAGATTATGGGGCGTCAACAAATTCCTTGAGGTGAACACTGCCCTATCACCAAAGCAGGAAAGGAACGGCGAGCCACCAACCCTTGGTCTGGTCAGATCACTATACCACGAAGATGAGAAGGAAGCCACGGAACTGTTGCAGGAAGCTCGATCTTCACTCAAAGAAATGGACATGACATGGGTCATATTCGGAGCTTGCGAGTTTCTCAACGAATATCCATTGCGAACCTCCAAGGAAAATGGATCTGTGCTCCTCAAGCATAGCGACGTCTTTCGCACATTCGGAAAGAAGGCGTCACAAGGCACCAAGCTGTACACCAAAGCTGGTGAGGCTTACTTGCGTTTTCGAAAGATCAGAGACCTCAATACTCTGCCAATGCCTCTATTTGCCAAAGATTACCTACCCGCAGGATGGATGGAGTACACGTCCTACAGATCAAGCGTTAGCCAAAGATTAGAATCGAAAACTGGCGCCAGCCTACCGATGTTTGACATCCTTATGTTCACAAGCTTCGACCTTTTCGAGCGGGTTAACGCAGAAACCATTGAACCAACCAAGCCTATCCCAATCGTTTCACGAACCCTCTTCGAACTGATCAAACGTACGAGCTACACAGACTATAACGCAAGCGAACAGGGCTGGAGTGACAGCAAGAAGCTGGATGAGATGAAGGATGAAGATATGCGCTACCTAATCGTCAGGCTGAAAGGAGGCCGCTCGCCAGCACCCGAGAAGCAATGGAGCGAGAACCTAGAACTGGACTCATCAATCATTGGCTTCCTATCTTTCATGATCACAGAAGAGGAAGAAGAGAATGTCGCCTACATCTACGAAATTCACATCTCCGAGCACTTCCGCGATTGTGGTCTGGGACGACATCTCTTCAGCCTGGTTGAACACATCGGTAGAGCTACTGGTATGGACAAAACAATGCTCACCATCTTCACGTGTAACACGCACGCGCGAAGATGGTACGACTCACGCGTATACGAAGTAGATGAGATCAGTCCAAGGCCAAGAAAACTCAGGGGAGGAAGATCTATTGAACCAGAATATGAGATTCTAAGCAAGCGTCTCCAGGAACACGCGAACAAGAAGACCAAGTCATGATGCAGTCTGTTGGCTCGCTGAAGTCGACCAGCTCTCTCTGTGCCGTGACCAGCCAGCTTGTTGCATATACGACATGAACCTTGCCCCATGGTGGCGGAGCTAGCTCCTTCGATCCTGAGCGCCCTCAGCCATAAGCGCATCCTTCGGTCCTCCATTTCTACTTCTGGACAGCTCCACTATCCGCCCTTGAACACTTGAACGCATGGAATCATCAAAAATCATGGCACGCACGTCACGGCAGTCTAAGGCCACCTCAGGTACCGTTGTTAGCCACAACCCACTCTCAGCCGCGTCGGTCTCACGAATATCCCATCACTACGAGGGCCGCTGGAAGACGCGTCCGTCATCAGTCAAGGGTATCTACTTAGCAGGTTCATTCGTTTATGTACGCGGCGTCTAATCCGTGACCAGCCACTACGAATTGTTATCTCCAAGCGCATCACTACACGATAGCAGACACGTTTGTCACGCCGTACCACACAATCTGGCTGTGCGGCTCAGGATCCTGCAATGCCGTAACACTTTTTGCCTTTTGAGTCAAACCTTGATGCGAAGCAGTGAGAAAGCATCTCCACAGATTTGTTGGTCTAATCAATCTAGGCTGGTTTTTTGCTTCGCTGTACCACAACCATTCGGACCGGCTTCCGGGACGCATAGAATCACTGGATGATGCCTCCAGATACCTATGTTTCAAGTATCACCATCGAGATTATCCTAAGGGAAACAGATCCACTTTCCGTCAGTAGGGCGATTGAGTTTGAGAGATTGAGAAACTAGAGGAAGACGATCCTACACGATGACATGCTGTCCTTCGTTCAATCTGTGAAACTGGAAAATCGTCAGTTCAGGGCTTCGTTCGGATACGAATTGGCAAGGAAGTCTCGTGGGCAAGTCTTGCTTCTCCTGAAGAATTTAAGCCCGAATCGCGAAGTACATCATGGACATTAAGCCGCCAGCGTTTCGCTTGCATGATGCGCACTAAAGCATGCGAAGCTATTCCTATTTGTTCAATGCCGACCGTCAACGTCTCTCATGTTTGGCACAGCTCGGGACACATGTTCCACTCTTAGACTGAACCTGCGCGCGGAGAAACTGTTCAATTGACCTGAACGAACTCGTTAGCCCTGATGTGAGCGATAGGAATGCCCCTCGTACATCAGGACCCGAGATATATAGTTTCGCGGGTGGTATTAGCTGAAGTCCAGATGATTCTTACTGTCTTGCTTCCATGTGTAGTCAGAACAAACAATGCCACCATTGTGCCTTGGATTGTCGATCTTCTTGTGTGCCCGGCATATTCGTAGAGCCGCAGGGTTCATGGAGGGTAGGGTTCACTTCTGACAGCGATAATGTCGCATGATGTTCTAAACCTTCAGAGAGGAATGGGATCAGATTCTGTCTCAATTCCGGAGTCGCGAGCCGAAATCGATTCAAATTCCTATAAGAAACCAGATGTTATCCTGGTTAGACCAGATCTAGTGCTTGCCTCTCTTCCGACCGTGTACACGAGCCCTACGCTATAATGCTGTAGTGCCATGCCAGTCATATCGAGAATAGACTTTGTGTCTTCGTCACTTTACTCCGTGATCAGTGATCGTTTGTGTGGAATACGGCGACAGGAACCGGTTTTACAGGAAGGGTCTGCGTGTAGTTGCTTGTACCTAAGCAAGCTCTAGGGATTCACGCGTCTTCCGAAGCCTCATGTCAAGTGCCGAGAGGTTCGGAACTGGTGTGATCTTTAGCAAACAACAAGGAGGGCCATATCAGATGGTAGACGCCTAAGCGTGACAGGCATGGAGTGATGTCGCCGTCCTTCGCACGACGATCGGAATATAAGCGGTACATGGCAGCTTCACGATCAGCTACAGAAGGATTGGATTTAGCAGGCATGTTTGGTCTTGTGACGATGTCACGTCGAGGCACGTGACAGGAGAGAGCGGCCGAGGCATTCTCCCGAAATCGCGATACACCGAGCTCCGTGCGCAATCGCCGTCAGTGTCGTACAAAGCACTTTCACAGCCGTTGAATATGGCGTGCAGCTCCGGCCTGTACGTATTCATGGATTGCAGCAGGTCAAAGATACTACCGAAGCCTGGGACTGGCAGTGGGTGAGCCACGCGCCACCTGCCGATTGCAGACACCCTGTAGCATGGAACCTTCTCGCAACACTAAGCTCCATCCTATACAATTTAGGCAAGGTACGTTCGAGCTGGTTCCTGTCAGAGTAACTTCTCGGTACTTCGCGAACAACATGGACTTGACAGTTCCCTGTCCCTGCTTGTGGGGTCCTGGCCATACAGATCCTTGGACATAAAAGTAGCTACCTGCTAAGCGCTTGCGTATACTCCACTCTCCTCTGGAGTGTGATCCGGCAAAAGTCGATATATTTGTGGCAGGATCCCAACAGGTCGTAGTGTTCAGCGGCTGTCTTTATTTGCATGCAGGACTGGACTGGAGTAGTCTCCGAAACAGACACAAATCCACGCTTGAACTTCTCTACACGAGGGTATAGTTCGGCTCACGCTGCTTCAGACCTTCCTTATAGGGCTAATTGTCAAGCTTGCACTCATTGGTCGTTGCGAACTTTCTCCATTGTTCTTCTTCTTGTATCTGCACATCATCTCGTACATTCCCCAACATCTCACAGGATGAAGCCTCGCAAAACGCACTTGAAGTCACGCACAGGGTGTGCAACATGCCGTGCAAGGCGGATAAAGTGCGATGAATCGAAGCCGAAATGGTATGTCAGACAAGAACCATGGTCTTTGTGCGGATGCTGANAATGTATCAATAGCATCAATTGTACTCGTCGGCAGGCTCGCTGTGACTTTCTCGGAGCAGCTTCTTCCTCGCAAACTTCTCCGGGAGAGTCTTCGCATCAGGTGGCTCGCATATTACACGCTCTCTCGGACAGCGATGCAGACAGTGCTGTCGAACCAGAACCTGATTCTCTCCTGAAATTGTTCCCGACAGATTGTCCGGACTTGTCGAAGCAGGAACGATTCCTGATGGCACACCTGTGTGGGATCAGCGACAATCTTGTCGCTGCTGGCATGGACACTCTTGATTTTGGTCTCTCGCTACTACCTGAGTTTGTGAACCCAATTTTAAAACGAAGATCTGCTCTGATCGCGACAACAGAACCCATCNGCATAGCAGCCGACTGCTCGTTTGTTCGACACAGCGCTTGTGCCCTTGCGAGCACGCATCTAGGGTTTCTGACACAGTCTTCGGGTATCATCCATCTAGCATACTACTACAAGTGCTTGGCACTTCGGGGACTCCGAGAGTCGTTGAGAGAGCTCAACACAGACAATGTGGATGCCATGCTGGCAGCATCCTATCTGTTGAGCTGGCAAGCTTCTCAAAGGTTGGTGAGGCTCTTTCTGTCCATGATTGCACTATTCCCGAAAAGAAGTTGCTTACACTCCCTCGACACANGCCAGGAATTCATGCAAATCATGAAGGGCGTCGACNTTGGTATGCAAAATTCTCTCCAACTGATGACATACTGACGAACGGGGCTGACACTCGCCAAGGCCCTAATGGAAATGGAAAACTTCGGTCACCAGTCAAAGCTCCGGAGTCTTGCTCAACATACGAGTAAAACCATCGAGCTCCAGAGAGACATCGAGACGAACGCCATCGAGAATGCGCCCTACCCAGTGAACAACTCGGTAGAGCTAGCTTGTTCGACACTAAGGGAACTGCAGAAACAGGTCAGCGAGGAACCCGAGCTCGTTCGTGGCACCAAGGAGTTGATCAACTTCATGCAAAACCTGCGAATATCTCCACCAGGACCGACAGCCGACGAGCAATTACAGGCACTGCAACCTATTCGCCACTGGATGCCCTGGCTTCCAAGATCGCTGATCCGTCTCTCCGATCGCGAACCGCTTCTTCTGGTCTTTCTCGCACATTATCATATGGTCGTTCTGGCAGTTGAGTCGATTCTGCCCGCCGCGCCAAATTTTCTCCTTGCGTCAAAGCGCGTCGAATTCATCGAACGACTTGAAACAGCAATCGGCCAAGTATACAGACCGACCGAAAAGTTGTCAAAACAATTGGGTACTCGAAGACGCAGAGAGAGTCTTGAGAACTTGATGTCTGGTCCTGCGGCTTTTGCTCGGCAGTGGAGACTGACGAATCTGCTGGCCTCGGAATGCGCTCCTTTGTGGGGATCTTCCCAGTCCGCGGATCAGGGCACAGAGCCGCAGTGGCAGGACCCTGATCCTGTCGACTTCACTCTCTACAAGCACCAATAAGTTTTGTATTCTTCCTTCCTCCTTACATCTCATTCTCTGTCACTCGATGAGTGTATTGAGCAGTTCTCAGTTGTTGAGCACCTACAACGCTTGTTTCGCAAGTTCTAGACTAATCTCACAAAATACCAACCTGAAATTGAACGAGACAGCTGAGCCTATACATGTGTTCAAAGTCTGTTTACAGTGTAGCTATAAGTATATCACTCAACCGAAAGGAGTCGCCTCTACTGTATTGTGCTGCTGTCGGCTCATCTCAGAATCACCTATTGTATGGAGACAACTTTGCATCATTATAGCTAGCGACGACCTTGACTGCATTTGAGCAAGCACCAGATTGTGACAATCGCTGCGATGCCGCCCCTTACCTTCTTTTACCGTTTCGGCTTCAATCTAATGCACCGCCCTATCCTCGTTCTCGTTCTCGGCTCGCGTTTCGGTCCGAAGCACGCTGAGGCCTCGGGCTTGCTCGGCTTTCGTCTAGGCTTGCTATATCAATTGCCCTTGCGTCGACTGGCCATCGCTCTTTCACCAACAAAATCCAGTGGACAAGCCACGTTGAGTGCACAACTTGCCTCATCGCGCTCACTGCAAATGTAGCGCATTGCACACGACAGCTGCGCACCCAAAGCTCTGTCTTGAAATTCGTATCTAGGCCCAGACGGCTTTGGATATAGAGACGAGACGACGCTTGGCCTGCGCTTGTTGAACATGTTCCGGAAGATACACTGTCGGTATATAGACCAAAAGTCGTCAAGACATCAATCTTTAGCTTTTGTGCAGTCCTTCTCTTTCTTTGTGGTGTTCCGTTGTGTCTCTCGAATTTGGGGGCGGGGCATTCGAGGAAGTGCAAGTGGTCGAGCACGCGTGGATGAATCAGCTCGACGACGCGCAATGTAGGTATGAGCGTTCGATGATGGCAGCTGACCGAGCGCTGGCGATTCTAGGAGTCAACGAAGCACGTGCGATGGCAACGGCATGATAGCAGTCGAGGTAGGTTTGAAGGTTGTCTCCAAGGAAGAGCGAGCAAGGGAGCCTCAGACAATCAACCAAGACTGGAGCTCCACGCGTGACTACAAATACGCAGTTTTGGTTTTCATCATACCGTCCGAGTCATTGACTCTTTTTGTTTGCTCGTCATCATCCGTCAATTATCATTCATCGATCAACGTTACTACAGATGAATGCCGTCTTGCGAATCCCTCAGGGCATTGCCGGAGAATTCACAGACATGGCCGCTCGCGAAGATAACGAGCAGTCGAGTTGAATGTTCTCGCGACAAACACGCTGCACTATTAACCGGCAATCATACGGCCGAGTAGATTAATCAAAGCTCTCCCAATATGGATGAGCGACGCGTCCTCTGCAGGTGCTCGGGTAGCCAAGAATTGTCTCGAATGAAGAATTAAGGAGGTGTGCCGATCGACGAATCACTGACGCGACAGCTGCTCTACTCGCATCCTTTCCTTCCTCCAACAGCAGCCTGTCATTATTATGGAGGTTGTAGGAAAGAACATTACAAGATGGCAACGCCTCGCCCACGGCTACAACAAATACTGGTACTTTAAGGCTGCATTTCGCTGGCTCGCTCTGCTCACCGCCGTCGTCAGTCTCATCACTCTTGGTGCGACATGGCAGGACTATACTCGCTACAGCCAATATGATGTTGGTGTGTTGTACGAAGCCTTGGCTATTGNNTCGGTGTATGTCGTCGCGTTACCTAGCCCGAGCTTGACAAAATGACAACTAACCTCTCCCCAGCCCCTATGCTCAGTCGTAATCGATGTTCCTGCTATTGTCTTGTTGTTCGCAACCCGAAAAGACNCGAACATCAATCCCGCCTTTCTACTTGCTGGCGATACCTTCAATTTTCCATTACTGATCCTTGACGTGGTTTTCACGTATCCCGGCCAATTCGGCTTCAAAGTCAGTACTGCATCTGTAGAGTTTCCGCTCATTATGGTCTGGGGTCTTTCCATAGGCGTGACAGCTCTACATATCATCCTTTTCTTTATTAGTATCTGGGAGACCCACGTGTTCAGAGCCATGCGCAGGGAACGAAGAATGGCTGGTGAAGAGAAGTCTCAAGACCTGAAACATCAATTGCGGGATTCAGAGAGCGACACCAATACGACAACCTCAGTGACTGAAGGACCAGTCAGAGTTCAGCTCCCGGATGGCAGGATTTTCGNNAACTTCCAGAGGGGACCAGATTCGAGCTTTCCGCCGAGCAGCGGTCAGAACTGCCCGCACAACTTCCTGGTGTCTTTCTTGCCGAGCTTGAGGCTTCGGTTCCAACGACGAGAGTCGACGAGAAGTCTGATCAAGGTCCGATCACAACGGCGCGTACTGTTGTTGATACCTTGCTGGCAATACACTCAAGAAATACTCCTTGAGAACATGCACGACCGAATCTGCAAGCCGATCTATCACACGACCAGACTTTTTATGTTGAGACGTTCATATGAACCTCCTAATCGACCGGGGAGTAGAGAGCTTGCGACATCTACTCGGCATAAGGCTGTGGAAGTTCTATTCTTACGACTCCGCCAAGATGCCTCGCTCCGAAATACGGAGGCTCATCATTTGGCTCATCAAGTCCCCATCTATGGATTCTGCTCGTCCCGAAATTATCTTGCATGGTCAGAGTCTCGTGCAAAGCGTATTTTGCTATGGCTTTAACCACCGGAAAGCTGCTGGTTTCGTCTTCCAAAGAGATGACACCTTTCTGGCCATCCACCATAGCATGCTGAACTCGCAAGTCCCAGGTCTTAGGTCTTGATCTTGGACGTATGCTTGGTATCGTTGGCAGGGCGTATCGGGTCGTGCTTTGAGCCTTTGGTTTCTCCCACTTGTATCTCCATACAGCTTGGATGCTGATTTGTGGACCGCCAGAAGATCCTGAGTTCAAAGAACCGGATTTGTTTTCATTGTCGAACTCCACTCTGCCTCCATATCTCGCGCGGTTTGCCCATGTCTTCAAGCTGGCGAGCATGCCATCATAATTAACGAACACGTTGTCAAACGTGATTCTGAGTTCTGTTAGGATTACGNNATTTGACAGAGAGTATTCATCGAGTACCAACCTCTCATATCCAAGAGCGGTTGTTCTTTCCAACTTTTCAATCGCTTGCTGCACCAGCTCCTCCTCACCAGTCTCTTCGTCTTCTGCAGTTATCATGAAAATCTTTTGTGCAATATCCAACCGCCTTATCTGAATCATCTTCACACCGGCAAATTCTGACATTTGCGCGTGAAAATCAAAGTCGACCACCTCATTCGTCGCAGTGGCTTGAGATTGAAGGACGTTGTGTTTTCCGGTAAAGCGCATGGATGATTGCATTTGAAGCTCAATCTGACTTTCGACGCAGTTTCTGATGCGATTGTCTGTCATTTTCGCGGACGAGATAAGAGTTAAGCTAAGATAAAGAAGAATCAGTAATGTCTTCATCGTATTGAAGTTGCGCTGTTGACAAAACTCAGTAGAAAAGTGAACAGGCTGGGCGAATAATGATTGTTGCTGCCTTGCCGCTAGCCCGAAGGATTCGGGCACTTCTACTGTACGCACGTAAAACGTATAATCTGATTAACTATTGCTATCACCATTCCAGAAGTTATCAGGTTGTGTGATCTCCTACCCAAAATTTACTAACTGTTTCACGATCCCTCATATGGCAACGTGTGGCCTGGTACCCGTGTCTGCGGAATTCGATGCAAGATGGCAGTTGCTGAGTTGAGATGAACAGCAATGGAAAGGATCAGCAGTCGGTCGATCATCGGATGTCCGAGTCGGAAATGCGGAAACCTCAAATAGCCACTTTCCTTCCTCCAGCCATTCAAGCTCGCGCCGGACATTTCCACGCTGGACGCCTTGTTGTATGCTTGGATACTTCGAGCCTCTATAACACCCCTACGTGCTGATTGCGCTTCTGGAACATGACTGCCGGCATATGACTGTTACTTGTTACAGATTCGCGGAATCCGCAGCCATCTGAGCGACGATCAAACCTCGGGCTATGAGCTGGTCATAGCTACACCATGCCGACCAGCGGACACAAGGAGTTCGTCAACCTTGACTAGACCTGTTTCGAAAAGCTTCTACACAGTCATGGAACCAAGGGAGACTTGACATGCATGTCTCGCGTCGACTTTCGAACACCAATAAACTCCCGTCTCGTGTTTCGACAGGGTCCACTGCGAATATGGTACCGATCTGGTATTCTGAAACGCCTTGAGATAACAATCTGGTCGTCGAAGTGTCAAAAGGTAATTCACGGCCTTTTCTTGGCCTAGCATGGTGCATCTTGCCACTTGCATCTCTATGTACTACTCATTGGTGGTTCCCATGTAGCCACATATCACTCTGGCCCCAGCCCGGTTCCATGAACCGTCGGTCGAGGATATTGTCCTCGCAACCTTGCGTCACGCCCCTGGAAGTGTGCTTCTCCAGTTCTTCCTTACTTGCTGCTACCTGGTATCACTTTCATTGGCCACCATCCTTCGATATGGCGTCCAGTGCGCCACCAACTCTCTGCGGATTAGGCAAGATTCCACAAGAGCTTTGTATTGTTGCGCTATCTCTCCTTGTCGCTACATGGTCTGCGGCGTTCTCGAGAGCCTACGTTCGTGGCTACATGCTGCGGTCTTTCGGTTGGGATGATTGGACTCTGATACCTGCTCAGCTCTGTTATACCGTACAATGCGCCTATCTCATCTCAATGGCCAGCGTGGAGATGAATCCCGAGGATAACAGTAGCATACAGAGTATTGCACAACTTGTCACTGTAAGCGAATCGAAGTTTGTAGACCGGGATGAGGTTTGCTAACACAATTGCTTCAGANATCTGGTTGTCTATTCTGGCATATATGCTCTTACCTGCGTTCTCCTCAAGATATCTCTAGGCCTCTTCTTCCTTCGCATCATCACGCAGAAATGGCAGCGGAACGTCATCTACGCCGGCATCACCATCAATACCACCTTCGGCCTCGCATACTTCGGCCTGTGCACCTTTGGATGTGGTGACCCCTCGGAGTATCTCCTCCGCACTACCTTGGGACAATGTATCTCCGTCAAGAACGTTGTCATTCCTGCTTCATATATCTTTACTGCCCTCAACGCTGTCATGGATTTTACAATGGCCCTTCTTCCAATCAGCACCATCTGGCACCTAAAGATGCCTAGGATAACAAAATTCTGGGCTTATCTGCTGATGTTACTGGGTGCATCTGGCAGCGTCGTCTCTCTCATTCGATTTGCCTTTGTCGAAAGTCTGGAACCTGGTCCCGAGTTCTTCAAGGATACTGGCAAGCTTGCTTTCTACTCTCATATCGAGCCTGGAGTTGGGATTGTAGCTGTATGCGTCGCGACTCTCAGACCGCTGTTCAGACAATGTCTCGAGGGTGCCAAGTCCGTGAGCAGCACACAGAAGAGTCGTGGTCCAAGCGGCAAGAGGACCAGCATCACAGGAACTTCCGGTGTGCAGTTGACCAGCATGAAGACGAATCGTCGGCCGAGGGACGGTTTCAACACCTTCGAGGATGATAGTGACGAGATGGAGACGCACTGGTCGAACGAGCATGGTATTGGCGTCAAGACCGACTTCAGAATCGAATCTCATGCGACAAAAGTCGGCAGTCACGATGTGGAGCAGGGAAGGGGGCCATCATTTCCTCAACCGCCCTCTCTGCCGCCTTCTCAGCCACTCTCTCGACCACATTCCTCTGTTCGCATGCCCAAGAAGATTGTCCCGGGTGGATACTTCTAAGACACCGCATCATGAATCGTTTCAACGCATCACATTGTATCATTGCCCAAACGATCGTACTGGACCACCCTGTGTCAGCTCTCCAGCATGCTTAGCTTGGAACCAGTCCAGCTACGAGATCAACATAGACACAAAAGTATCCATGCACTCACTGAAAATATTCATTCCTTATAAGCAGCTTTGCGTGGAGTTGCCGTCAAGGAATCCACGGATGATCTTTCCCAAGATACTTAAGAACGATCCACACAGTATCCACCTTCAGATCGAATTCCATCAAAATCTCTTGAAACCGAAAGCGAGCTCTCGAAAACTCCAGTGTTTGACAGAATCGTCCTGGAACGCAAGCGATCCGAACCGAAACCGAGGTTCTCAAGCTCTCAAAACGCTCACATCGGACCATGACTCGTCTCCCAATCCTACTCGAGTCCACGACTCATGAAAATATTGATGGTGACATCTACGGCACAACAAATCTCATTCGGCAGTTCATCTCGTGCTCAGATGGCAGCCACTTTTCCCTTGGTTTTCAGCCGTCACTTCCACCTGACTTGACGCTTGAACATGTTGCTGAAGTTCCGCTATTGAAGGAACATGTAACTCGGCCGATCCGATCCGTGAGATCTCTTGCGCCACACATTTTCCTCATCTTCTTGTCACACAATGCTCGACTCGCAACTATCATCCTGGGACTTGGTATCCGTAATCTTCTGGAACAGATCGTAGTCACAAACCCTTGAGAACATCCCACCGCAGATAGAAAGAATCTCAATCTGCTCGTGGTATGTTTTAGCTCGAGCCGTTGCCGTGATATATGCCAGATATCTTTTCGAAAGTCTTGTTCAAAAGTACTATTTAATACATCGCACTGTCATCTCTGATGTCGACGCAAACCCTACAGTCTTCTGGTTGGTTGCGCATTGTTATGTACCTTCGTTAGAGTGTAAGCATCTATCTGAGAACAATCGACCATGAGGCCATTGCAAGGTCGGCAGCTCTAAGATCAATATACCTAACTCATTGTTTCCAAAAATGCAGACCATGTGTCAAGTGTCGATTTCGGCAACGCAGAAGACGTGCTTTATGACTTATGACATTGGAGAATGTGTCAGTGATGGAGAGATCATGAGCGCAAAGATCCACAGCCATGCATGGTCCAAATCCGTTCGCGCTTTGGATGCCCAGGCTCAGTCAAGTTTTCCTGAGCGAGGAGATCATGGCGGTATCAAGAACTACTGAAGAGTTATGGCTGTTGGCTCAAAGAGTACTTACAGATCTCCTAGATGCTACTAAAAATTCCTTGCTCCGAAATAACCAAGATTGGTGGAATGGCCTTTGAAGAGTACATGGAGTTGCACTTTCCCGACTCGAGCCTCAAGTGGTCAAGGTGGGCCAAGCTGCTCTGGTGCGGGGCTGTGCATCACCGCACCCCTCGACCCTTGATCTTGACCGTGTTCTTCCATCTGGACAACGAACCCCAAGACATCAACATCACACATCGTCCATCGCAAACTGACCGCCGGCTATCCAGACGCGATCCTTCTACTACTTTGATCTTTCGTCGCTCTTACTACGCATCACCAAGTGTCTTCTTCAACACTTGTAGCTTACCAAAATGACGACATACCAAGCTTATGGCACCGAGACTACAGGTAGTCAAGTCGTGAGTGACTTCTCTGACCAAGTCAAGGGCAAGATAGGTATGTCCGTTTATGAGTTGGAAAAAATCGCTCAATGCTCATACCCTCATCTTCTAACAGTCGTCATCACTGGTGTATCGCCAAAATCTCTCGGACAGATGCTAGCAACAAACATTGCGCGACATCAGCCCGAACGCATCATATTTGCTTCTCGCACTTCGTCAAAGCTCGACACCGTCGCTTCCGAAGTTAAGAAGTCCTCGCCAAACGTCAAGGTGGACACTGTGATTCTGGACCTTTCGTCACAAGCTTCCATCAGAAAAGCAGCCGAACACATCAGCAAACTCGTCGACCAAATCGATATTCTCATCAACAATGCTGCAGTCGTAGACTCTGAATTACGCCATACGGAGGAAGGCATCGAAATGCAATTTGGTGTCGGCCACATTGGTCACTTCTTGTTCACCAATCTATTGATGCCGCTGCTCGAGTCCTCGGCCAGAAGCTCCAAGGGAGCCACCAGAATCATCAATGTGTCATCCAAAGGTCATCACATCGGTCCCGTTCGTTTCCACGACTATAATTTCGAAGGCAAGGAAGTGCCTGAAGAAGAACAACCGGGAGATGCTCGACTTAAACAAGTCCCGGGGTATAATGTTTGGGTGGCTTATGGCCAAACCAAATCAGCCAACATCTTGTTCTCGCTGGCTTTAAACGACAGATTCGGCGCAAAGGGTATCTGCAGTTACGCCATGCATCCTGGAGGTTAGTATGTTTTCTTCCACAAAAATGTATCCTATTGACATATTCATCTAGCCATTCAGACTGATCTTTCTCGCTCCCTGTCTCCGCAAGACGCCGCCTTCCTCGAGAGAATTGTTGATGGAAGCTGGATCACGTTGGATCAAGGCACTTCGACGATTTTGGTTGCGGCTCTTGATCCTGCTCTCAGCAAACCACAGGAGAGTATCTATCTGAGTGATTGTCAGTTTGCTGATGCGGAACCTTATGCACGCGACTTGGATATTGCGAATAGATTGTGGACCTTGAGTGAAAAGCTTACTTCGCCTCGGCAGCATCTCTAATGCGAATAGACTATAGGCAATAGTTCTTGTCTCGTTGTAAGAAGATCCCAGTTGACGGTGTTCAATACTTGGCTCACGATCCCAAATCCCGACAGATGTCTCCATCTGATCCACACCCTATGTCTAGACAAGAGCTGACGTGGGCTTCTACAATCACAATCCAAAAGGTACGGTCGATATTGTTGTCCCATGACAATCACCTTTCCAACCATTGAGCCAGCACGAACAAGTTGTAGCAAATGTATTCTTTAGCTTGGCGTGTTGATCCATGGCGTCAGAGGCTCACGAAACTCTTGCTGCCTAAACACTTTGTCTTTTCGTCTGCATATTTGCGAAACCGCGATTTTGGGATCTCTTTGCACCAAAGCTTTACCAAGAAAAACACAAGACTTAATCTACGACATGGGTTCTCCCAACAACGCAAATCTCTTGTACGAGGCTGCTGCTTCTAAGAACCGCCTGGATGAGATCAGGACACTCATTACTGCCGACGCCGATCTGAACGCATCGACTGGAGATGACGAAGATCAAGGTACAGCCCTGTATGCCGCATCAAGCGAAGGGCATCTCGACGTGGTCAAACTCCTCCTCTCCCACGGCGCAAACCCAATACTCATGGTGGTCGATCCGCAAACGCACTATAAGCCGCATTTATCTATAACGGTCCGACTCACACGGAAATCGCGAAGCTTCTCGTCTCTTACGGCGCAGACGTCAACGCTCAAAGCAGCAATTTCGGAAACGCGCTCCAAGCAGCTGCGACCTCTCCAATCAACAAGGATCTCGTTCGAGTGCTGCTTGAGCATGGCGCGGAACCAAATAGCGATAGCGGCATGTTCGGATATGCACTGCAGGCTGCCGCCGATGCAGAAGGAAACGACGATATCGTTGAGTTGCTTCTAGACAACCACGGGGCGGACGGCAATTATGTCGGAGGCACTTGGGGCACGGCACTACAAGTTGCTTCGGAAGCAGGGTTCAAGAGTGCGATATTGCTACTGTTGTCGAGAGGCGCTGACCCTAATATCGTGGCTGGTTGGCATGGTACTGCGCTGCAAGCAGCGGCCTATAGGGGTTTTCGTAGGATCGTTGATATCTTGCTTGAGCACGGCGCCGATGTTGATATTCAAGGCGGTGCAAGGAACAACGCAATTCAAGCTGGGATGGAAGGGCACGATGGACCAAATCCGGAACTTGCACAGTTCCTTCAGAGCCAGAGTAAGGCAAGGACAAATGGGTAGAGGAGATGTCGGATCTGTCGTACCACATCTATCTGACAACATGCAAAAGAAGCTCTGCGACGACGCAACGCATGCTTCATTGATTGCTGTCGATTCGTGTCATATCATCAAGATCGGTTGCTGTTGCTTGTAGCCAAAACCAACTGCAGACCTCACTCCAAACCCAAATCCCTGTAGAATGCCTCTGCACTAGGCTCCCTATCTAGAAACTCCACCAAGGTGGTCATCTCATCGACACTAGCCCCCTTTTCCAGTATCGTACGTCTGTACCTTCTTCCCTGTGCTTGATCCATCGGATCATCCTTGAAGACAGAATAGAACATATCCGCAGCATAAACTCTTGAACTGCAGATACCGTCAGTACCTAAGCGAGAGATAAAAAGTCTTCTTTGAGCACAAAAGAGGCTGAAAAGGAATGTAGAATACCAAACTTACTATAAATAACCATAAAACCCAACATCATAGACACGAATCACAGCATCGAAATTCGCATATCCTAGCCCTTTATACTCGTCACCAGTATCGAGATAGGAAATTCGCCCTTGCAGACTATTCCACTGCTCAGCAATATCCATGTCGAGGATTTCTTGCAGGGTAGATGGTTGATGCACAATCATATCGAAGTAGCTTCGATGCAAAAGACGGCTTTGGAATAGACTTCCGTTTACGTTCTTTGCCTTGACGAGTTTTTCGATTGTGTTGATGGGGATGTGTTGTTCTGGCTGCGGTTTTGTGGGGTGTTCTTGCTTCCAGGCAGTGAGGTAATTGGGGGATAAGTATGTGTAGTGATGGCTCAGTGATTGTAGAAGGTCTGGAACCCAACACCAGAATTCCAGCATCTGAGACGGGGCTTCACAGAAGTCGTCGACGGTGGCTGTGCCGTGGAAGATAGAGTACTTTGTGCGAGCGACGAGGTCGTGGATACCATGGCCTAGTTCGTGGAAGAACAGTTGGACTTGTTCGTGGGTGAGGAGGGAGGGTTTTGTCGCGGTCGGTTTGGGTAGATTACAGAGGAGGGCGGTGGCTGGGTAGTGGCGTGTATTGTTCTCCTCTTCGGAACCNCTGGGTTTGGATGTCAGCTAGTTATGGGAGGAATGTTGGGGGAAAAAACTTACGCATTGCAGATTCATGTTGCACATGCCTCCGAATTTTCCCTTTCGCGGGTAGAGGTCGAGATAGAGGTATCCGAGGAATGAGCCACCCTCTTGATCATCATCCCAGACAGCGAAGATTTGGACATCTTCTTGCCAGACAAGGTCGTTGCCGTTGCCAGTGGACGAGAGAACATCTTCGTGCTCCCCAACAATCTCTTCAAATACCATGCCAAAGAGCTGGGAAAAGATACCCATGACGCCCGTGACTGTCGTTTCCAGAGCGAAATACTCGGCAATATCTTGTCGATTGACGGAATGTTCTGTCTCGAGCATCATGCGATTATAGAATGGATGATCCCAGAGATACAACTTTCCATCAGACACTTCGCCGCGCATCTCAAGATCTCTGTTCTTGAGCCTTTTGAGAACATCAACATCACTTTTGACCCCGACAGAAAGTCTTGAGTGCAGGTTGTCGAGGAAACTCATCACTGATTCTGGGTTCTTAGCCATCTTGTCTTCGATCCGAAAAGTGGCGTGATTGGCATATCCAAGGAGTTGAGCAGATTCGTGCCTGAGAATCATGATTTCTTTGAACAAGGGAACGTTCTTGGGACATTTGTTTTCGTAGGCGGTGAAGTAAATCTGCCGAGTTTCGCTGTTTGTCGCGTACTTCATTGCTGTGGACAGATGCTGAAAGCCAAAGGTCAGTAGTATTTTCCCATCGTGTTTGTCGTCCCGAGTCAAAGAAGACACCAGATCATCTGGTAAACCAGCCAATTCTTCGATATTGAACCAAACACCCTCACTCCCTCCTCTCAAGTTCTTCTCGAACTCACTCGTCAATTGGTGAAGTTGCTTTTGGATTTCCTTGAAACGCACGCGGTTTTCAGGAGGCATACCAAGACCATTCCGAATATAAAGTCTATGATACCTTTCCAACAGTCTTCTATCTTCTGGCTCCAAGTCCTCATTCTTCTTTACCACTGCATCAACCAACCTGAACATACCCTCATGCATATTCGTCTCAATCTCAAACTCCGCATATAGTTTCTCGGCTTCGGCAGAAGCATCTTGGAGTTTCTCATCTGGCGACACTGCTTCGTAAAAGCTCAGTATGGGCGGCTGACGAGAAACAGAGTTTTGGTTGCGAGCGAGCGGTACGACCACATTGGCGAAAGTTGCAGTTTCTAAATTGATGGTTGTCAAGATCGTTTCTTGCACTTTTCGAGAATGCGCGATTATGCGCTTGACGTCTGTGAGGATTGTGCTTGCATCCGTGGTGAAGGTTGGTGGGTTTTGAGGTGATGGACGAGGCTTGCTGCGAGACATGGTTGGACAGTAATGACGAGTGTGTTGATGAGCTGTTCACGAAATTCGTGAGACGAAGAGTTGCTTCATAGAATGCCAGGTCTGGACGTTTTCAGGGTCATGTAAAGGCACGAAAAGGAGATATCGCCGAAGCACTATCCTTGGATGGGAAGGAGTATTGGAGTGTGGTCGTGTAGATAAGTAGGAAACTGATAGGCGCTCGTCTAGCGTACCGGGAACCGGCAATCGGCAAATCCTTATCAAGATCTGGGGTAAGGTCCCTTGTATGCCATCAATAAGCTTTCTTTATCAACCTGTCATTACCTTTCTCTGACGCTGGAAGAACCGGGACTCCTGGATAGAAGATACAGCATTTTCCGGCTCTATATGCCTTCTAAGCCGCTCTGCAAAGCCTTCCATCCTTCTGAGGCACCCAGTACTCCGATCCAACAGCAGTAGTAGCATAAAAGATATGGTGAGGATCATGTTTATCCTTGATCTGACTCAACTTCTGGTAGTTCTTGCCATAAAAGACTTCCTGGAAGTTGGATTGTTGGAAGTCGCCTTCGTTGAGATAACAAGCTCCGTTCGGGGTCAACTCGGCAAGCTTGGGGATCAACAGATTGGTCATCTTGTCTTTGTTCGCAACCATCTCTTCCCAAGGGGCAGTGAAGTTCCAAGGGGTAGTCAGGGTGGTGTCAATCAGAGCATCGCGCCAAGCAGGGTTGACTGCATTCTCGGGGTAGCCGGAGCGAGCAAGGGAAGCATTGATGCCGACACCGATGAATTGACCACCATTTTCGTTGATGAAGCGGAAGGCTTCGGTCAATGCAGTGTTGTTATTCTCAACCACTGAACGAGGAATCAGACGACCACCGTACTGTGCAATACCGACCTGAATAGGTGAGAACATAGTGTCGAAGTGCTTGAGGTATGTAGCAAACTCGCCGAGGTAGTGGTTGTAGGTGATGCCGAGTTGATCGAGCTTCTTCATGAAGGGTGTCAGCAATGACTTGAGTTCATCAAGCGAGACACCAGGAGCGGTGATGGGAGAGATGGCAAACGACTCGTTGGTGAAGTACCAGACGCTCATGGCTCCGGAATCAACAATCTTGGGAAGAGATGCATGGTATGCAGTGACAGCTTCGTAGTATGTATCCATAGGAATGCCGGCACTGGTAAAGGTAAGGTTGAAGCCAACAGTAGGTGTGTCAGGGTGGAGCTTGGATGTCATGGAAAGGACGACTCCGTAAGTACCACCACCTCCTCCAGACAGGGCCCAGTAAAGATCGGTGTTTCGCTGACGATTGGCAACAAGGTGATTTCCGGTACCAGTGACGACTTCCCACTCCAGGACTTGATCAGCAGCGAGACCATGTCTAGACGTCAAGGCAGAGTGACCACCACCTTGAGAGTAACCGCCAGCAATACCGACAGTAGGGCACTCGCCACCGACAACTTGATAGCCAGCAGCATCGGCAATCTTGTAGGCTTCACCACCTTGAATGCCGGCGCCGACCTTGATCGCTTTGCCGGTGTAGTACTTGTCGGACCAGTCCTTGATCTCAGTGTCCCTAAGATTGGCCATCCAGAGGCCGAGTGCACCAGCACCAGTGCTCTTGCCATTGTAGTCGTGTCCGGTGTTGCGGACTACCAAGCGGATATTGTGGTTGGTGGCAAAGTTCAAACCATTGACGACATCGTTGGCAGAAGAGACGTTGATTGCGTACTGCACGTAGGTACCGATTACGCACTGCGCAGAACGAGGTTGGAAAGGGTCACAGCTTTGGTGGGCGAAGAAGGGGGCCATGACTGAAGACGAGCTGGGCAGGCTGGGATGTGTCAGTTATTGAGCTTCGATCGACACAAGCATCTCGACGTACTGGGTCTCTGGATCCAGCCAGCTGTTGCGTAGCTCGGCACATTGCTCTGCATCATAAGCAGCATACTGGTCGTCATGACAAGCAGCGGCGAGAGGTATAGTCGCAATGAGACGACCGTTGACAGTGGTATTCAGGCTTTTCCACTCATCTGCACCCGGCCAGCAGGCATCTCCGGGGAAGCATCTGCAGTCAGCACTGTTGGTATGTGCAGAGGGAGACAGAGCTGCAGCCGATGAAACGGCGGTAAGAGCACCGACTGTGAGCCCCGAAAGAAGTGTGAAACGAAGCATACTGACGGTGTGTGTGAGGAGGCCTTGAAGTTAGGAGACCTGGTAAGATATATAAAGACCGCAAAGAACGCAAGACCCACTGAGATAGGCTTGGGTCGAACAAGTCAATCAATTGTCATGCGGGTTCATACTCTCGGATCGACGACACATCTGGCTGGACCTGGACATTCTGTAAGTCGCTGCAGGCGTCAGGGTATTTTCACATCCGATGGATAGCGCGCACATCCATGCGCCTGCATATTCAAGGATTAGAGGGAATTGCGAGTGTTATCAAGGTCGAAATAGGCAGTCTGCAAGCCACACCCATCCATCGGCTGCAGACACACCCTTTCGATCAATTTACCAGTCCTCGTGGATTCAACGTCAGTTTCTCGAGACAGCCGAGCTGTGGAGTGCGGGATAACTTGGCAGGATCAATTATACGCGAGAGACGGCCGGCAACCAGGCTCGCCTGGATGAACAGGTTGGCAGAGTTTGACAACTTTCCGAGAGAGATGTGGCTACTCGAGGTCACAATCAGCGAGATTCCACTCAGGAAGAAAGAGCTACCGACGGCCGTAGAGGTACAAGCGAAGCTCGGACCTCGTTCACCCTGCTTTTTAATAAGGATCGTTCGCGTAATACATAGAGCTGCCGAACGCTCCTCACATGCGGAGAAGTTTTGATCTCAGGGTAAATGCTGCATACCTTGATCCACGGAATATCAACTTGTCAAGTAGGGCAGCTGTTCGAAAGGACCACTCGGTGGTTCTTATTGCTGGAGTGCTGGAGAAATTTTCGGGACTCTCCATCAATCTTACGCCCGTAGAGTTAGGAGCTTGCGCTTCGGTGAGGATCCAAGAATTTCCTCCTCCAGACCCTTCTGCAAGGCGGCGTTCCACTTGCAGGAGTCGCCAAAAGAAGATTTAATCAGCATCTGTCCCGATGGCCTGGGTTGGTGGTAAGAGGTGTGGCGAGTTTTTCGATTCTCCAATGCAGAATGATCTCAGGATTATGCGCTAGATATGGTGGTCAGGGATGCCCTGGGTATGGAGGTACAGTCAGGAAGATGGGCGACTGTAAGCGATGAGAAGTTGGAAAGTCCGCGATTGCCGCGATTGATTTCTACGCATCGGCGCGAAGGACTTTTCTCGACGCACAGTAAACTTTAACTGAGGGTATTCGGATAAGGTTGAATCGGAGAATTTGCCTCAAAGATTATACCCGTGGGCCATATCGAGTCGCTTCTAAAATTCCGGCGAGCACAAGGTCAGTTGATGGAACGTGTAAGTGATCGACTGCTACAAACCTTTCGAAAGATGGATTGGTGTGACTCCCAAGAAAGTCAGCAGATATTATCTCGTGTGCCGCGTCTCTCTTCCTTGCTCCGACAGGCGGTGTTTCTCCGTCAAACCCGCAGATGCCTTCTCCACCATACACTCTGGGATGGGTCAACAACCTCACAAACGCACCAAGCGAGAGTGATGCTCAAGGTATCATAGCACTGGCGGTGGTCTTTCCACTCCTTGCTGTTCTCTGTGTTGGGCTCAAGTTCAGGATACGAATAAACACAATAGGCTCAGTTGGGTGGGACGATATGATACTGGCGATCAGTTGTGTGCGTGCTGGGCGGTGAGCGGGACGAAGACCATGATTGCTAACTTCCAGCCTAGNNGGGTTGAATGTCGGATACAGTGCCACTGCCATATACCGTAGGTTGAGATGGCGTGTCAAGCGTCGTCCGAGAGCTTCACTGACCGAATTTTGTANNGAGACCAAATGGGGCCTTGGTCTTAGAGCAGAAGACTTTCCTCCGGAGAACGCGGTACCCTTCAGTCGGGTATGAAAGTTTGAAGTCCTCTTGCATCGCTGAGTACTGAATATGCAAACAGNNGTACAATTCGCTGGAGGACCACTGTACTGTCTTGCAGTCCTGGGATTCAAACTATCGCTGCTGATAACTTACCTTCGAGTCGCCGGCTTCAATCGCATCTATGCCCTCATTGTGTGGATGGTGGTTGTCTCTGTCGTGATCAGTCAGATCCAGTTCACCGTACTGCTGTCGGCCGGTTGTCAACCTATTGTGAAACAATGGGACCCCAGCATATCGGGCAAATGTCTTGATGCGCTGCCGATATATTTCGCGCTGTGAGGGACAAGTCTAGGATGGGACTTGATCATCATCGCCCTTCCGTTTCCAATCTTGCGGAGGCTTCAACTGGACTTGCGAAGAAAGGTGGGTGTGGTCATATTATTTCAGGAGATTCTGCTGACATTCATGGTGGGAAGCTCGNCGCTGCTTGCCGTGTTTAGTTTGGGACTCTTCGTCACCGTTGTCCAAGCGGTCCGATTGACGAGCATTGCGAAACTGGCGACTTATACGGACTCGAAAGGATCTATCGAGTGGTCTGCGGTCGAGATGAACCTGGGAGTGGTTGTCGCATGTTTTTCGACGTTCGGGCCTCTCATAACAAGATTCGGGAAAAAGGTGTCGCGTGGGTCATGTTCGAAAGTATCGAGACTGGCCAACTCGTCGCGACGAAAGACAAACGAGACACGCAGTCGACTGCCTGCAGATATGACTCGCAGTTGGAAAGGTCCAACGGTGGCTGAAGATGAGATCGAGCTTTGGACATCCACGAATAGCATCGTTGGAGGCGCGTCTCGAATGCAAAGTTCGGCGACGGGCTCAGACAATTATGAAGAGNGGAAGCAAAGTACTCCCCAGTCTATTAATAATCAGCAGATCCGTGTGCAGCACGTTGTCACGGTGCGGCACGATGAAGCTGTCCATCAGCGTGTATAATGGATCATATCAACAGATTGGCTTCCCAGACACCACACAGCATCCGAAACCTCGAAAGGGGACCTGCGCAGATGACACGGAATCCTCTTCCCTGATTGAGCTCTTCGGCCTCAATCGTAACGTGCATATTCACCGCACTTCTGTTCTTTGGCTGGGCCGCTTTTTGCTGAGTCGCATCGTCCATTTGAACGTCCACAGTCGTGAGGGGAAGTCTTGATACGCCGGTATCGCAAGCGGGCTTTTCCCGTAGCAGAGGCCGTTCATGTGCTTGCGCAATGCCGTCGCCATCTGGTGGTTTGTTGAGAAAGTGCAGGTTGATGAGAGTCAAAAGTATCTCCGGTTTCGCAATCAGCAAAGAGAAATGTCGCGAGTCATGGGCCTTCCCCAGCTCAACGCAACGGAAGCTCGCCGAACGGGCAATTCCGTCGCTGGCCGACGAAGACTGTTCACTCTTGCCTTGGAGCACGACTCTTGAGATCCTTTGCCTCCTGTCCACCACTCCACAGGTTTCACTCGTCTCTACTGCTCGGCAACATTGATCATCTCGTCTGGCATCGGCCGCTGCAGGCGTTTTGTCAATGAATCGCCGCCGTTCGAGAGTTTGACCGGCTGAATCCCAATGGACTCAAGGTTCCCCGGACGAGTACGGTTGAGTTGAATGGCCAGATGAACCTCGACACGCGCCGTGAAGCACTGGTTCATTGGTCTACCATACTTTCAAACGATGGCATCAGAGCTGTGCTATGACTAGCCAACACCAATTTCACCACTCGGGAATACAACGTGTGCCATGTCACGGACTGGACACTACTAGGACCATAACTCGACAGCTGAATATAAATTTCGCCAAGCTTACGGGACTGAAATCACGACTTCCAATTCACTGACAATTTAACAGCCAGTCCATCTTCAATTCTCTACGCTCATGAGGATGAGAATCACCTCGTGTGAGTGTTCTAGGATTCCGTACCACCACTACCTTGTCGAGTGAATGGTTGGTATATCTTCGTTCCCAGATGATGCGTGTGCAAACTCGATGACACAGTCTTATCGCCTCTTCATATTGCCAGATCTTATACCTATGGACTGCGTCTAGACAGCAATGCTGATCTCGTGCAATCTTGACGTCCCAGGATGGGCAACCAACACCAAGTCTATCACGGGTTCACGACAAATCATGGAGTGTTCATCCTTGAGGTAACTCAGCGGTCTGTGGATCCTTTTTCATTTTGGATATACTTCTAGGACAAGTTGAGCGTTCGCTCCCGTCTCCACGGCGATCCGCCTTCTGACATAGAATGTTCGACACGACACAAGGCTACTTCTAAGTTTACCAGATCATCTCCTAATCTCCAGCCAGTCAGTAGGGACGTGCGACTCAAGTCAGCCAGGACGTCTGCTTGGCAAGAACATCTGTTGAAGTCTATAGACCCAAATTTCTCTTCTGGACTCCGAGCCTCATGACCCCACCGGCAATGTGGGGATGGTGGGGGCTTTGACTTTGTATTATCTGAACAATCCCTGATCTTCAGTACATCCGAAGCTATACACTTGAAGGATCTTTGGTGCTCTCGAACTCTGAAAGCTCTGCGACTCACCTGGCTGAAAATCAACAGCCACCCGAACCAATAAACAACAGTGGAAGTCACAGGAATGGCACTCCGTGAAACACTATATCAGTTTCGTGCAATATTAGCCGGCAGCAAAACGTGGTTGCATAAAAGGTTTTGTACTTCGACATCGACGTTTCAACGAAGAACCCATGACTCTTGACAATCTGGTTTCGTGACAACGAGATCGCTCGTGGGGCCTTGGCTGCGAATTTTATGTTCGCGCTTTTCAGAGTATTCGCAATCTCATTATCGGCAGATTCTTCATGATGAACAAAGACGTCAATGCGAACATCTCGAGATACGACGTTGGTACATGGTAGGCAAGAATGTCACTTGCCGTTGTGGAGAACCGTGCTTTCTTCCCGCGCACCAACTTTGAGCCCGAATCCTTGGCCGATATCCTACTATCCGAATCTTGTTCATGAGTCGTTAGCGGCTACCTCTTCTAGGATCTTGTTCGGTGCAGATCTAGTGTACATAGGCTCCCGACACTTTTGCATGCAAAGCGTACCGTGCGAGTATCGGAATCGCTTGATCGGGTATAATTTCGACGGTAGAGTAAGATCAAGAGCCTGACGCTCGTCAGATTCGACGACTCACATTTCATGCTTCGCCTCATACAGACTCCTGGCCGAAGCGATACCACAACTGCCGACGGCTGTGGTCACCGCGGGCCGTTTCTGGCACGATGGTACTGATCAGACCTTGTTAAGCATAACCATCTGAAACTAGAGACTTCTTCAGGTAGTCGATCTGTGGTTGACAAATAAACATCCCTCTTACTGTCTTGCTAGATATTCATCGGTTCCCTCAGGCCGCCTGCTTCGACCTGTCATCCCGACCTCCACACCCCATACATTTTCGAAATCGCAATGGCAAGTCAGGCAGAAATCGACACGATCATGGCGCTGGTCGCCCAGGGCATTCCTTTGGACCAAATCCCCGCTGGAAGGCCACCTCCAGGACAGGTCTCTCATCTTCAAAATCCGGTCGGTAGAGGCCACATGATTACGACCTGCGACATCATCTGCTTGGTCATCGTTTGCACCATTGTCGCCATGCGAATGTACACGCGTATCCACCTTGTTAAGAGCCTTTGGTGGGATGATTGTAGGTTCTCTCGCGTCTGAAATATATGTGTCATCGAACTCACATCAATTTTAGGGTGCACATGTTTCGCCCTCGCTTGCTGGGTCGGGGAAACGGGCTTGTTCCAATTGGCAACATCATGGGGAGCTGGCATACACATCTACGACCTTAGCGTGGCCGATCTTTATCCTTGGTTGTTGCGTGGCTGGGTCGTGGCTGCAGTCATGTACAGCGTGACAATGCTCTTCTCCAAGCTCTCTATCCTGCTACTCTACCGCCGCTTGTTCCCAATCACAAACTTTGCAAAGAGTTGGTGGTTGGTAACCGGTTTCACCATCGCGTACTCGGTCGGAGGTGCCGCGGCTTCGTTGTTTCAATGTCGACCCATAGCTTCCGCATGGACTTTGACCATACAGGCCGACTACTGCATCAACACCGAGAAGTTTTACACGGCCAACGCAGCCTTGAACGTCGCTTCCGATATCATGATTCTCCTCTTGCCCGTTCCTATTGTTTGGGGCCTCAACACGGACTTGCGCAAGAAGGTCATTCTTACCGGTCTCTTCTCAATGGGTGAGCCACCACTTGGTTTCGACTTATTGCATGATCTTTTTGACTGACGAACCACACCAGGATCTATCTCTTGCCTTGTCAGCATTCTTCGTATGCGCTCGATTATCGTTCTATACAAAAACGGCTTCTCAGACTTGACCTGGGGTCTCACCGAAGTCGTCCTATGGTCGCAGGCAGAACTGACTGCAGCTATGATCTGTACCTGCACACCTTGCCTGCGTCCACTGTTCGAGAAGGTCACACCTATGCTGTTCTCCTCTGTCGCTTCCAGAAAAGACAACAGCAGCACTGGATTCGGCACACATGGAAAGTACGTCCGGACCGGCGATTATGGACACAGAAGTACGGCTAGCAAGGCGACGTCACTTGCCGACGTCGAGTTGGAGTCCAGGATCCACAAGAAGGTCACCGTGGATGTTAGCGCTATGGGTATTGATGACAATGATAGCCAAAAGAGCATCATGCGACATGATTAGGTGCTTCGCACGTCGGTGACATATGTATGGGATTCAGGAGTCGATCTGGGAACAGAACCTACAGCACACCAATAAAAAGCACGTTTTTCGTTTATCATGTCGAGTTTGCCTTGTTGATTCTGTATATTCTATGACGAAGTTCGAGCGAGCGAGCTGCAGCGGCATCTCACAGTAGGTTTCGAACGATTGACTTGTCTCCACATCTTGAATCAGCCACTCGGCAATTGTTGACATATGTGTTGTAGCTCAAGAAAGGTAGTGGCTGAATCGTCCGTCAGCGAAAGAGACGTGTCAGAGCTGAGGCTTGGCAGCCGGGCATCTCGCCGAAGCTAAGCACGGTGTTTAGAGATGTACGGGGTAATTTACCCATAGGTAACTAACTTGTAAGTTACCTTCTTGATGTTTGGCAGGGCTTTCACCAAGCGTCGAACTCCATCTACGGCCAGAAGTTGAATGATGGGACTCGTGTCAGGAGCGTACAAAGCTTCTACTATAACACATATAAGCAAGAGTCGGGGCGGTAAATTATGACAACTCACCTGCATGCGCGATTGCATCGATGCTGCTCGTCATACTCAGACCGACAGGCAGCGTCATGGTCAAGTCAACATCGTAGATGACCACATCTAGCTTGATATCCGGATGCGACTGGGTGGTCTTGCGGTCGTCCACAGTTTGTCCAAGGATCGAAGTTATCTCACTCCCAGCATAAGTAGTGGGAATGCAGATATGGGGCATGTCAGTCTTGAATGAGACTGCTTTGCCCAGACCAATCGTTCTTCCTCCTCCAATACTGATAAAGATGTCTGTGTAGAGTTTTTGCCAGGGCGAGCGCTCCGTCTGTGATGTGAATAGGAGTGTGCATAGTTGCCTTGTCAAAAATGCCCACTGCCTTATCACCCAGCAGGTCCATCAACTTTTGGGCATCTGCGGTCTGCGCTCGGGTGCAGAGGACAAGACATCTCGATACTCCAAGCTTCTGGACTTCTGCTGGCAGATTTGCTACCTTCCAAAGATAATTCTGCTAAGACGTCGGATAAGAGCTTGTCCGCAGTAAGCAACTGACTTTCGCTGTACCCTTGTGACCAGTCAACGGCGGAGTAGCATCTGACAGATTGCAAACAGTATCAAAAGTATGAAACGTAATATACGAAGTTGTGTTCTCGCCCAGGTTCAGCACCCTGGAGCAGCCAAACGAGTTTCCAATCTTGACGAGCACATCCGGCGAACATGGACCGTTCACAAGTCGACATACCTCTTCTCAAAGACCTCACTATCGAGAACATANTCACCGAAAATGCTTAACTGATCAATTCGAGATGTCCCGATCCGAGATTGAAGTACTTGTTAAAGAGATTGGTGTCGCATGTGCACGACTTTGCATGGGAGACCCGACTTTCAACGAACGAATGGATGCCCACAATTCAATTCCTCACACAAGTTGGTCAGATCTGTTCAGATGTGCGACAGGGGAGTGCACGAACTTCAAGCGTATGATTTAGTTGTGTGTCAGAGGATGTAACACCTGAGCTGATCGGGAGCCACCATCGTTCTGTGCCTCAAGTAGATTGTTGCACAACACCTTGACTTACTGCATGGAATTGATTCCNNCTCTCTGGAGTGATTGGTCTATCACTACTAGTAGATAGCATCGATCATCCGAAACCAGCATCTAGCACAGAAGGAATTGTTCTCGGACCCTTCCACACTCATGAGGCTGCGACCGAAATCAACAGCAGTACCATAGCGCATGATCTAGATGGCGAAACTTGTCTTGTCATATGCACAGTAAAAGACACTTCCGGTCAACCTATACCAGGTGTCAAGATCGACGTCTAGGAGACTGACAGTAAGGGTTTCTACGATGTGCAGTATGCCGATCGTCAAGGCCCCGACGGACGCGCGGTCTTGTAGAGCGATGACAGCGGCACTCTTTGGTTTAATGCCATTGTCCCAGTACCATATCCTATCCCCCACGACGGACCGACTGGCAAACTCGTCAGACTGCTCAAACGCCATCCATACCGACCACGCCACATGCATCTCATGTTTGGAAAGCCTGGCTATGATCATTTAATCACGCAAGTTTATCACTGTACGCCTTGTGATGGGAATCGAAAAATAATGTGTTTAACCCGAGCTCTCTACCTCCACGGCGATCCCTACGAAACATCTGACGCTGTCTTTAGCGTGAGAGAGTACCTCATTGTGAATCTACACACCGTTACTTCATCTCAAGCAAGCGAGTACGGCGTAACAGAGGGCTGCAAGCAAGATGAGGTTACAAGGTCGAAGTCCAGGTCTTTGATTGTACTGTGACTTCTCTCCGTGTGTCGCTTGCAAGTGTCATCTCTTGTCGCGTGTTCAAAACCGCCATAGCATAAGTCCCCGAATGTATGATACTCTCCAACGACAAGTCAAACACAAAAGGACGTATATCCTATGCAACTCCGCGATTAACTTTTGGCTTCAAACTTGACCTTCCATCGAATCTTCCCAAACCATCAAGACGCGAGGGGTCAAGGTCACACTGGAGAACTGTTGTGGCAAAGACGCAAAAGTGCTGTAAGTTTGAACTGATGTTCGAAAATAACGAAAACCTGATACACAGGATAGAAGCCCAGTCCTGAGACACCTGTCTACATCTTTCCGACCGTCTCGTGATATACAGCGTCCGGCTTCGCGGCATCAAGTCCTGCGCCCTCGGCGTCGTGGCGAAACTCTTCCTCGCGGAGTCTGACTTCTTCGAGAACCACCTTGTTCGCCCTGTGAATAGGCTTGATCTCGAAAAGGCGATCCATAGCTTCCAAGGGGATACTCTTGGTCTCTGGCACCAAGAACCATACGAATACAATACTAGCAAGCATCATGCTGGCGAAGAAGAAGTATACTCCACAACCAGAAGGGCCCATGTTGAGGAACATTTGGGGTGTGAAACGTGAGATGATGAAGTTCCAGAACCAGTTGTTTGCCGCAGCCTGTCCTGTGTTAGTGACTGTTTGGTCATGGTTTGACTTGTCTGTACTTACAGAAGCTTGTCCCAACGAGCGAGTGTTGGAGTCGAACATCTCCGAGTTGAGAACCCAGGGAGTACCATTCCATGACGGACTGTAGAATGTCGTCCATAGGTAGAAGAAGAATACCGCAGCGATGCCACCCGGACCCAATTCAGTACCTTTTCTCTTGCCATCGGTACCAAGAAGATAGCCACCGATGATAAACATGCAGACTGAGCCACCAGCGGCGCCGATCATGAGAAGCTTGCGTCGACCGAGCTTGTCAATCAAGAACAAGATCCATATGATTGTCATTATCGTCTTAACCACACCGAAAAGGCCGGTCGTGAAGAATGAGGTGTTGGTGCCAGTGATACCGATGGACTTGAATACTGTTGGCGAGTAGTAGTTGATGGCGTTGATACCGCTACCATTTTGCCACATGAATAGCAATCCACCGAGAATGAATCGCCACTGGACAGTACGACTTTTTGCAACGGCGGCGAAGGGTGCGAAGAAGCCCATACCCATAGTAGATGCTTGATGGTCGATGGCAGCATCGATAGCTGCCACTTCCTCGACGATGTAGAGGTCGTTGCTTTCAAGCTTACGGATCCAGCAGAGGTTCTTGAGACCTTCTTCTCTTCTGCCCTTGGAGTATAGCCAGCGAGGTGATTCCCTGAGCCAGAAACTGCCAATGAGGAGAAGTCCACCTGGAATCAGTTGGACAGCAAAGGGAATCTGCCATTGGCGGCGGGTCGAGCCCATGGTCTCAGAGAGAGCGTAATTGATCCAGAATCCGACGAGACCACCGATTTGCCAGCCCAGCTCGTAGATACCGACCAAACGGCCACGAACAGCGGGTGGAGAAATTTCAGAGATATAAATTGGAACCNNTTGAAGACGTCAGAAGTCGATCCACAAGTTTTGAAGGATTTTGCGACTTACAATCATGGACGATCCACCAACACCAATGCCGGCAAGCACTCTGCCAGCGTAAATGGGCGCCAGATCTCCATTTTTAGCGGCCAACATAATGCCAGCGCCAACCAGGAAGACTGTAACAAACACCCACAAACTCTTCCTGCGACCAAGATAGTACGCAGAAGCATAGGCGAGCAAAGAACCAAAGAATGCACCAGCTTGATACACAGAAACGATGTTCGACTTGATGAAAGCCAAGTGTTGTTCCTCCATAGACTTGAACTTGAATTCATGGACGAAACTTGGGAGAGCAAGTGTTGTGCCGATGAACGCAGAGTCGTAGCCTATCATGCATGATGCAAAAGATGCTACGGCTGCACATGCGTAAACACGCCAGTTGTAGACGGCTGATGGGGTTGGGCGATCCTCGACTAGGGTAAGCAGACCCATATCGATGGTTGTGCCTGGATGGCGGTCAAGGACGTTGTGCTGTATTAGGGACTCGAGTTGAAGAAGCGAGTGAAGGCAAAGGTAGAGGATGAAATGAGAGAAGATGATCGCCGTAGGGGGCCGTGGGGTAGCTTTTATGGACAGTTTGCGGGGCTAGTCAGTGTGGTCCCCCATGGGGCATTCGAGTACTCGGGTTCCAGAACATCAGTTGACCGGGATTAGTTCACCGTGTTTTCCAACAGTGGCGGCCACTTTCGCTGTGCGAGATGCGGTAGAATCTTTACCCCAGGGTAAACTTTTCGAGAAGGTTTGCTAGTCTGATCACGTCGCGTACAAGGCTGTTCCGCACAGCGAATCGATTGCGGATAAGTCCTAGTGAACATGAACAACCACTACTGTATGTAAAAGTAGAGATGTGTGTCTGCTTGAAGCAATCGTAGCTTGTGACCTGTCTATTTGGGCTAAGTCATTGTCCTGAGTTTCTACCACATCTTAGACGACGTGAGTACAGACCTCAACGTGTGTGAAGCTATCAAGCGTTTATCTTTGCTTGCAAAAATCTGACCCGATAACAACCATGACAACACGAGGGCCCATGATCACGGCTGTCACTCCAGACTTTTCACAAGTGGCGAAGTTTGGTATTCTGTTCGGCTACCCAATAGCTCACTCATACTCGCCATTGATGCAACAGACCGTGTATGGCGCTATCGGTCACGATTGACGACAGTTCTTCCTCGAGTCGACGAACATGTCATAATTTTTAGATCTCATGCATCAACCCAAATTTTATGGTCAATCACTCTGCTTCCCTCTCATCCCCGGCAATTGTTAAGTCGAATTGTCACTTTCGTGGGAGTGGTCGACCATGACAATGAGTCCCTAGCACACTTAAAATTCAAGTTTGTTGACTCAAGCAGGCGCGGCGGTCACAATGTCCCATAAGGTTGCGATCATCCAACATCTCGATGAATTGACAGACGAATGCAGTGAGGTGGGTGTATGCAACGCTGTCTCTATCAAACGAGATGGCGATAAACACAACTACGTGGGCACGAACACTGATGTCGATGGTATCCGAGACGCGTTTGTGCAGAACGTGCCTGGAGAGATGTTTCAAGGTAAATATGCTTTGGTTGTTGGTGGTGGAGGTGCTGCTCGCAGTGCCGTCTATGCCTTGGAGGTTTTCATGAATGCTACGACTGTCTACTTGGTCAACAGAGATAAGAGTGAAGTCGACGCGGTGATTTCCTGGTGCAGGGATTACGGTTATGGAGACAGCTTGGTACNNGTCTCGATCGTCAAACAGGCACAAACCATTGAGAGCGTCGGCTCGATCGTGGCGTGCGTGCCAGACTTTGCACCATCGACCCCAGCAGAATTCGAGGCACGTGGGATTCTCGAAGTCTTCCTAGGCAAGTCAAAAGGCGCGATACTGGAGATGTGCTACCATCCAAAACCTTGGACTTAGATTGCAGGTCTATCAGAGAGAGCAGGCTGCAAGGTCGTACTAGGCACTGAAGCCATGATCTATCAAGGGTTTGCGCAGGATAGCTATCGGACTGGAAGAAGTCTTGCTGACCTACCCGTCAAGGAGGTGAAAGCTGTTAAGGCGAAAGAGTTGGCAAAGACACTATCGTAGTGTGTCACGCCGAGGGATAGGAGAGATTGCCGCTAGTATACGGATGTTACTTGGTCTTGTGTTTGAAGAGTATGGCTTCGATTGCTATCACCGACTTCACAGAATTTCTGTGATCTGTTCATTTTTTGACCACCCTCGAGATTCGTCTGGTTCACCTGATTCAGTGCCACATGGTTTTGCACGTTCAAGATTGCGTGCTCGACATAGTCTTTAAGCCTGAGTTCCACAATCAGCCCCCTCGAAGCGAGATGGCGGCCGGTATCGCTCCAGTCTGCTGTCCCGTCTTGAGCGGACAATACCTTAGCCGAACCTGATCATGTCTCTTCCCCCATGACATTCGGTAATTAGTTGGACGAAGCATGCACAGACATCAATCGTGAGGCCACGAGAGCTGTGAAAGCAACAATCACCCAACGTTATAAATTTGAAGATGGCATTGAAGCTGATGCAGAGTCGGATTGTCGCTTCATCTTTTCTGGGTCAAAAGATGCGCAGACGGGTGACTGGGGAGCAAACTACGTTCGCCATTTCTATGAGAAGGACAAGTTGATTCCTGTCGACCCTAACAGAATTCTTAAGATCGATAATGAAGCAGCAAAGGAGTATCCCATTGGTTACAGATATCTTGTATACTGTCAGGAGAGGACTATGGGGGTCAAGGTCATCCGGGATCTGCCTGGTCAAAGAAATGTCTGTGTTCAATGTCGATGTCTTTCCAAACCGTGCAAAGCTTTCTGAACTGCCACACAATGTTCACATTCATCGACCTTCTCAGAATCAATGCTCACGAACCTATTATTTGGCAAATTTTGATCGTCCACAGGACCACAGTGGTATCACTGTGGTCGCTGTGATCTTGTCCATGTGATGCAAAACTATGGACAGAGTGCGCCTGACGAACATGTCCATTACACGTCTACCTCGGCCTGTATCTCCGGAACTGTCTTTATCCGACTCTGGTCGACAAAGCGGGGCCCCGCCATCAATCTCCACTGCCAGCGAACGCCCAGTTTGTACTGCACGAGACATGACTTTCTGACCGTTTCTCGAGAGTCATCGCAGACATTTCAATATTCAATGCCCTTGCACTATCGACACAGATCGTTAAAACTCCACACACGTTGTATCATCTGTCATGAAGTACATACCGGCGATAGCTTCCATGAGCCTGGGACGAGCCTGGGTCCATGACTTTGAAGAAAAGATGAAAGCTGCGTCCAAGTCTGGTTTTCAAGGCATGGAAATCTTCTACGAGGACCTCGAATATGTCGTAAAATCACTGGCCTCATCAGCCGAACAAGATGCGACACCTTCCCCAGCACAACTCATTGCCGCTGCANAANAAGTCAAAACCATTTGCGATCAGAATAACTTGCGCATCATCGGTCTCCAGCCATTTTTGTTCTACGAAGGACTGAAAGATCGCCAACAACACGATCGCTTGATTGAAAAGCTGCATGTTTGGTTCGATATCGTGGATACACTAGATACAGACACCATCCAAATTCCCGCCAACTTCTTGCCCAAAGACCAGATCACAGGCGACACGGACACTATAGTGGCGGATATGGTCAAAGTCGCCGACTTGGGTGCGAATCGTGAGCGACCAATTCGCTTTGCGTATGAGAACCTCTGCTGGAGTACGTATATCGATACTTGGGAAGCGGCATGGGAGGTAGTGCAGCGTGTGGATCGTCCAAACTTCGGCATGTGTCTGGACACCTTCAACATCGCTGGTCGGATCTGGGCGGACCCTGCTGCACCAACAGGCATGGTTGAAGATGCTCAAGCTGCTCTGGACGCGTCTTTGGGACGACTTGTCAAGACTGTTGATGTGGCAAAGGTGTTTTACATCCAGGTCGTGGATGCGGAACGATGTGATCCGCCACTCGACGAAAAGCACCCTTTTCATGCAGACGGCCAGCCGAGTCGCATGTCTTGGTCTCGTAACGCTCGATGCTTTATGTACGAGACTGATAGAAATGCCTATTTGCCTGTGGAAAGAGTGGCTCGAGCCATCATCGAAGGCCTCGGCTACCAAGGATATGTGTCTATGGAGCTGTTTTCGAGAACACTCTCGGATGCCGCGCTGGATGTTCCTCAAAGCCACGCTGTGCGTGGGATACAAGCCTGGAAGAAGTTCGTGGATGCTCTGGGTCTGAAGTAGGATATGAGACTATGTAGTCTAAACTTCAGCAGGCAAATACAGATAGTTCGACGAGGTGAGTTCTACATCAGACTTGTGGGGTTGACACGCGCAATTCATACTGTAATGGTACAGACTCGAACCTGAGCAGGTATTCGATACACCCCTTGTCCCAATGATTCATTGTAGGTATCTTCAGGCCTGGCTATGGCGGAATTGTGCATTCCCATAGTGAAAGTTATGAAAGTGTGGAGCACATCTCCACAGCCGACGCCCCTCACGCCCGGCCATGACCTATTCCGCTACACATGTGATCTGTGATCATAACACGCACGCAACGTTTAAGACATATACAAGACTACACCAGACATGTCCGCATTCTCCAGGGTAGCGTCAACATCTGCCACCTGGAATCAATTTCTACCATGAGTCAGCCACAACCCCAGGACGCTAGCTCCGGCACAAAAAAGCTACACCTCATCGGCGTCGGCGTAGGCCACAGCATCGCCCCAATCATGCACAACTACATCTGCAAAGCACTGCACAAACCATGGACTTTCGTCGCAACCGAATCCCCCACCATCGAGGCCGCAATAGCGCTCATGAAAGCCCCAGATTTTGCAGGCGCTGTAGTGACAATGCCATACAAGAAAATCGTAATGGCTCATTTGGATGGCCTGGATCCTCTGGCTGTTGAGCTCGGCGCCTGCAATAATGTGTACATTACAGCAGATGGCAAACTGCAGGGCACTAACACGGATTGGAGGGGTATCAAGGGGTGTTTGCTTGCAGTCAGCGATAAGGGTGTTGGGAAGGCAGCCATGATTGTGGGGGCTGGAGGTGCAAGTCGCGCTGCTGTGTATGCATTGGCTGTTGAGCTCAGATGTCCGGTGATCTACGTGGTCAATCGCGATGACCAGGAAGTCGAAGATCTGATCGCTGACACACACGCCTTGCTTTCAACTCCTGGATCAGACGAGCCGCTATGCAAGATTGTCCATCTGCACACTGTTGAGCAAGCAAGCTCCCTTCCAGCACCGCACTACATCGTTGGCACCGTTCCTGACAGCGTGCCAAACACCGACTCGGAGAAGATGACCATCAAGATCTTTGCCCATCATCTGGCATCTGCACTGGAACGAGGAGTGTTCCTTGACATGTGTTTCAAACCCAGAATCACCAGGAAGATCAAATTGGCAAAGAAGCACGGCTGGCAGACGGTTGAAGGCACGGAGATCATCGGACATCAGATCTACGAGCAGTATAGAGTATGGATCAGTCCTGATTCTGATAGCGAGGTGGTTAGTCCAAAACTGGCTGGCGAGGCATGGGAAACCTTACGGGCAGCTGCAACAGAAAGTAAAGGCATCAATTTTGAGGTGGATGATTTGGACGTAGTGTAGAACATATACCTAGTTTGGAATCGGTTGCTTTCATTCATGATTCAGGGACAAAATCAAGTTAAGTACGCAGTTCAGTATTGGTGGCATACATTAGAGGACACTTGTTGCACGCCTGACCTATAGGACAGCAGCTATGTATTCGTATAATCAAGATCGTCCATGAAAAAACCTAGCGATTGCATAAAGTCCTGATTACTTCCCGCACTNGAATATGTTAGCGAAGAGTCAAAACAACACGATGGTTGATCGGTGTACCTATCGTTATCCTGGAGCAAGGCCAGATAATCCAGTAATTGTGTCGGGGTATTGGAAAGTATGCTATCATTTACCGAGGCGGGATCATCAGCTACAGATGTCGCCATCAGGTTCACGTCCATTACGGCCGAGCCTGACTGTCTTGACGTGAGAAGGTTGGGTATGAAGGTCTGCGTGTTTGATTGGCCTAAGCCAGTTCCAAGACCATAATCCGGAGAGAAGCCATGCGGCATCTCGCAATGCATCGCGGCGTGCAGAGGGTCCTGTGCTGTAAGTGGTGGTCGGTCGCTACCAGACTGATCTATCAGCGTTGCTTCCAACAAACTTTGATCTCGAGTGGAAGCCGCCCGATCCCAGCCCCAGAAAGCACTGTACTCAGTGACTAACTCTCTGGTCTCCGTGAATGTCGATTCATAGTCGAGAGAAGAGGACAAGTTCGAAAGCAACAAAGGTATGAAGACGCTCACGGAGGCGGGCATAGCTGCTACGCCGAAATTGCATCTGATGTCGAGCAGATTCGCCGCTATGTCTTGCATTTGTGCTTGCTGGAGATCGGTGCTGAGGGCTGACGGCCGGACGCGCGAGCTTCTTGACATGGCGATAGATAAGACGGCAGAGTAAAATGCTCGAAGGTGAAGTTGTGGTGGTAGGTATCTGTTTGAGTTTTGTCGAGTCGATGGTGCTGTCATTGTAAGATGACGCGGTTGATTGGAGCTCCAAGTTTCAATGTCAGAAACAAGGTCAGTCTCAGATATTCGCTGTTGCATAGCAGCATGCAGGATACTACTGAGCTTGACGAGGCTGTTGAATGTGCTAGATGTGCGACTGGGTACGGCTCGTGTGCTTGGAGTAGACTGAACGGAGTATTGTTGTGATCCGAACTTGTCGACATAGGGTTCCCACTCATCTGAACCAGTCTCGTCACAAGGAGCAGTCGAGGATAGATCGTATGTCGACATTAGCGGTCGAGTGTCCAAAGCCAAGGAAAGCAGAGCGTCCATAACGAAGCATCCAGAAACAGTAAGATTATGTTGTCGATGTGGTATCCTAGAACCAATGGCGGAACAAAAAACGAGGGCTTGAGCTAGCATAGATCTGGCCAGGACCAGCTTGTTGCAGCCTAGATGAATGACAGACCATAGGAGCAATGCTTGGGTGTAGCTAGCATAATCATCCTGTATCGGGTCTTTGTCGAGGAAGTATCTGGACAGATATCTGAACTGGACGGCTCTTGAGGACAAGAAATTGCTGGAGTGGATCTCACCGAGAGCGAGGACTGCCCACAGAGTCGCATACTCGCCCCGATGCCGGTCGTCAAGGACGGTTTGACAGTCACTCTCGTCCTGATATTGATACGCTATTCGGAAGAGAGTATGCCGTTCAAGGATCGGGAACCATGAGTGTTCGACCGTGAGATAAACCTGTGTCAGAGAGTGCCAGTCGGGTGGAAGAGGTGATAGAGTGGTCTGATCACCTGGAAGCACGTCATGCAGCGGATAAGATGCATCTGGCACGACTGCAGCTGCTATCGGAAATGGTGCTTGTAGTGGCAGTTGTGGTGATGGCGCTTGTGGCGGCGTGCCCAGTGAAAGGTCTGTTCGAGGCAGAGACCAGGTCTGAACAGATGCGAGACTAAGATCAACTTGACGGGCCATGTCTTCTGATGTGCCGTTGGGATTGCTGACGAATTCACCATCTAGCATCAATTCGATGGCAGAGGGTACACCACTGTTTCTCCAGCATTCCAGGAGATTGTCTGCGCGGTCGATCCCGTTGCTGGTGCCCTCATCTGGGCTTGGAAGGATGATAGAAGACAAATTGGCAAGCAGTTCATTGACGACAACTTGGCTCCCTCGNACCTTTTTGAATACCAGGCCCCAAAGGATCTCGATCGCTTTGACGTATCCAGATTGCAGTCCACGCCTCTTTGCGACAGGACCATAGATGCACTCAGAATTGGAGGACCTACAGGTAGAGCAGGATGGGCGTTCGCTGTCGCACTTGTATTTCTTTCCTCGACATCGATGGCAGGCCTGGGTTACTCGCTGTCGCTTGCGAGGAGGTTCCGCTGCCGGCTGCGACATCTCTCAAGTGCCTCGATTACCGGAGTGTGTTGTCGTGCGCGGGTAAAGCTACAGCCGAGCATCAAAGTCGGACGGCTGACGGTGTTGCGTCGGGTCGTCGTCGTCGTCGTCGTCGCGAATATCTGGTCTTCGCCTCCTCGGGCGTGACGTCCCCGGGCGTCTATATCACTCGCAGTTCTGCGACAGCACAGAGTATAACAGCCTCTGGTCGGCCGAATTGATTGAGAAGGCTGCCAAGTCCATCGTATGCCGGTGAATGGGGCCGGTGAATCGAGGAGACGAGCTGTTAACGCCGCTTGGTCGCGTAGAGTACATGAGGCGCACCACCTTGGGGTGGGGTAAACGCTGCTCAAAGTCAAAGTTTCATAACACACAAAAGCCGGACAGACTTTTGGCATGTATGCAATGGCTCAATCATGGCAGCGAGAGAACCGCAGGGAGATGTTGTCTCCCAGCCTGGACATGGATATGGCAAGAGATAGAGCCGACATGAATGATCTGAACACACAGGAAGGAAGAAACTCTGATGAGGATTTGATCAAAGGACGCCGGCAAAGCTCGGCATGACCTTCATCCGAGCGCCTACCCTCTCGACCGAGCTTCGAGAGCGTCGAAGGGCCTGGAGAGTCTTGACCGCCGCCAATCCAGGCAACATCATGATCGACTGAACCCATTCGCTTTGCAGTACTACACTGATGCCAGATCCTCACCCATGACTTGCGCGCCACGGCCGACATGACTGACGCCGTGTCTACACATTCCAGTCCGACGTTTGTCGCCAACAAGAGACGCCGTCTTGACGCACCCACATACACCACCCGCGAAGCTTCGATACACCCACGTCTTCCTGACCAGACACTTGACGTTGCCGTTCGTCGCCAAAGTACCCAGCCGCCGTCTCTTCGGAACACTCCCAGTCGTCAGCAGTCCAGAGCTTCATCGCCCTCAGAGCAGAATGCTTCCCTAGTCTTGGTCGGCACCAAGGGAAGTGGCCTCTCCTCGTTCGGTGTCATTGCCGTCACAGCCTTGCACTTTCGCTTGATTGATACCGAGGGCTGGCTTGTCGAGCATTGCGGTCTGCGAAGATCTGAATATATCAAGACGCGAGGCCTGAGTGCTTATCGCAAGGTTGCCTCAAAAGCTTTGGAGGATATATTGAAGCAACATGGTTCGCGCTGTGTTATCGTCTGCGGTCCTGAAGCCCTCGAGCCACACTGTCAAACTCTTATTCGTACCTTTGCCCTCACACACCCTGTCGTCATGATCAATCGCGATCTGACCATGATTCGAGACTATCTCGGCCTTCCAGACACCCAAGAGGTATTGCAGATTCTTGGCCGAAGCCGTCAGCTCTGCCGCCGGATATCCAATTATGAGTTCTACAATCTACCAGAGACCGAGGCCAAGATTCCACTGTCCGCTGAGCTGTGTCGGAACCTGAGGCGTCCGACAGAGACTCACAATCCGCCTCAGCTGCTACAGAATGTCAAACAGGACTTTTTGCATTTCTTGCACCTCCTGGCCAGGACTCCAGTGCGTGCCGACCCTCTGCTTTGTTCTTTATCGCCAGAGGAACGTGAATATTCCACTTTGTCCAGCCTGCTTTCCGAAGATGTTGCTGGCGGAAGCTTCAGTCTTGTCAATCTAGATTGTGGAACTGATGCGATTGAACTGGCCGTCCGGGGCTGTTCATCGCAGAAACCTTCCATCGACTGGGATCGCATCAGTCGCTCCNTCCAGATGATCCGACGTCATTCCAAATCCCCAATAATCTACCATGTCGAATGTGAAAACCCGACCAAGGAGGAATACCACGATCTGCTATCTCATGGCCTCCGCCTGATCCCCGACTTCATCACAATCGACCTTGGCTGTACAGATCATCAGATTCTTGACTTGATAGGCTCAGTAGGTCGGACAAAGGTCATTGGTCACCGCTCATACTCAACAGACAGCTCTCCATCATGGAAAGATCCAGCTCTGCACAAGGAATTTGATCGCGCTGTCACTCTAGGCTGCCATGTCGTCCGATTTATTCGCCAAGCCATGTCAGCCTCGGAGGATAGGGATTGTGTTCTGTTCCAGGCTGCCATTGCTTCCAGGTCCAAGACTCCTTTGATAGCGTACACCGCTGGTATCCAGCCAAAATCTTCGATGGTGCTCAACTCGTGTCTGACTCCCGTACGACGCCCCGACACATCAGACTCATCTCCGGCCATGTCCTTTCTCACGTTCCAACAACTGATGAAGGCGAAGTTCTCAGCATACATCTATCAACCATTACATTTCCATATATTTGGCGCAAGCGTGGATTATAGCGTTTCACCAATGATGCACAATGCTGCTTTCGAAGCTCTCGCGATGGAACACACTTATTCTCTCAGACAGTCAAACAACCTGCGTGACTTTGCTTGCCTTGTGGATGACTCCTTTGGAGGTTCCAGTATAAGTCTTCCGTTCAAGTCTGAGATTCTACCACTCTTGAACTCGACAAGTGAAGCAGCCAAGGCAATACAGGCCATCAACACGATTATACCCNTGAGAGCCGGGCAGGGGAAGGTCGATGTTGACTCGAGTTCACTTTGCCGATCTCACAAGAACAGAGCTGGACCAGTCGTTGGACTACATGGCGAAAATACAGATTGGACCGCGCTGTACACATGCGTGTTGCGCTATCTCTCTCCTGCCAACACCATTCGACCAAGCTCGTCGGCCCTCATCATCGGTGCTGGAGGTATGGGCCGCGCTTCAGTGTATGCCTTGTTACAGATGGGGGTGAAAAACATCGTCATGTGGAATCGGACGCACAGCAAAGCAATTCGAGTGGCAGAGCACTTCACCAAATTGTCTACGGAGCCCCAATCAAAACTGCCATCAGGCCGCATTGAAGTCGTTGAATCGCTGGACTCTCCTTGGCCAGAAGGTCTTGCGCAGCCAACGATCGTGGTGTGCACCATCCCAGCCCATCAGATCGATGACACGCCACCTCCAGAATTCTTGATTCCTCAGCAATGGTACCAGAGCAGGACGGGTGGAGTGATCGTCGAGGTGNAGTTATTGATCCGGTTCTAACCTATACATAACTAACCTACAATCAAGCTTTCATACAAATCAGCATGGACACCGCTGCTTCAGCAAGCACATGATCGCGCGCACAAAGGCTGGATTTGCGTAGAGCCGCTCGAAATGTTGATCGAACAGGGTCGTGCGCAATTTGAACTTTTTACTGGTTATCCGGCGCCACAGAAGGCCATGAAAGATGGAATCATGGACAGATATGTGGCAATGCATGTTGCCAACAGAGATGGCTAGCTGTCTTGTGATCCAAACAGTCGTAGCATTGTGTGCACCGGATTCCATGTTATTTGCCGATGTTCTTGTATCCCCATACCTGCTTGCTACTGCGGTTACGAGCTTCGGAACAAGATCCTTCGCCTCTGCAGCTACCAGCGGTCCCTATACTTGCCCTGGAATTTTCAAGAAAACCTTTTTCCATCTTGGGCGTCAAGCTGGGCAGTCGCGCGAGACTACCGTCCATGGCTTTGCCTATCAGGGAGCATTAGCAGATTCCAGCCTACCCCTCACGGCATCTAGCCAATAGCTTGAGTTCAGCTACAATCTGTTCAGCTGAACTTTGGTGGCTATGTATAGCCATTCGTCGGTTCTGCAAGACTAAGGGGTCGGCGACGCCTGATGCGGGGCAGGCCTCTCCACAACTCTCGTTTGTATATATGTTGTAGCATGTTACGACTAACTCTTTCTCAGTCCTTCATCTTATGTTCACTCCGGTTTTCTTCGATCTAGACATCATCATGGCAGAACTACCCGCGCCGGCTCCCAAGAAAATCATCATCTGTTGCGATGGAACCTGGCAGTCTGCCGTATCCGGCGAGCGGAACAGTCCATCCAATGTGACAAGACTTGCTCGAAGCCTCAACCGTGTTGCTAAACAGGATGGCAAAATTTGGCAACAAATAGTCTGGTATGACAGTGGAGTTGGAACGACATCTGGTTGGCTCGGCAAAAAAAACACGAAGGGGCTATCGGTGCAGGCATTGAGGGCAACATCATTGAAGCTTACAATTTTGTGGTCTTGAATTGGTCTCCAGGCGACCAGGTTCTTTGCTTTGGATTTTCCAGAGGTGCTTACACCGCAAGGTCGATTGCTGGATTGATATCCGATATCGGAATCTGTGAACCTCGACAGCTGCAGGATTTCCCGAGATCTGGGAAGCCTACAAATCGAATTACCAAGGAGAGCGCTTCCATGGAAGCGACGCTTACTTGACTACATGGATGGTACTCCCGCTGCCGACGAAGACCAGCTAGACGATTTTGGCTGGAAGAACCGCGATTTCAGATGGAAAAAACGACCTCAAGGAAGCTGGGCGACAACTCCGGAATCCAGGGATGTTGAGGTGGTGGGAGTGTATGACACTGTCGGCGCCCTGGGGCTCCCTGAAATGCTTGGGTACAAACTTGCTTGGGGACCCGACAAACACGGCTTCCACAATGTCAAGCTCAATCCAAGTGAGTATCTTGCTTCTTCATGCCTTGCGTCTTTCAGTCTCTGCTGACACATAGATAGACATCAAGCATGCATTCCAGGCTCTGGCTCTCGATGAGCACCGTGAGGCATTCTCTCCGACACTGTGGCATCTGCCTGAGGAAGAGACACGCAGCCCAGAGCAACTTCTTGAGCAACAGAAGCTTATTGAAGAGGCAGTTGCCGCATGGTACCCCAAGGCATATGATAAGAAAGTCCCCCTCGCAGAGAGGCAGAAGCTCAAGGCTGCATACAACCAGGCGAGACGAGATTTAGTCCGCATGCAAGAAAACAGCAAGAAGCCATCCGAGCTGCTGCAAGTTTGGTTCCCAGGCGTACATATCAACATTGGAGGCGGTTCGAGTGATTCGTTGCAAGACAAAGGCGATCTCGAAGGTGAGTCCGATTGATCAACATGGGTCTTGTCAGTCTCTTACTAATGGCATCAGAAATGGCCGACATCACCTTTTCTTGGATGCTTGATCAGATCGGCAAGTATGTTTCAATCAACGAGACAGTGATTTACCAGGATGCTTGTGCGCGCCAAAACCATGTCGAAGAGCTAAACGATGAATTACGCAAGTATGACTTGAAAGTCGCTCAAGGCAAGAAGGAAGCTGCCGAGAGAAGTTGGGGGCAATGGGCAAATCATGCGCTTGTATATGCTGCAGACACCGTCATGCACCCTCTCACTAGGCCACAAAACCCAACACCAAACGACACGACATGGGCTGGGGCACGGGCACGATCATCGACAGCTACACTCCCATGTACCATGTTAATGGCTCAAAACCTCGCACGCCTGGTGTTGACGCCAACACCAACGAGGAAATCCATCCAACCGTCGGATACAGACAAAAGATGTTCAAGAAGCTCGGCGACACCAAGTTAATCTATCGCCCGGCTGGAATCAATGAAGAGCAGGGGAACAAGCTTAGACGGATCGCTGATGGTCGATACGTGTACGTGTTCCCCGGTGCTACAAGGCCTCTTCCTGAGTACAAGATCAAGCCGAACGGGTTTGAAAGGCACGCATTGTCAAACGCGTGGGACTATAGGTCGAGGGATTCGGATGGTAAGCCATTGACGCGGGAAACACCGGCAAAGTACGTGAGAAGGTCGGACATTCAAAATGGATTCAATGTCGAGAATGAGATGCCACTTACGATGAAGGTTCCAGTGATGAGGATGGGCATTGATCTAAACGGACATGGATTATAGTGTTTAGTAGCCTTATAGGAATAGCTTTAATGACTTTAAGAGCTTTGCGAAATTTCCATCCGTTAATTACGCAAAATCTATCGAGTCGTTTCCTTGCGCACTCTAACCACGCACCGTACGATGACTTTAATAACCGCTAAAGATATAAAACACGATTAGAGTTATAATATCCTATAACTAGCCGAGGTTAGGGATAGGGTTAGCAGCATTTCGATACGCTTCTATATAAGCTATTCTTGCTTGTCTAACTACTTTTCTATATAAGAACAAAGAAAAAGGGTACGATAAAAAGGAAGAGGGAAACAAAAGAAAAAAGGAAAAGAAATCTATCTAGTCTATACCATATCCTAGCCAGTTCCTAGCCCGGAGTCTTACTAGAGTGGTAGAGATATACTTATCTAGCCACTCCGAGGTGCTAGGACTAAGGGACTTTGGAATTCTTTGTAGGTTTGTAAGGTCTTCTTTCCTAGAAGGCCTCCTTAGCTAAGGATAAACGGCTTAAAAGCTCGGCCTAGGGTTTAGTATTTAAGTTTCTTAGCCCTTTCCGCGGCTAACAGGGTGTTATTAGGGTCCTTCCTAGCCGTTTCCTTGCCTAGCTAATAGGATCCATGGGTTGCACTACAGCCCGTCCGAAAAGGGTTTCGTAGGGTTATGTTTTCGGCGCTTGGCAGGGTAAAAGTGAAGTTGAACCTATAGCAGAACCCCGATCTTGTAAGTTGTACAAACACGACCCAATATTTGTGAATTTGTGCTAGAAATGAGTCAATATGATATAAAAGCAATTGCACCATCCAGATTTCTCGTTCTGGCTGCAATTTGTTGGATATCGTCGTCCAAAACATGGTAGGTACGACTTTTGAAGTTTGCCAAGAATTGCGCCCGCAGCTTCATTTAGCTTCAAACAAGCATACAAGGTCACCCCGACACCATTGATTTTAACATTAAGAATAAACATGCAAGCAAAATCGGGTCCATTATAGGTTGTCGCATTAGCAGAACCGCCAGTTGATATTATAGCTTCATTGTCACAACTGCTTAAGGGTATGTCATCTAGCAGTCACGACAGGTTAGTCGTAAGGTAGAGTAACTAGTTTAATAATTCGATGACTACGAACTTTTTTGACCCGAGACTTACCATCTCGGCGTACTGTGTTTACGGCTGCTGCAGCGTCTTAAGGACTAGTACTTAGACCATCTATACTAGCAGTTAGCTCTAAATCACGATTAGCAACTATAAGATTATTGCTTTCTATGCGCTTTCTCTTCTAGGAGCTGTCTTTTATCTACCTATAATGATTAATTAATTGATTAATTTAATTAATTAGGCTACAAAGTGTCTATATAAAGACCTAGCTAATAGAGTCCATAGGTTACACTATAGCCCGTCCGAAAAGAGCTTTATAGGGTTATGTTTCTAGCGCTTAGTAGGGTAGAAGTAAAGTTAAACCCGTAGTAGAACCCTAATCTTATAAGTTATATAAACATAACTTAATATCTATAGAACTATGCTAAAGATGAGTTAATATAATATAAAGGCAATTACACTATCTAGATTTCTAATTCTAGCTACCCTACATTAGATATTATTATCTAAAACATAGTAAGTATAACTTTTAAAGTTTGCTAAGAATTACGCCTATAACTCTACCTAACTTCTTATATATATATAAGGTTACTCTAATAACATAGACACTAGAGATTTAAAAAGAAGATATATAATATTATAGTATAGTAGATAGTAGTTAGTTCTTTAGTACTTATTAGTTATATAAGGGTAACTAGCTTAGTATTAGTTAGGTTTCCTATATTACTTTCTCTTTTTTTCTTAATACTTATATAGAAATATATACTTACTTATTACTATAAATTGTTCGATTATTATTACTTTATTATGCTTCTTACTATTATTATTTATATTGTTTAATTTTATTATTCTTTATAGTATACCCTACTTAGATTTACTACTAAGCACTATCTTTATCCTACTAGCTAACTATGTAATAACTATATTAATTATAGCACTATAATAGTAGCACTATATATATAAAACATTAGTGCTAATACTTAAAGTACTAAATTATACTACTTTATATAAACTATAGAGAGTACTATATAGAAACTCCTTAGTAGATCCGCATAGCATTATAACAAAATCTATTAAGCTACTATCTACCGCTTTCTATAAGTATAAATTACTATGCTTAGATGGAGGTATTATTAATAACCCCTTATCTTTAAGAAACTTTAAAAGTTATATTTACTATGTTTAGACAACAATTTTAACCTACTACGATTAATATTAAGTATTCTAACTCTTTTCCGCTACGTCTATTATCCTTTTATATAATATTATAAAAATCAAGCTATGCCTATATGACATATAAAACCGAGGTTCTATTATAGGCTCTACTTTAATTTTGCCCTACTTAGCGCCGAAATCGTACCCTTCTAAACTTCCTATCGTTTAGCTATAGTATAGCTCTAAGGGTCTCTGCTAGCTAGATTAGTATAGCTTGTCTAGGCATTAATAGAAAGACCTGTACCTTAATAAGATAACTTGTACTTAAGATATCATCCACCTATAGCATATGTCGATGTTAGTAACTCCCTTCTGCATAGTAAGATAGGTTGCATAGCGTTAATAATGAAACGCTAGGAGCTGGTTAATGTAACGTAAGTATACTTCGTATTCACTTACCAAGCTCCACCGAGTAGATTTCCCATAACTATAACTGTAGCAATACCTGCACCGATTTTATCACGCATATGTATCGTAGAGAGGGTGTCCTTAAGTACCAAGGCGTTTCCTGTTCCTGCACTATTTGCTACCGTTATACACTAATCAAATGAAACTCGGAGTAGTACAAACCTAGGATTGCCTTTCGACGTACCGCCAGTAGAACTGGAGAGCGGACCCTGGACCGTATGCACCAGATTTGATTAAACGACTTCTAGTGCTGACATTTGCTGTCCGAGGCCCCAGCTATCGTCCCAGTGGTTTATATACCATCTGGTGCCATAGGTGACATTGTCTTCGCCTCCACTGCAGGATCGTGCTGCGGCTTAAGCAGAAGATGCTAGGAGCGGTCTTGTTCGTGCGTAAAGCCAGGGTGCCACTTTTGTCGACGCCGCGAGCCAGCGAGATAGGTAAGCTTTAAAGCTANNAAGTACGAAATCAGCTGCGTCTTTATGACGTTTCTATCATCACGGAGTCGACTAAATATCAACAAAAAACAGTGCAAGTAGAGTCTAAAGAAAAGAGTTCACATACCTTAATTGATCCGTATTGCAATTGCCACCTAACTCACACGCAACCTCATACATAACACTTAGAGGATCATCCGTGAANAAGACAGACATTAAGTCAAAGATGCCTTAGGTGCGTTCGCGCCAATCGTTAGTTTCGGTGATGTTCCACATTGTCGCAGCTCCAAGTAAGTAAACGCCAGCGTTATAACTCCATTGAATGTGGTTAAGATCGGAGCAATTCATCCTGTCATCAGTGCCATCGAAGAACGTGTAGTCCTTAGTCATAAGGCCTACTATAGCTGTCCAGTCCCATGCGGTGTTAGCCTAATGGAGATACGTTTCGTTCTATGTATATGCGGCAAGTCTTGCAGCGAGATTGAAAAACAATCCATTTAAGATAGTGTTCTTATAGTTGTAGCCATTGTTAAAGGTGAACTTTTGCCATTTAAGACCGCCGCCGCAAGTGGCCTTGTCCCAGACAGCTACCTGGGTATTAAAGACAGCTTAAGCTAGTGCTAGCCACTATGGCTTGTCGTCTAGAGGATTCGGATAGTGGACTTCAGCCGCGGACATGGCGGCCAGCCCCCAAAAGCCTTAGTCATCATTCCCTAAGGATCTTGACTGGTTTACTAGCATGTAATCTGCATTTTCACCGGCTTGAAAAAGCATAGCGTCTATTACCAGATCGTTATAGGTTCCATCGCCAGTATAGTGCCAGTAATCAATCATCGCACCGAACATAGCACCTGCTTCCCACCAGAAGTATGGCTCAGGCAGTAAGCCGGGAACACCGCCTGTCTTATTGCCCTTGTAGTATGTCATCATGCCATACGCTATGATACTTGCCGTTTGCTTGATCGAGTCTGTTTCCTAGGGTTAGAGAAGTTATCGCCCGTTCGGATATCTTAGGCTCACCGTCATTACTAATGTCAAGGTCTAGTCCCACGGCCATTCGGAGCGCTAGGAGCGCAAAAATTGCAAGTCTTGCTAAACTAAGCGGCATAGCGTCTAGTATAGAGACCTAACAGAATCAAGGTTGCTAAAGAATATCTTAGGATTTCTTTAACGGCTGGAGGTGGAGCTGGCGTCTGATGCAAGAGCAAGTCGATGTTCTGGTCTAATAGTGCATAAGGGTTTGTCCCATTTACTTCGGGGAGAGCTCGCATACTAGAGGTTGGATTAAGAAAGGTAGATGCGATATAGCGTAAGCAAATAGATGATGGTGGCACGTTAGCAAGACTGCAAGGATGGTGTGGTAGAATATAGGAACTGTAATAACGCGTAAGAGGACCTCTCGCAAGATTGTAGCAGGGATGACGTGGAAGTGAGTTCTACTAATAGGGTTCAACAATGTAAGGAGGTCATCGATGAGATCGGATAGGGCGAGCTATAGTGGATCCTACAAAAGTCATGGCCCATCTTTATATGCATAAAAAGCCACTAGGCAAGTAAGCCAAGTAAGCTAGGGTTCTCCGCAATCGTTTATGTTGAGTGGACGAATCGGCAGGGTGTGTAATTAGCCGCTCAGTATCTCCGGCTAAGCCCGTGAGCAAAGTCTAATTGACGTCAACTATCAACAAGGGTGCCTACATTAGAGCTATAGAAATAATCGTCGACAGCCATATACCACGTACATCACTAGAATGAGAGTATTCTTGCTAATAGAAATCTTTATGTGCTCTATACCTCGATTCAAACCTACGACAAAACGTATCAACACTTTTCAAGATCTTATACGGTACTACAAAGTGTAGTAGGTATCGAAGCTATCAGATTATGGAAGGGGATGATGTTATCAAGAGCATAAGACTCAATTCTTATTAGAAGTTTTGCGTGGATCATCGGCTTAACTATCGAGAAAGTTGACTATTAAGCAGTAGAACTGTCGTCCATCTTATGCAACTAATCCATTATCTGTTGTCGATCATGTAACAACACCACAAATATGAAAGTCACCAGTATTGCCTAGCCCATTGTGGGCAATAACCCCACAAAAATCCTTCGAGAACTTAGTGTATAGAACTCTTGCTAGACCAGGGTCTTCTCCGTCTAGACCGCTTCGCTTTGTATTCCAATTATATAGATGGCCGTCACCAAAAACAGGAAACTCAAAGAGCTCGTTGGCCTTTGCTGCTGCATCACAATTGCGACCAAGAGGAGATCTCCTCCATTGATGAAGTAATGTGGATATCCTGATAGACCTGGCGCCAATGGTGCTTGATAAAGAGTACTCTCTGCAGTGCTATATTTGATTAGTCCTCCCTAGTTGGGAAACGTTGCTGGTGGAGCTGCATCGCAATCGAAGGTCTTGCGGATGTTAGATTATAGTTCTGATACCGTGTTAAATATTCTCCACTCACATAGTCCTGCCTGCGAAACAACCCACTATCGCTAGCGTTGGTATCGAGAGGAGCTGCAACTGCGGAAGCCGCCAGGAGTATAAAGCTGATGGCAGTCTTAATAGGAGACATGGTATCAAGGATGTTATGCGTAATAGTCGATAGCGTAGATAAGGATACCGTAGGTCTTGGCTACAATTTTTGGATGATAGACTGACGTGAAGAAGGGATAGAAGCAGAAGGTAGTGTGATTTGCGAGTTGTTGTCAGACCTGGTGTGCTCCATGGGCACATATATATATTCTTGCTCTAGAGGAAAGAACCCTAGCTCTGATCATCACTACAGCCTACTAATCCTTTTCTGATAAGTAGACGGGCTTCGTGATTCGACAAAGATCTCCGCCATATCCTATCAGCCGTGTTGTTGGCAATGCATCCTTCGATGATCTTAGCAACACCTTGGCTCCCCGATCCGTCGCATACTAGCTAAGGAACAACAAGATATGGTCTGATGACGCAAGTGCGAATGGAGAGGACTCATTCTGCAACCAATGAGAAGAGAGTCTTTATGATCCATCGCGCGTCAGAAGTCGTCTTTACCTAGCCACCTCACATGGACTAAGCTCCGCGGCGCCTTAGGGTAAGCCTATAGCAGTACATCCACTATACATGTATGCAGGGCTCGATAATCACTAGGTGGACTCGTCGGAATCCTACTAGAGTGGCCCGCGGAACAATAGATCTAGTCAGATGATAGTTTACTTAGAGATCTCGACCTCTCCAAGATTACGGGGTCGACTGTAGCGATGGCAGATCATGTCGGTCATCTTAAAAAGCACACGAGTGGCCTTACTCGGTGTATCTGTATTTCTAAAGAACTGCTCAATCATCGCACTACTAGTAAGAGTGAAACCGATGACCTGAAATTTGTCAACCAATGCTATCATCCATGGAAATCGCTACTACGATCTGATGATGTATCTCTGTTATGCCAAGCGTGCTAATGATAGTGTCGCATATCCACGTCAAGGGAATCCTCTATACATTCATGCAAAGTGAAGGTCTAACAAGCATAGAATCATCACCTGAACGCAAACTCTATGTGTATCTTGGAAGGATACTAGATCATTATCGTGCATTATACGGTCTAACTTAGCCCGGCTTGTGGATTCTTAAAGGAGGATCATTCTAGTTTGCATGATCTGCGTGATCCTTATCCGAGTGTACAGAGAAGCCTGTATTCTATGTAGGGATTAAACGCTAAGAAATTACGTGTAGATGTTTTAGCACGAGAATCCGAGCTCGAGCAGATATACATCATCCTCTAGATGGACGATATAAAAGTATCAAGACGCTAATCGCATGGAAGGATTGTCGCTAGAGACCACTACTGTCTTAGCTGGACAGCGGGACACTTGGCGATGACTTGCATAAGCTGCGATCTAGTGTATGACGGCTCCTTGCATGACGATTTTCTATGACGCAGTTTGTCGAGTTAGCCATTCGCCATGTTAATAACTGCCTACCTGATACCATCAGTTTATTCTTCGTCTTTTACAACACTTCATAAGATTATGTGCTAGAGCAGATTTCATCCTATCGTAAATTATGACTACGTCAACGTTGTCGCTACACCTTCAGGATGGGGACAACAATCCCGAATACGTCAAAGTCATATTTAGCACTCTTGTCCAACTAATCGGCTGCAAACAAGAGGGCAACGTATGTGTGTTAGGGATAGAAGTTATAAGTAGGAACGTCGTTAATTCTTCATTGTAGGAGCCTTATATAGCTGCATGCAAAGCTGCAAGGACGATTGACGCACTACGTCCGGACAATCACCCCGAACACTCATACCAGCATAAACTTCCTACATACAACTTTCTGTATGGGGTTTGGAGTACAATTCTCAGTACTGTCACACAAGCACAGTCTAACCATGATGCTATTCAGATGGTCGTCAATCTGGTAGCTGAACTAAAGAAGCTCGATATAATGACACTTAACATCTGGGGAGAAGACATAAGGCTCTGGACAGAGTTGCCACTGCTTGGTCCCGAATATCGAGAGCTAAGGGAGCAGTTCCAAAAGAAGAGTTCGAAAAAGCGGTNNCTTAAAGTGTTCCGAGACAAGCTAGAAGCAGATGGTGTCGTTACCCTCTTCAACGGGTGAAGGGTTGTGTTACGATTCGTCATCAGGCAGGACTGCTCGCTACCCTAGCAGGCAAGTAGAGTGAGGCTACGTGCCGAACATCACTTGCTTGGCAAGTAAGCATGCCGTACGGACAGGGTTACGATAGCAACTCACCCGCTTGGCGAGTGAGCTGCAACGAAGATCCTTACTTTCTCACGCCAGAAGCAAGCGAGCTCGCTCCTGCAGGTCGTAAGCGGCCTGTGTACGCTCACTCATAACCAAGTATATAGGTGGGCGGGAACTCGTTAGGAGGTCCTACGTTCGACTCGGTTAGTTATTCCAACAGTCCTTTTGGTCTACACTATGATCACGTTACACGCTTTACTTGCTTGACACTCCGCTTTACGAGTCCGGTCCTGTGACCTACGATCTTGTCCGATAAGATAGTTGGCCATAACAGGTTGTAGGGTGCTCGATGTCGTGTTCCTTCTAATAGGCAAATCGTTTAATTGTCACTTTACTTTTACCCAACCACAAGCTGCCTCTGTCACCCCAATACCTCTAATCACAAATGTTAAGAAACTAGATCCATGGTCTGCTTTGTAATTTATATAGTCATCTCTTCGGGTTCTTCGTCAGACGAGTCCTGAACTACTCGTAGCAAGTGGTTGGATTTGCGCAGGTGAAAAGCAGGCTGTTAAGCAGTTCCATCATGCGTCTGACTCGGTGCCACTTCTTAGTCGCCAAATGTATGTCTTCTAACTTGCTCAAGACCAGCCACTAAAGGTACAAGATCTGCTTTCAAAGAGGCTAGGGCACGAAGCGCATAGTCGCGACAAGAGTCACAACAGTTACGAACGAGTTCAGACGAAGAGGTGCCATGCTTTTCGAAATACGCATAGATCTCAGCAAATTTAGCAAACATGCGAGCGAACTCAGGGCCATCATAGGTTGTTGCATTAGCAGAACCATCCACCGATGTTACTGCTTCGTTATCAAAACTGCTTAAGGGAATGTCATCTAACAGTTGCGACAGGCCGGCAGTAGGGGAGTCGCAAGGTGGAGTGACTGGTTCAATGATCCGATAGCCACGGACTCTTTCGATTCGAGACTCGCCGTCTCGGCGTACTGTGTTTGTAGCTTCCGCTACGTCTTAAGGACCAGTACCTAGACAATCTGTACCATCACTTGGCTTTAATCCAGGATTGGCAATAGCAAGATCGTCGCTTTCTGTGCGCTTTCTCTTTCGGGAACTGTCTTCTGTCTGAACAGCAGAAGTGGGCTGCTGTTGCGGTGTTGTCGGGACCATAGGCATCAATTCTAGTACATCTTCCCGAACGCTCGAGGCCGATGCATTCATGGTACTGTTGAAAAACTTGACATCTTCCGGAATAAGCTTACGAGTCTTCAAGATTCGCGTTCGAGGAGGACGGTTTGCAGGATCAAGACGTCTCTCGATAGCACAACGCCAACCGACCACAGCTTGTTGCTGATCCGGCACGTTTGCACTAGTGATGGCCACTTCACTTAGCATTCTCTTAGACAGGTCTTTGACAGACTCGGCAGGTCTCATAGAAGCAGGAATAGTATCAAGCTAGTTGTCGCCCCATTTCTCAGCAATGGATTGCTGGTGGTTCTCTTTGGACCATTAAGCAGAGGTGCCAACAACGACCATGACTTTCAGCACTTTGTGATTGGCAACGCTGTCAATGAAAGCTTGTTCACTACGCAGGTTTGGGTCTAGGTGAGTGTCCCACAGGTTGTTGATCTTTACCCATCGCTAGATGTAAGCAGCTTAGACACTAGCGCTCTCCGCTCGGTCGGCTGCAGCAGCGAGCAGGTCGCTCGCGGCTTGTATAGGTGAGACATCGGGACCAGGGTTGTTTAGGTAATCCCAAATCGAGACGTCAGGCTTGTCTGGGAGTCCGTGATTGCGCAGTTCCGATTCGACGTCGGCGGGCGACATCATCTGGAGCCGAGCTTCGGTCTCTCCAGCATCGGCTCTAGCTCGAAGGGATTGGTGTTGACGTTGCACTTGGGACGGCGAGGGACGCTCGGTCCGGCGACCACTTGCGTGCTAGGAAGTGCAGAGGGTCGAGGTGCAAGAGGCACCGCTGACGGCACTTACGAAGCGTCGCGGACAAGGCGCTGTGGAGAAACGACATCGTTCTGGAGTTCGGCAGTCGCTACAGCATCGACAGAGTTTGGTTCAAGTCGATAGAGAACACGTGTGCGGACATTTTTTACGCCCGCCATCGTTATAGCTATAGGAATAACTACTGTTCGATTCTCTGCTAAACTTATGTAGATCCACCCCGCCCGAGCAAGACAGAAAGATCGGGCAAGAGTGAAAAGCAAGGTGTGAGATAACAAAAGAGGGGAAAGGAGAAAGAGAAAGATAGTACGCTAAGCTGAATTCTGGAGGAACGCAAGAGCGTGGCGGGGAAACGCGAAGCATATATTGGATTTGACAAGGGTGGAGGCGTCCTAGGCTTAGCCCCCACACCCCGTTGGACAGACAGGTATCCCGCTAGACCGTTCTCATAAAACATTGCAAACCATCAGCAAGCAAGATGCATAGGTATCGCATGATCAGCCCGCAGGTTGCATAATGCTACAAGCAAGGTTCTGTGTGTATGTGTGTGTTTCGCGACAGCTCTCTGATAAGAGACACTACGAGAGGGCAAGACGCGTCGGCGAATCTCCCACTTTTCTCTGTTCTCTACGGTGTCTTTTCTTGCTATTGTTCATCCATTCATACGTACGCTCAGCTTCTCTCACGAACGACCTAGCAGGAGAAAGTATACAATCATCCATCTCGACTTGCTTTTAGCTAGAAGACATGGAGCTAGCATTTCGGTTGACTGAACACGCTCTAGAGCCGGCCGGCGAGGACGACACGGCTAGAGTAACGACGCGTCAAGAAGGCAGTACCGAGGAGACAGAGCAGCAAGACATCGCAGCAGCCATGTCAAACTACGTCTATCTAGCAGAGTACGAAGTTCTCATCTGCAAGGAACACGGCTACGCAGTGCGAGGCTTAGATAGCCATCTGCGCTTAATCCATACTTCTTACACTTCTACATCGAAGAAGGCAAGAGCTGCACTAAGACAGCATCACAGCAAGCGTAACATGCCAGATCCATCCATAGTCCGTCTGCCCGAGCTAGAACAGCCGGCGATCGAGTATTTATGCAAGCCAATCCTAGGCTACTACTGCATCTTTAACCAGCAGAACAGCGATGGCGAACGAGACGCCTAAGGAAACGCATCGACAGCAACAGACTCCCCGGTCACTGCGGCTTTACTACCAGCGACCGTACCAACATCGGCAAACACTGTCGTAATGCACACGGCTGGAAGTCTACCAACGAAGACCGTCAGTGCTGGAAAGATCTCTACATCCAGACATTTTGCAAGAGTTCAGGCAAACAAAAGTGGTTTGTCGTCAAGCCACCCGAGCAGATCGACAGGGAAAGAGCATGCGCTAAAGAGTCACTCCCCGAGCTAAGCAGATCTAGTTCGACGGCATCAGAGACGACTTTCAGAAGTTGAAAGAGCAGCGGCAGAAAGAGCAGGAGATGCTGGCAGACAAGGTCGAGAAATGCGAGAACACCGGATAGTGGAACAAGACAAGATGGAGAGAGCATCTCAAGAATTGCAATTTCATCCATCTCTCGTACGCCAGTCGGCTGCCCGAGAAGGATGAAGAAGCGTTGCTCAAGGTAGCAGCGGTGATCGAGAAGATGGTCGAGAGGGGTGTCTCAGGACTGAACTCGATGCCGGAAGGCTTGCGTCGTTGGCTTCGAAGTGCAGAGATGCATAAGCCAGACGTGAGACCGCTAGCCCGGTTACAGAATCTAGAGAGTCAAGAACGGTACACCGGGTACTCGAAGCGAATGATTTGCTACTGTCTGCGAGTGTGGTGCACTCGTAATGAAGCTATAGACGATCATCAGTCAAGCGGCGGCGATGGCAGCGACAACAACGAAGATACCGCAAGCAGCAACACCGATACCGACGATGACCGCGATGATGACGACCACGATGACGACGACCACGACGACGACACCGATGACAACTCCAACACAGATCCGCAACACGATCAAGAGAGACGGCAACGCCAAGCATAAGATCAAATGCACGATGCCCGGAGGCTCTTCCTATGGAGCGACCAACTCGAAAGCGCATTAGAGCAAGTGTGGAGATTGATCGTTCTCGAGGGAGAAACATCATCCGTAGAAGACGATCAAATCCCAGCGATGGTAGAGCTCGGTCGGGTATTGTTGTTTAGAAAGGTGTGGAACGACCGCTTCGACAGCGCTGTAATCCATTTCATGGCCGTGATGGGTATCGACGAGACCAACGCTCGGCTACGCGATGGTAACGACTACTCTTACATGATCGCCGGACTCGTGTACGTGTCTAGGATCGTGGCCGCCGAGGCTCTGCTCCCGTCACTCGACCGCGAAAACCAAGGAGAGGCCGACTTCGAGGCATTTCTCGAGCAGAGGAAAGAATTTCTAGCCGACGGATCGATGAGCGTGATGGGAGAGATGTTGAGCTTGCTGGCGTACGGAAAGAAGATCGCAAAGAACTTCCACGCCCAGGGAAAGCTTCACTGGACTTACGACGGAGCCGGCGTCGCTCTCGGCAGCATCGAGTTCACGGTGTACAACTTCAAGTCCATGGCACGCTCCGCTCTAGACGATTGCGAAGACTACATGTGGAGAGATCTCATGTAGGCAGGCCGCAAGGGAGATCACTTTGTGTTAGATCTCGATGGCATCACCGACGACATGACGGTCAAGAAGAGAGGCTGGTACTTCGGTGCCGATCCGAACCAGGATCTCGAAGCATAAGGTCTCGACTAGATGTCGAAGAGGATGCTAGGCTCGAGCCACGGGAAGAAGATGCGCAGAGGTGACTAGTGGCAGTCGAGACTGGTGGCCAACTATCTCCGAAGGGTGGACAAGTTCAGAGAGCTGTTCATGTTCTGCGTGCACGTCTTAAGCGGCCAACCCGCTAGAGGAACCGAGATCACCAGTTTGCGCTTCCGTAACGGAGTGGCTAACCACCGCAACGTCTTCGTCTTGGATGGCAGAGTGATGACGGTGACGAGCTACCACAAGTCACAAGCAATGCTCGACATGCCCAAGATGGTGCCACGCTTCTTGCCGTGGAAACTAGGTCAGATCGCGGTCATCTATCTCACCCACGTGCGGGCGTTCGCCGAGTTGCTGTCGGTGCAGGTACAGCACGGTCAAGGATGGAGCGATTACATCTGGGCGGACTCGCACGGCCCGTGGGAGACGCAGAAGCTCACCGACACGATGAAACGAGAGACGGCCAAACGACTGACGGCCAAGCTACACACCCAAAGCTACAGACACGCCGCCGTCTTTCTAGGCAGGAGGTTCGTCGGCCCAAGGTTCGCCAAAGGCTACGGAGAGGAAGCCGAAGATCCGGAAGAAGCCTAGGCGGATGACGATCTCGAGGAGGGCAACGCGATCGAGCTACAGAAAGCCGGCGGTTTCGGCACCGGAGCCGGCAGATACGCGGTTAGAGCGGCCATCTTGAAGTATCTTAACCAAGAGTCGATCGACATCTTCGGCGATCTTAGCGAAAGCTGGCACGGGTTTTTCGAGCTCGACCACAGAGATCCGAAAAGAAAGAGAAAGGCCGAAAGCAGCAACAAAGCCGATGGGATGCAAACCGTCGACTTCGAAGGATTGAGGAAAGAGAGATTGATCAAGAGACTGCCCGCGGCTAAAGGAGGAGCCGTTACTGTTGCCGCCACTCCGACAGTGGATCTCTCACCGTTCTTACAACAATCCGAAAGACAGCAGAAGGAGATCGAAGACTTACGGATGAAACTCAAGGCGCAAGAAGTCGAACTGATAAGGCTCCAAGAAGAGGAGCTGCAGCAAGGACGGCGGCAGCAACCCATGACCCCGATCGTCGGCTTAGGCATCTACTCAAACAACGGAATGCCGACCCCGATGACAGAGGGAAACAGGCACGACTCTCACAACGATGATTCCAACGACAAGAACGACAGCAACGAAGTAATCTACATCGATGACGACGATGATGACCACCACCACCACCACCACCACCACTACCACGACGACGAATCCAGGTACTCTCCGAGGTGCAGCGGTAGGAACTACCAACAGCATCTGCAGCAGCAGCAGCAGCAGCAGCAACAGGGCCAGCAGCACGTAGACTAGGGACAGGAGGATTTGGGGAGAGGTGATGAGCAATTCGATGTGGGTGGTGAAGGAATTTCTGGTGTACAAGAGCGGAGAGAGGATGAGGCAATTTGATGATGGTGATGATGATGGTAAGGACAAGCAGGTCGACCACGACGACGACGACACAGACTCTTTCGTGGACATGGACATAGACGATGACGACTTCATTCTGGTGGATTCCGGGACCACGGAGACCGCTACAGCAGGAGTAGTAGCGGCGACACAAGCAGACCGACCACAAGACCGACAAGAGAGAGAACCGAAACAGCAACAGCAACAACGACAGGAAGATGACAGTCCGGATGCCCGCGATACCGCTGTTGAGAGACTGGAACGAACCGGAAAGATCCCCAGGATATCGAAGCGTCCACTATGCTCAGAGGTCAGTAGCAGAGAAGCGTTCGAAGCAAAGCTATCGATGTACAGAGGATGTTGCACGGTGTGCACGGCGCGATCGGGCAAGATAGAGCGTAGGCATACGTCATGGAGGGCTTGTCCGTTGGTGGAGAAGCTAGACTTGAGGGAGAAGATGGAAGCGATGGAGAAACGACTGGCCGGAATGCGAATGGAACAGACATCCGGTTGCAAAAAGTGCTGGAGACCGTGCATGCTGTGTGAGCAGTACAGAAAGAGGCCGGGAGCACAAGGAGGCTTGACGGAGAACAGATACATCAAGTGGGACAAGATACAGGGAGCGTGGTGTGGAGAAAGTGGAGAGTTCAAAGGAGATCAGCGAGTGAAAGATGATCTTCAAGGCATAGTTTTGGGATTGTTGTTCAGTTCGAGGGATGAGGTATGGGATTGGGCGGTTGAAGATGGAGGGTTGGCAGAGGACACTGGAAGCGACAACATGATAGTGATAGTGGAATGGTTGGCAAGCAAGAGCAAGGTGGGGTTGAGGATCAGAGAAGGGTGGATACAGAGTAGCAAATTATGTGAGCTGGTTTGGGCTTAGGGGTGAGGTGAGATTGGCCAAGTAATGAAGTAGTGAAGTGAGAGGCAAAGTGGTCGTCAACACAATGGAAAAAGTCAAGGTTCCCAAGTCGATCTGCCGGTCTCTAGGCCGTTCTAAAAGCAACAAGGCAAGAGTCAACAGAAGGAAATAGAAAAAAAAAAAGAGGAAGGAGGCTAGTCAACCCTGCAAGTGTCCCGAAAGGAGAAGAAGGAAATGTGCCAACCCTACCCATAATTGATTGATTGATTGATTGATTTAATTGATCAGGCTACTTGGTTCTACGGCAAACCTATTAGCCGTCTCCTACTGGTTTTACCTTCTGTGTCCCTATCTGTCCTTGTTCCATTCTAGCTTCCCTTACTCGACAGCTCTCGTCTGCCACGCAAACCTGCCGGACTTGTGAAGGAAATGGAGGACCGCCTTCACCGCCGGGAGGTTCGCTTTCCATTTTTCCTTCGGCCCGTCGACTGGTCGCCCAGTTCTCGGGTCTTCCCAAGGATTCCACCCCCGAGTATGTAAGAAAGGTCCCTCCACCTGTGCCCTACTGCCTCGATGGCAGTTTGACGATCTTCGCGCAGGAGGGGCATTCGTATATGACGTGCTTAACAGTTTCTCGCGTGGCTCCGCATTCGCACCCTGCTGAGTCCACCAGTTTCATCCGGCATAGGTCACTCTTCAGTCGGGAGTGCCCTGTCCGGCATTGGGCGAGTATCGACGCCTCCTCCGCTGACAATGCATTATACACTGTCGCTATATTGGAGCCTGGAAGGGCTCCGTCTAGCTTCCACGTGTATGATCCAGCGTGTAGCGTGTCTTGAGGCCTTGTATTCCTAGCCTGTTTCCAGGTCTCGTCTAGCTTCTTTTAAAGTGTCTTCTTAGCCACCCTTAAGGCCATCTTCTTCGTAACTCCTGTGTAGCGTTGTTGGTATATTCTCGACTTTGCCATGCTGCGGTCGCGTGCCTACCACTAGAAGACAAAGGGTTCGAGTCGACGAGACCTTTGAAACCTCACACAAAATCAGGGTTTAGGGTTGCAACTTCGACCCGAGACCTTTGCTTTACAAGAGCCGAGACCTCTGCTCCAACAAGCTTTAAATCGGCCAAGATTAATACATCTAAGTTCTCAAATATGACTCTACTTGCGCACAAAAAACTGTATGTTTATAAGTAAGAATAAGAAAGTTGCTTTATGGTGATAATTGCGCGTAAGACGCACTTTGCGACAGATCTGGAAGCTTTCCCGCATTAGACCCTGGCAACCGACTACACACACATCAACAAAGCCCGATAGCACAGGAGCCCGTTGACGCGCTATTAATTTATGACATCTCCACACAGCAAGACTAAGACAGCATTCTTAGTCTTTTACTTTTGAGTCCGTCCTATCAATGGATTTCGATCGTCTGCTCCAGGTTAACGACAAACATAAGATCCTAATATGCATACCATGCCAGTACGCAATAATACCTTCGCAGCTAACAACACATCTACGGTCGCACCACTCGCGTCTCACTATAGAACAGCGCCGCGACTATATCACTGAAGTCAATGGCTGCTCGACTCTAGCAAATGTTCATGAAGCTATTATATACCCTACACCAACAGATCCTCCAGTCCCATGCCTTCCGGTCTATTTTGATGGGCTTAAGTGCAATGCACTGAACCATAAAGACATTGCTTGCGCTTACATATGTCGCGACCTACGCCGAATGCGAAAACACTGTAAAGATAAACATGGATGGATGAATGAGCAGAAACGTGGAGGAGACACGCGTAGTAAAAGCCTCCATGCAAGAAACAAGATCTGGACTACACACTGTGCTTGCCAGCGTTTCTTCAAGGTCAACAGCTGGCAAAAGTACTTTGAAGTAGCACAGCAGGATAGAGTACTAGACCCAAAGCTACAAGCATCTCAAAAGCAGGACTTTTTCCAGGCCATAGAGGGCGATATCCAGCAAGCACAGCAGGACGCTACCGACGACGCCAATCGAGTACATGGCTTTCACGATCACGTCTCTGCCGTGGTTCCGTGGTTAAGAGAGACAGGCGTTGCCAAACATATACAACATCTCCAGAAGGATGAAATTCAAACAGGAATTACTATTCCACCACCAGGAGATAGAAGTGATCTTCGTACGATTATCAACGCTATGCAATCGCTACTACAAGACGCGCATAGGCTGTATTTTGATGGGCTTAACTGTATGTTAACCTACCAATGCCGAGTTGTCCTTAGCCGCTTTCAACCGTCACAAGTCGATCTACAAGGCAAGACTAGGCCGTTTGATCCACATAAAGGGTCAAAGAGCCTTGAGACATACTTTGGAATAGCATGTCGATTTGTGTCGTTCTTTACTAGAGTCGTCGCTCCTGATGAGTACCACTTTAGTGTAGCAGCTGAAGACAGCGACGACATACAGAGACCAGAAGATATTACCGAGGCAACAGACCAGCAGTTAGCAGTGTGGCAAGACATACGCCAGCTTGCTCAGCAGAGTCAAACAGATTCTATCGAAGGAGACGAATGTACTAGCGACAAGGCCAATGGGACGAAGCTAAAGGATCGATAAGTCCCAACTACAACAACCGTTGACGTCGTCGACTATGACCTCGAATATAATACCAGCTACGAGGGGGACGGTTCGCCTTCGCCTTCTACAATTATATCAGCTGCAAGAGACGAGGCCACGATCCATGGTTGTCTCGTCGGATGTAGCGCCAGCCACAATTGCGTTGCTATGCGTTACTCCTTGAACAACAACGCTTGTTTCCTGTACAGCTTTGTAGATCTCAACTCGAAGATTGAGGGAGCTCTGGAATTACGATTGCGATCAAGGCCTCAATCGCTACATCAACCACTTCATCTATCGTTGCTCCAACCCCGACTGCTAATGCTCATGATGTCGTCATTTCCGAGAGCCTTCAACCTTTCTGTACAAGCCTGCTCGGATTCACAACCCCCTCAGTCACCGTCACCTCGACAATCACCTCGACGGAAGCATTAGAGGTCATCTCGCTTACTACAGAGACCATAACCTCAACATCCACAGGCTATTTCGAAACCGTGACTTTTTATACTTCGACCGCAGTCGAAGTCACTTCTTCACGGTTTCCAGCACAACCTAGAACGTCGCGCCGGGATGATGAATTTCCGACACGTGTGAGCTCAAGCCAGGCCAGTGTTATTATCACTCCAAGCGCTCTTGCCCCATACGAAGCCAGCTTGGTCACTTCAGCTTGCAGCAAAGCAGCTCCGGTACCTGATCCAATAACAATCTCAGAGCTCACTACAGTGGCCTCGGTGGCTGTTACCTCAGACCTACAAACCACGACAAGCATCTTGCTCGTAATCGAAGATGCCATCTCTACCGCCTATGCAGAAACAACTCTCACCGTGGCGGCGACGGTCGATGCTTACGACATCATCACTTCGGATGGCCTTGAGGAATATTGCACCTCGTATCTTGGCTTCGCAGCCGAGACCACCACGATTGACGAAGTTTACTCGACAGAATCCGTCTCCTCCACTGTCACCAACTTGGCGACCGAGACTATTACACTAACAGAATCTGCTACTGTCAATATCATACGAGTACATACTGCAATTACCACATATGCAATCCCCGGTGGTCAGATCAAGCGCCGCACTGCTCAGAATGAGACGGGTGCTGAGCAGGCGGCTGCTGCTGCATCAAGGGCATTTGTAAGCCTCAATGCTTCACCAAGCCCAGTACGACGAGACTTGGGTGATGCAAGTGGCATGGACCCATACCCTCCGAGCAAATCAGTTCTGGCCGTAGTCGTGTAGTAACGCCGGCGCCCACCCAAACAATCACCAATTCTGTCGTTATGACAGTGACAATACCAACAACCATGACTGACATTGAAACAACAACTATGACCTTGACTCAACAGACCACCGCGACCCTCAACGCGTCCACCACAGTCACAGTACCGAATCCCTTGTGTACTTCGGACAAGTTTGTCGTAGCCAATGGCGACCGAGCAAACCAGTACCTTCAAGATCTTGGTGTGGCTCCTGGTTACTACTACTATATCGGCTTCACATCCGACTCTTCTGCTGCGTCCACTTACATCATGCGACCCGATAGTCAGAGGGTATAAGGCGGGAACAATGGCTATAGTTGGGCTGCATACACGATCTACGGCCTCTCGTACCTGCTTCAGTCCACAGACTCCTTCTATCCCTACTTGTCAGGTGTCGACCGTATATTGTGCACGATTGGAAACGGCGATTCGGATATCTCTGATGCTGTAGGCACATTGGCTTGCGTCTTTACTAGCGGTAACAGGGCACCGTTTTTGAACTGCCCATCGGCACACGACGCAGATCTATTTGGGGGCACCTCTGGCTACTCTTGTGCAGAGATTCAGCTTGCAGCTATACCAGCATGCTAGGCTGTATGGTCTACAACGAGATCAAGGCCGAATTATACAAGTTTATGTTGAATCTCTCTTACCGTTAGGTTCCCAACGTGTGTATGCCCACAACCCTTTTTGACTGGCATTTTAGCTAAGACTGGTATATAGACATGTAGCGCTCTAAGTACATAATGCTTAAATCATAGTATGTTGTGTCCTTCTAGCATTGGAATCATAAGAATTGTGTGATTAGAGCGACTGTTTTAGTCTATCGACTATCTAGCTAAAAGGGTAAACGCTGTTAGCCCTTATTAGAAGATTAAGCAGTGTGGTTTTCCTCTAATTGGCTGGAATACGTTAATGAAGTCCTAATAAGAACAATTTCTTTCCCGCTAATAGTGTAGAAACCATTTTCCACCTACAAACTTTTGTAAGCTTCGGCTAGTCTCATAATCCCTTTCTGTTGGTCTTCTGCAGATTCAAATGTAAAACAAAGTCTCATATGGTCTCCAAAAGGCAGCGAGTTCGTCTGAGTCCTTGGAACAGCAGCCAAAGGTCCCCGACTGACCAAGACGCCAAACTGCTCTGCCTTTTCTGCCAACACATCAACGTCGACCCCGTCAGGCAAACGAAGCCATATGAAAAAGCCGCCCATGATCTTGCCGTTGGTCAACTTTTCGTCCAAGCGAAATCCAAGTGGATAAAGATCTTGCTTGATAGCCGCGACGAGCGAGTGGAATCGCGTGGAGTATTCCGAGATTAATGATTTCCGGATTTGTTCGTCAAAAGTCCCCTGCTCGAAAATCTCGTTGATAATGGACGACATTAATTGAGATGGAGCGCCACCAGAACGAGTCGAGCCGCTATAGAGAGTGTTAGCAGAATCCAGATGAACTGAGTGCGAGACGGCAAGGTCAACTCACGCTTGAGAAAGACCATGAATAAATCTTGGTGTAGCCTCGGCCCATCCAACACGACAACCTGGACCAATGATTTTACTGAAGCTTCCATTGCTGACACAGTTTCCAAAGTCATCTGCCTGCAATTCTTGCCCTTGATCACTTCTGTCCAGGTCGACAACTCGAGTGATATCGATTGGGCTAGTATCTGGCTGTGCATGCCATTCTGTAGGCCAGTGAACGAGATCGTACACATCGTCGCAGACGATCAAGGCATCGTGTTTGCGAGCTAGTTGGATCAGTGCTTTCCGTCGAGATTGCGACATGGTGCATCCAGTCGGATTGGAGAAGGATGGCACACAGTAGATGACGTGTTTGTAGAATTTGCGATGTGGTTGATTTGGCTTGGTTGGGACCCAAGGCTGCACTTGTCAGCTTCACATCAACACAAGACAATGTGCTGCTAACTCCNNTACCGTTTGTCCATCAGTAGAAGCTTCTGCCTGCTCCATTTTGGCTGTAAGATGGCTGACGTTTATCCCCTCATTGTCGGCTGGTACACCTTGCAACTTGTCGCCATGGAAGCCCGAATCTTCGAAGATACGAAATGCAAGAAAGTACGACGGTTCCACGACCCAGACACCAAGAGTATATACAGGATCAGTGTAGACCTGCAAGATACAAGCTAAATTCTGACTTGCACCTCCAGTGATGCAGATTCGATCGACGCAAGGCTTTGAGGGTGTGCCGTAGTAGTTGTTGAGGTATTCAGCCAGGTTTCGCCGAAGGGGCAGATGACCCTTATCATCGCCATAGTTGAGACCTGGTTGAAAAATGTTCGGCTCAGATAAAGCAGCTGAAGAGGCGCTCAGGATCTGGGCTGCTGGAAGCAAATCTTGTGCTGGCCAGCCACGAAGGAGATCAATTTTGGTTGATTCGCCCATATCGACGATAGAAAATGTGGAAAGAGGTCGGAGCTGGAGAGTTGACGCGCAGACTCAACAGAAATCTCCTTTTGATCATATATACCGGTCGATCAAGCACAAACCGAGAAGAAAGCATGCTGCGACACAAATACCACGCTAACCCGATCGGGTAATGTAGGCGTTCTAACCAATCGGGTGCTGACTCCAACCCCAACGGTGGATCTAGGTCCAACAAGGGTAAGTAGCCTGGCAAGCATATAACAGGATGTGACTCTCTTCTTCATCTTTGATTCTCTTTACTCACTGTCAATCAACCTTTTCCATCATATCATTCGAGATCAGACGTCAATATGGTTCGCGTCAAGGAATTCGCCGTCGAGCATGTACGATCAATCTTCTTATGCCAAGGTATAGGTCGCTAATCTTGGCATCACAGTACATGGATGACTATGAGAATGTTTGCACATACAACCTTGCCGAGACTTGCTGCGCATCCGTGTCCCTGAACGATCTGCGAGGCTATGCAAAAACGCCCGACGTTGAGATTGTCGATTATTCGCAGAAGCAGGTTTACGGAGCAATCAGAGGCTCGGACGCTCTGAGAGACACCATTGCCAGACTTTACTCGGATGCGACAACTTCTCCCATCACTTCTAGCAAGGTTTTGATTACCAACGGCGCAATTCAGGCAAACTTTCTTGCTCTGTACGCGACCGTCGGACCTGGAGACCACGTCATCTGCCAATACCCTACCTACCAGCAGCTTTATACAATCCCAGAATCCTTCGGAGTTGAAGTCGACCTTTGGCGATCTAAGCCTGAAGATGGGTGGAAACTCGATCTGGATGAGCTTCGTTCACTCATCAAGCCGAACACAAAGCTCATCATCATCAAGTGCGTTACATCAAGCCCATACATTAGCATCAATGCTCAGTCACTGACCTCCAGACNNAGCAACCCTCAGAACCCAACCGGAGCCGTGCAGTCACGCCAGACTTTGGAAGGAATTGTCGAAATCGCCCGTGCACACGATATCACAATTCACAGTGATGAAGTGTACCGGCCCTTGTTTCACTCGACCGAGGAGATTCCCNCTTCGATAATTTCTCTCGGATATGAGAAGTGCTATGCAACAGGATCCATGTCCAAGGCTTACAGCTTGGCAGGTATTAGGCTGGGATGGATGGCGTCGCCAAGCCAGAGCATTATCGAGACCTGCGCAGCTTCCAGACACTACACCACCATCTCTGTCAGTCAGGTTGATGACCAAATCGNNAGATTTGCGCTTGGGCCTGCATACGAGGGATTGACCAAACGCAATTTGAATCTTGCCCGAGAGACTATCGCTTTAGTAGACGAGTTTGTGAAGAAGCATGACTGGGCCTGCGAATGGAATCGTCCTCAAGGTGGTACCACTGGTTTCCTCAAGTTTNTTGGCGAGCAGGGTGAACCAATCGATGATGTGGACTTTTGCAAAGTCCTTCTAGAGAAGACGGGAGTCATGCTTGTGCCTGGAAGTTTCTGTTTCGGAGACGGTGTGGACTTCAAGGGTTATGTCCGCGTGGGATTTGTCCAAGAGAGACAAGCCCTTGTCGATGGGTTGGAAAAATGGGAGGATTTTATGAAGACCGAGTACAAGGCACTGCCGTCCTTTTAGAACAGCACAAGCGTGGAACCAGTTTGCTTGATATATTCAAACCAGGATAGTTTGCCGTCAGATAACCAATACGCATTCATGACGCGTCTTGCTTCGGTAAAGGCGCCCAAACCGAGCAGTTGCATCTTTGCCATTCTTTGGTCAATCCGGTGTCGTTCCTCAATGCAGTCGGACTCGCATCCAACGCTAAAAAGTGGCCAGAGCAACAGGATTGTTCCCGTTGAGTCCTCGGCAATGTGATCCAAAGCCAACATTATCTTGCTGATTGCAAATCTGACCTTTGGGTGATCACTCGGCAACATCCCAACTTGACGGTACAGATGAAGAAGCGCCGCACCTATCCATGCTTCATGGGAAGACATGAGCTCAATCTTGCGCGTTGGTTCTTGAGCATTAGTTGGTACAAGCAGATCAGACGGACATGAGAGAGCAAGTAATTGTGACTCGAGAGAAGTTTCAGCATCTGACAACTGAACTGACATCATCTCCTCATGCCAGCTATTCGAAAGCTTCTCAATGCTCAAGATTAGAGGCATGATTTCTAAAGAGTATCCACAAAACTCGTCGACCTGAATTTGCGATGGCCTTTTGATCAAGTCAAGAATGGGATGCTTGTCGTCATCGGCGACAGAACTATGGCTGCCAGAAGCACTTGCGGACACATCCAGGATGGAGAACCATCTGGCGAGTCCTGATCTGAATGAAGCGGTTGAATCGGCAGGTTGGGATGTTTGCGATAGTCGTAGCAGATTCCTTGCACCAGCCAAATGAGTGCGGTAAGAATCTTGGGTTCCACTGCAAATGTCATTGGTACAGAGGGCTATGGCAGTAGCAACATGGTCGACGTCGACTGTCTTTTGTGCAGCAAGGTCTTGACGCAATGAAGTGATTGCAAGATTGGTGTATTTGAGAGTGGTTTCCTGGAAAGTTGTATCGGTAGTAAGGCGCGAATAATGGCTTGAAGATGCAGCAAGGAGAGCAAAAAGCAAACAAGGCGAGTCCAAGGCGGTGGATATCAGCTGGGAGGCGAATGAACTGGCAGCCAATGGGAACAGTAGCGCGACAGTTTGGGTCCCGAAATGATGAAGAAGAAAATTTGACTGGGAGTCGACCACATGACGGGACAAGGATTGTGCAGGTTGCTGAGGCGAAATTGTGAGTTTCGATGGAGGCCAAGGATTGTTCGATACTCTTGGAGGAGACGAGTAATTGACGAAGTGCTGGTTGTAACTGCAAAGCTTGGGNAAGCGAGAGCAGCGGCTGCAGACGGGTTTTTCAGGTCGCACTTGGCCTTCTTTCTTCTACACTCGGAGCAGCCATCGCGTCGACGAGAGCGAATGGAAGCATTTACATTGGACTGCATTGATGCTGAAGTGAGTCCACACAATTATTCATCTATACCGAGTCGTAGTCAAAAGCGACCAGAGGTGGCGATGAAGGGACCGAATGGCCTTGGGAAAAGTATCGGCGGATAATCTTCGGTCAATCTTAAATAGCAAAGCTCATCCTGCAAACTTCTTGATTAGTTATACGTACCTCGACCTCCTGTTACAAGCTAAGTCAAGCGTAACGGGTTCTACAACGATTATTACTAAATACGGAATCCTACTCTAAGGATTTTGCTAAGAACTAGGATCCCTATAGAGCACACTACATAAGGCTACTACCTTCTATACCCTACTCTATATAGTTCCTTATTCTCTCTACTCCCTCTAGATTACATAGAATAATAGAGCATACCATGCCCGCCCGAAGGAGAGGTTTAGGTAGCCTGTACGGGGGCATGGTGCGGGACTTAGGCGTTTTCGAAAATCCGCGTAAACTTACAAAACCGTGAACACCGCGATAACGCACGTACAAACCCTCGATTATTTTTGGCTAACATCATAGAACGTACTAATGCGACTAACTTTGATTAACTAAAAATTGTTCGTATCTATCATTGTTATTAAGTTATTCGTAGTTAAAGGCCCGTATGGCGTCGACTACTAGCTTTACGGGCGCAACTATTAGGGTCCTTCCCTACACGAAAATGGCTATTTGTTATAGGTAAGCGAACATGCAACGCAGTTTCTAGACCATCTAAGCGAATGTATAGCAGAGTTTCCGGACCATCGCATAAAAACTTACTAACCATACGTTTTAAGAAGACCGATATATAAGGTGATATATATAGGACTAAAAGAAGAACATCTTATAGGGTTTTAGGGTTAGGGTTAGCAGCATTTCGATACGCTTCTATATAAGCTATTCTTGCTCGTCTAACTACTTTTCTATATAAGAACAAAGAAAAAGGGTACGATAAAAAGGAAGAGGGAAACAAAAGAAAAAGGAAAAGAAAAAGAAATCTATCTAGTCTATACCATATCCTAGCCAGTTCCTAGCCCGGAGTCTTACTAGAGTGGTAGAGATATACTTATCTAGCCACTCCGAGGTGCTAGGACCAAGGGACTTNTGGAATTCTTTGTAGGTTTGTGAGGTCTCCTTTCCTAGAAGGCCTCCTTGGCTAAGGATAAACGGCTTAAAAGCTCGGCCTAGGGTTTGGTATTTAAGCTTCTTAGCCCTTTCCGCGGCCGATAGGGTGCTATTAGGGTCCTTCCTAGCGGTTTCCTTACCTAGGGAAATGATGGACACATCTAGGTAGGTGGTTCCCTTAGGGTTGTCGATTCTAATATCTGTCCGGATTCCTCGGTAGTCTCCTTGTGGCTCTAGGGTGACTTTTGTTTTGTGGGTCGGTCTGTAGGGCCGTAGTTAACGCCTGGCACACCTCATTATGTTTGACAATTGTCTGTCTAGTCCTAGCACGGCAGGCGTCTTCGTGGGCGAAGGTATAGGCCCTATCACAGTGTCTACAGATGTCCTGGCCTTCTTCAGGGGATGTAAGAAGCCGAATAGAAAGTGCTGCGGCTACGTCCATGTCCGAGAGTAGAAGGGGCTGTGAGGTAGGCATTGCGGATAGCCATCTCCGGCCTAGGAAGGCTGAGTTCTCGATCCGTACGTTCTCTTGCTGTAAAGAGAGCTTCTGCTGTACTCTAGCTAGTCGAGCTCTGTTAAGCTTGTCTATTGCAGCTCGGTAGATGGTTCTAGCAGGGCCAGTACTAGTGGGGTCTAGTTGTTGGTGTTCTAGGGGAAAGCTAGGCTGTTGTTAGGTGTCCTGGGCTAGGAGGTAGGATAGGCTTGGTTGTGGTTGTTGGTTTGCTCTATTCCTGCTTCTACCGCGGTCCTGGGAGTGATCCTGTTCCTGTTCTTGTACCTGTTCTTGCTCCTGGCTTCCTAGAGTGGTTTGTTCGTCTAGACCTTGTGTGTCCTCTTCTGTGGCCTTGTCTATGTCCCCTTCTAGGCCGTCCTCTTGTAGGTTGCCTTCTTGGCCTTGTGTAGGCCTATAGCTAGTGGGTTTTAGGGTTTTAGGGTTTTAGGGTTTAGGGTTTAGGGTTAGGGTTAGGGGTAGGGTTAGGGTTAGGGTTAGGATCCTCTGTAGGGTGATGTCTGCTATAGCCTGTGAGTTTTGGAAGGCTAGCTCGGCCACTTCCGCGTAGAGAGGTATTCCTAGGCCTCCTAGCCTAGTAGGGAGGGCTACTAGGTCCTGGTCTAGTGGTCTTCTATCCTCTGAGCCTTGAAGGTGTTTTATGGTTTCTAGGAGTCTTGTGTCAATGTCTTGGAATCTTGCCAGGAGTCCTTGTGATCCTATGGTCCTAGGAAGGTGTCGGAGTAGTGTAGAGGTGCTAGCCCTAAGTAGGAGGAGTGCGTGTTGTTTTGGTAGGTCTTTTAGCCTATCTAGCACCGTCTGGAGTTCTTCTATCCTTGTAGCCAGGAATTCGGCCTTCCGTGGCTCTGGCCCTATAGGAGCCAAGTATCTTCATTCCCGTGGTCTGTATTGCCGATAGGGGGTGTGTCTTTGTCTTATCTATGTTTAGGGCGATAGGGGCGTCTTCTAGGTAGCCTTCTAGTTGTTGTAGGGTGATCTGTTGCCCTGAGATGATGTAGACGTCGTCTAGGTATGCTAGGACGATAGGAGGGGGTCTGTTATAGCCGGTTGACCTCTGTAGCTGTTGTTGTAGCTGTTGGAGGGTGGTCCGAATGGCTAGGGAGAAAAGAAGAGGGGGCCGAGGGGGTCTCCTTGTCTAACCCCTTCCGAGGAGGTAATTACCGTGCCGTCATACATCACTAGGGCTGCTGGCTCGTTGTAGGCCCATCTAGCTGCCTTGTAGAACTCTGGGGCATAGCTTAGGATCCCGTGGGCTACCGCTGCTCGGGAGACTGAGTTGAAGGCGTTTTTAAAGTCCATAGAGCAGACGTGGGTGTATCCTCTAAGGTTTCCATCTACCGCGTGTCCTAGTAGGTGTATGATTGGCTCTACCCCGCCGGGGCTCTGTACCCCTAGCTGGAAGGGGCTAGTTGGTCCTTAGAGAACTGTTTTTGGAGGAGGACCTTAGCTACCAGCCTATAGATGAGCTCTCCTACTGCAATTGGCCGGACCCCGCTATCTTCCTTATCTAGGGCTACAAGCCTCGATGCGGTAAGTAGCTGGTTCCCTGGTGCTAGGCCGTTCTGTACCTGCTTGCAGAGGTGGGTAAGAAAGTCTACCACCTGTTTATGCTTACAGGCTTCCCTTAGTAAGGGCTGACCAGCCGGATAGGCCAGGGGCTGTATCCGGGGCAAATGAGGCCAGGGCTTGTAAGATGTCTTCCGGGAGTGGCCTAGGGCCTGGTCTAGGGCTCGCGGAGGAGGCAAGGGGTAGGGCTGCCTTCCGGGTGTTTTAGTTTGGCTAGTATATCCGCCGAGTTCCTAGCTAGGGTTGAGGGGTCTACTAGTGCCCTTGCAGCTCTGCCTAGATAGCCCTTTTCTACCAGTCTTTGGGCTCTAGAGCGGGGTATCCCGGCGGTTGTCTGGCTGGCCTAGAAATTCCTGGGCCCTATCGGTTTCTACGCGGCTTGGCGGGGGTAGCATTAGGTCCGGGTAGTGCTGTAGGACGTATTGGGTGCTAAACTCCTCCGATTGGA